GTCTTTAATGGCTTTTTATTAATGAGCAGCTGTCCACGGTTGAATACAGATTATAAAGTCACATTCATTTCTTGAGCAAGCAAAACAAAGCCTTGGAGCTCACAGTGACAGTTTTGAATAGATACGTTTGAGAGCAAAGGATATTCTGATGATAATTTTAATGGATTGTTTCATTGTCTTTCTATTCTAGAGACTTGTGCTTGCTTTCGAAATCATACATTTTAATATTCTGAAAAATTATAACTTATTTTTTAATCCCCACATCACCATTTAATAGTTAGGATCAGATGTTTAATAGAGAAACCAACAAGTCTGAAGCAGCTTTTTAAATTTCCTTTCTATTAAAATAAAATTGACTCTCTGTGAAGCATTTAAATATTTTCCATCATAAATATTACTATAATGTATCTCTATAATGATTTTTATTGCTAAATAAGGAAGACCCAAGGTTTAAGGAGAATTTAGAGTTAACCAAATTAACCTTCGGAAGATGCCTAGATAGGAATAGAGATAATCCATGTCCTTTATTAGAAATGGATTCAAATGGAGGCGCCTGGGTGGCTCAGTCGTTAAGCGTCTGCCTTTGGCTCAGGTCATCATCCCAGGGTCCTGGGATTGAGCCCCACATCGGGCTCCCTGCTCAGCAGACAGCCTGCTTCTCCCTCTCCCTCTGCTGCTCCCCCTGCTTGTGTTCCCTCTCTCGTTGTCTATCAATCAATAAATAAAATCTTTAAAAAATAAGAAAGAAAGAAATGGATTCAAATGAAAACACTTCTGTGTTTCAGTAGTGAGCTGCAACCATGTAATACCTCTTGGCCACATTGTTATTAGAGCTATAATATAGTTCAGCTATATTATGAGTTAAGTAGACTTGATCTGAGCAGATCTGCAATGTAAGGCCATTTATTATTTCTTTTTTTTTTTAATATTTTATTTATTTTTTGACAGAAAGAGACACAGCGAGAGAGGGAACACAAGCAGGGGGAGTGGGAGAGGGAGAAGCACCCCGCCGAGCAGGGAGCCCGACGCGGGTCTCGATCCCAGGACCCTGGGATCATGACCTGAGCCGAAGGCAGACGCTTAACGACTGAGCCACCCAGGCACCCTCATTTATTATTTCTAAGGGTAAATGTGTTAAGATTCACACAAGTAACAGCTTGTCATATGTACAATACAATCTGCCTTGTACATGAAAACTTAAAAATGAAACAACACTGAACCAACAAAGCCTAATTCATTCAGCTATAACATGAACTATAGCTATAGCTTGAACACATTTGAGCCTTAGTTTTCTCATCTGCAAAATCAGATTAATAATTCCTGCCTCGTAGGATTATTTTGCAAAATGTATGTGTTGGAAACAAAGCAGATCAATGAAAGTTTTATCATTTTCAAGTCCAGTAGAATCTTCTTTCAGCTCACAGCAGGGAATAGAGCTTCCAGGAAAACAGGGAGTGAATTTTCTCTCACCAGCAACCAGAAATAGACATGTTTGTTAGTTACACATAAAAAAGGGGAAAGAAGTGTTTTAAAGTTTCACTCTGAGCACATCCCCTACCTCCTTTGCCCCCTTTGATTTTAAAGACAGAGGGTGAAAAAACAGCTGTTAAAGGAAAGCACTCACAATCCTACCCTCTCTGTGCTTTTTCTCACTACTTATGGTATATTTTGCCCATAACGGTGTCTGTTGCCAGGTTCTTTCCTTTCTTTCTTTTCAGTGTCTATCATTTTAGCATACCAGAATTCTCATAATGATCTCCTAACTAATCTTCTGTATTTTATTTTTCCCTTCCTCTAAATCAGCTTGGTACTTTGCTATATGATTAATATAAGTATTTTTAAAGCTTCTTCATGATAAATGTCCTGTTCAAAATAAAGAGAGATTTACTGTTGTCCATCAATTCAAATTCCCTTGGGTGGACATGTGTCTCAATTGTTGCTTTTTAATCTCTTAATTTCAAACTGCTGCTCCTGGATCCCCCGGTGACCACCTCTGGCCCTTTAAAATATCAGACGTGCCCGAAACTCTGGTTAAAAACATTTGTCTGTGTATACTGTACATTTCATTACTCACCTCCTCATCATGAAATATATATTTCTTGCTGTAGTTTTTATCTGAAATTAAATCCTTTATAAGTGAGAATTAAATCCATGTTATAACCATACTAGATATTTTCAGTATAAAAAACTTAACATATTTACTTTCTTTCTTCCTAGGGAGAACTTATATGCATAAAGGATCATCTGTCTGAATATATAAATTACTCTAAAGAAAAGCCAAAGGAAAATACTCTTGCCATGTAACCAGACACATTCATAAATATCATGCCCAAAAGGAATTATTTTTTTTCTGCTCATAGGCTCTGAGCCCATTACCATAGCAACCATAACTAGTGTTGTCTAATTGGATGTGAATTTTATACACTTGTTATTTGAAATGTTAAGGCAGTAAGTCAGGATAAAGTGCAATTTCTATAATATTTTGCAAGGACTACTTTATCTCAGAAATCTGGTAGAGGAAAAGCTTCATCGTGCAGCTTATTCATTTGTTTAATGAAACGGTTTCTTCAACATTTACCGTGGGCACAGTGTATGCAAAGCATGTTAAGAGAAGTCAAAAGCATATACAACCCTTAACCTGAAGGAACTTCCCTAATAAAATCAGCTTGTCATGGGTGAACAGAATTCCTGAAAGAGCAGGTTTTTCATAGGGAGTCTTCTAATTTTAGAATAATCTGATCATGATAACTAGCATATTAGTACCTGTAAGTAAGACGGCAAGAGGCTTACAGCTGGTCAGAGTGCCCCCAGGTATTCAAGCACCTACTGTAACCCCTACAGCAGGTCCTTTTTTTTTAGTCTTACACATTGTGTCTGTAGTTACTTTCCGGAGAAGTGTTTCTTTCACTGGAGGTTGAACCCTATTTGGCAGCTGGTGCCAGCCTCAGGAAGCTGAAAATGCCCACTGATGAGCACGGAAGAAAGGTGTGACCCTTCACCTGTTTCAGATAGGTTTCCCAAACCAAATACATAATGGATTCAGATCAAGGTTTAAGCATTTCTGTTTTGAAGGATACAGGTAAAATAACTTCAAAGATGTACCCGTGGTATTTGACACTATTTTCTTGCCCTGGTATTGTCCCCACCTGCCTCCCTGGATGGGAAGGATTAATTCCCTGTTCTCTTGTTCCTTTTAAATTTTGCTTACTTTAAGCATCTTATGAAATGAGGAGATACATCATTTAGTTAAAACCGCATCCCTGGGACCTGCAGAATAAGTCCAAGCCCTTCTGATGGCATGGCACAGAAGACTGTTGTCTCTCCTTCCAGCCTGCCTCGTGCCTTTCCTCATGTCACACTGGTGCTCCAGGAACATCAGACCATTGCTGATTTCTCCACCTTCCATGCTTTATTTGTCCGCCAAACGGTGTATCAGGATCTACTAGTACTAGATGTTTTTTTTTTTACATGGCAGGAAGAAACGCTGAAAAAGGGAGTGCGCTGCCTTCAAGGAACCCACTATCTACTGGTGTCCCAGCCTTCGTTCCTGACACCACACCTCCTGCGAGGACTCTTTTCCTTGGCTCATCTCATGCTTGATTCCTTAACACTCATCTCAGGTATCATCTTTGGAAGCTGGGCGTCATGGATCTCCATCCTCACAGGATGGCCCCTCTCCCCAGCCAAGTGCCCCTGGAGCACCCTCTGTCTATGGCCTGCACATACCATATGGTATCAACGTGATCTTTGTCCACCACTATTTCCCCAATTGCCTTAGGAACTGTTAGAAGGTAGAGACAGCATCTTATTCCCTGTTGCAGTCTTCTCACTAGAATGCCTGGTATCTAGTAAATGCTAAATAGATGTTTCTTTGAACAAAATGTCAAATATATACACAGATATTTGGATTTGCTACCCAGTAAATGTTTATACTTTTTTTAAGCACGATTAACAATGATGTGGAGTAAATATACTAGGAAATGGCGTACAGAAGAGAAAGATCTGGGCTTTGTTGGATTTTCTCAGCTGTTCCCAAATGCTTCCTTAGTTGTCACTTGCTGGAAGGTACCAGGTACTTTCTGAGTACCAGCTCTTCTTGCTCTGGACATGGCTACAATGCCTTTATTGAGAGTTCTTCCTCAAAATTAAGCAGTTCCTTTAGGATTTTCTGAGTAAAAAGTGCAATTTTTACAGTATGAGAGCTTTGGTTAATTTATCTACATGAATTGTGACTTTTCTTGCATTCCCTTATTTTAGTCCCTTATTTAATTTATTTTCTTGCATTCCCTTAGTATTCTCTTGAAAATAAGTCTCTCTTGTGTTATAGCATGGAGTTGAGGGAAGTCACAGTCTTAGTAGAGGCAGTTTTGAGTGGGAAGGAGGGTGAGCAGAGAAAGTTTGGCCTCGTTCCAAAGGTTGTTCCAGAGGCAACAACAAAAACTCTTCTTAGAATAGTGACCAGGGTTTGGCAGGCCCAGAAATCCAGGACAATCTAGAATTTCCGGGATTACTATGGATCTGAAAATCAGCAACTTGTCTGAAAAAGGTCTAAAACAATCTCATTTCTCCAAAATCCTTATAAATTAGAATGACTTACATCATTGGAAACCAGAGTTTCATGAATGGATAGGGGAAGTCAGATCTCCCAGTACGTACACAAATTCAAAATGCTTCCAATCTGATCCAAGGGTGGGTAAGTCAAAACTGGACAAGCTCTTTCAACAATATAAAGGGTTCCAAGAGTATAGCAACTTGGACGTGGCACATCTGCTTCCACACCAAGGACTTCTTAAAGTTTTTTTTAATGAAATAAGAACATACAAATATAAGGAATCAAAAGAAAATTTATATTTTGAAGAAATCTGATTTTTGTGATCAAAGCTAATTAGTACATTTTATATATTATAAAAATATGTCCAGCTTATTTTCTTGAATATGCTATACAGACTTTATCTTCTACAACAAAATAGCTCATAAAAAGCATTTTTGTTTTCAGCCTGTTCTTCAGGACAGCACTTTAGTTGTATCCTGAAAAGTGAAAACAATACAAATATCTTTTTTAAGTAGTAGTAACATCCAGTGTGGTTTAAAATACGTTTCATTCATTTAACATTTCTAGTATTTCATGGTATGGTTAATCGGACAAAGGTAGTATTTAAAAATAAGTATTTCAAAGTTTACCAGTGTACTTTTAGAATCAGTAATGCACTCTTTTTGTAGAACTGGGGAGAGAGAATAGTGGTGCTTAAACTTTGTATTTTTCACATTCAAGTTGTCATTTCATTTAGTGGAACTCTGTGACCATCTTACAAATAAAATAGTGTCAATTCAGAATGCAAAGTTATAAAAATCCCAGCCTTTCATTTCATTAATAGTTAGTATGGTGTGAATGCATTCCCTTTAAATTCCTATGTTGAAAACCTAATACCCAGTGAGATGGTATTTGGAGGTGGAGCCTTTGGGAGGTGCTTAGGTCCTGGGGGTGGAGCCATCATGATGGGATCAGTGCTCTTACAAAAGAGACCCACAGAGCTCCCTAGGCCCTTCCACTGGTGAGGACGCAGTCTGTGGCCTAGAAGTGGGCCCTCACCTGACTGTGCTGGCACCCTGATCTCAGACTTCCAGCCTTCAGAACTGTGAGAAATAAATTTCCGTTGTTGATAAGCCACTCAGTCTGTGGTATTTTGTTACAGCAGCCCAAATGGATTAGGACAATGGTGTTTAAATCACCTTATGGTTTTTAAATCACCTTATGCTTTAATTGGAGAATGACAGATTATTTAGGAGCCAAGGAGAAGACCCTTATTGACTTTTCTGTCTGGCGAAAAAAGCCCTAAAGAAAACGCCAGGAACAATATCATTTACTAATGATTTGAAAATAGAATTTTCTGAATTTTATAAAATCCCAAAGTTGTCAGGAACAAGCAGGCTGAAAGTCAGTAACGACAATTAGAAAACAATGCATTTAACAAGGAAATAGAAAAAGCACAAAGATATAGTAAGCAGTACTTACACTTTATATTTTAATGCTTCTGAAAAGAAACAAATTTAAGCAATGCCTGTAATGCTATTATAAAATGGACAACTGGTTTTACTTTTATTAGAATTCTGAAGATAAGAAAACTTGCATAAAAATAAAATAACTTGTGTGCTAGTCATTTACCTATGGTCCCTTAGCTCCAAACCTACCCTTCCATGTTCAGCTATAAGAGGCCAGGACTGAGTCTCTTCAAACCATACTTCTTCCTCAACAGCTGGCTCCTAATTAGCTTCAGCCATTGGGAGGAAAGAAAGGATTATTCCTTTCTGTTTGATCACTGTTCCTGAAACCCCCAACCTCCAGTTTTTTCTGCCACTCTTGAACCAGCCTTGATGTATCCCTTCATCCTGATCTTACCAAATTTAAATTTAAAATCTAGTCTTAGCTTTTATTCCTCGAAATTCTTCAGTATCCTTTTAAAGTACTACCCCATCTCAAATTCTTCTTACTTCCTTCTTTTAACTTTGATTTTTACTCAAATATAAGAATCTAACTAGGTATCTCATAACTTAAGACATTTATCTTCTTTTGATATTTGGAGATCTGTATTGGTTCTATATAGATCAATAATGATTATTTTTTTTATTTTTAATTGGGGTGAAATCCATAGAACATAAAATTTTAATCATTTTTAAAGTGGACAGTTCAGTAGTGTTAAATATGTTCACACTGCTATGCAACCAATCTCCAGAACTGTTTTCAACTTCTTAAATCTTACCAGTATTTTTAAAGTGATGCTTTCATTTCATTAATCTATCGGAAACTCTCCATCATTCCCTCCATTAGATCAACTGCAAATTGATCAGTATCTGCCAATCAAAGCTTTTTACAATTTGCCTATAATACCCCTACTCATCATTTCCCCCTCAGTAGCAAGGAGGCTTTATTCCCCTTTTAAGAGTTAAAAATCAATTAAATCTCATTTTTAGCACCTATAATAAATATGGCTTGTAGTCTTATCTTCTGAGTGCTCACAATTTAGTAAGGAAGATAGATTTGAAGATGTCTAAGTCTAATAAATGTATACCACTGGAAAGGCCAAAATAACGGTATAAACAAAGCACAACTGGAGAACAAGGGAAAGGAGCATTACATGTATCACAAAGAGGGATGGAAGAAGAGAAACCTGATGGAGGAGGGAGATTTTGAGCAGGGCCAGGCAGCATGCCATGAAAAGCAGATCTGGTGAGTAGAGGAAAGCCAAGATGGAGGGAATATGTGGGACAGCAAGCATCTTCTCTAGGAATGATTTGGCACAGGAGGCAGTCTTCAAGACTGGTTTCAGGGACTCTGGGGTTGATTGTAATTTGCATGTAGTAAGGAATCTTCGAGGATTTGACACGACATACTACTGCATGACCCTGTGCTTTAGGAAGATAAGTATGACAGCAATATGGAAGCTAGGCTGAAAGTGAGAAGTTTAGAAGCAGGGAATCCAGGAGGCTACAGTAATAGGTCAGGTAAGTAAAAAAGGAAAAATTTGTCAGTGGAGCAGCAAGACTTTAAAGGAGGAACAGATACGTGACATTATGGATGGAGATTGATGCCCCAGAGCACCTTGAAGGGATGTGGAGCTTGAAGGAAAGAGAGAAGTCTAAGAAGTATCAGCCTGAGAGATGAGAAGGACGACATTGGCACTAACTGGGATGGGGCAGCAGGAAGAAGCACCTTTAGAAGGAAGAGATGAAGAATTCATGCTGAACATGGATAGTCAAAGATGTCCTTTTTCACTCCCACTTTTTGCTTTGCTCCTATCATACCCCTGTTCTGGAGTACCTTTCCTTCCATTTCCACATTTCATTCATCTTTTATAATCCTGTCTGTAAAGTCCTGCTGCTGATGGGGTGACACCAACAGTCATCCCAATCATCGTCGCCCACAGGGACATCGCCCTCCTCTGAACCTCCCTAATAGTCACCATCTTTGTCTGCCTGCAGTGCTGGTACTAGCATTTGGATTCCCTTTGTGGAACCACATCTCCACCATCCCCAGAACTTCCCTCCATGTGGGCCAGGCCAGGCTAATTAGAACAGAGGATCTGGTGGCCCCAGTGATTGGCCCAAGAATGGACATGTGACCAAGCTAGGTCAATGATATTGCTTCGGGATTTTGCTGAAAGAGTTGAGAAAGAGGTTTGCTCTTTCTGCATTTAGCTACTGGGCTGGTAGAATGTACATGAAGACACCGGTGGTACCCTTGCCATGAGTCTGGGTTGGGGGGTGGTAGTAGAGAGTCTGCCTGTGCGTGAATTGACCACCAAGGATCATGGAGCCAAGAGATGGAGAGACACAAGTTTTGGATCATATCATGTGAGTCCTTAGGTCTAGCTACAGCAGAAATCCACACTACGACTGGACTTCTCAGTTGAATGAGATTCACTTCACTGCCTAAACCAATTCGAGCTGAGCTTCTGACCCTTGTAACTGAAAGAGTCCAACATTCCCTTCCCATTCCCCACATTCCCATGTGCCACTGTGTAATGTGAATGGCATTTCCTGTAGGGTCATCTCATCTCTAGCACGGAAGCAATTACTTTCTCAATGGCCAAGACCTTGTCTCTGTGTTCCCAGTGGTGCCATGCACGGTGGTCATGCCCTCGGTCTCTCTTCAGTAAACGTTTACTGGAACCTCAGTATGTGGAGACGTACATTACAAAAAAGATGAACTACGCTTACCTAGATTTATGTTCAAAATCAAAACTGTGGCCATAAATGCTTCCAAGAGCAACACTCTTCCCATCAGACAGCAAATCACTGGAGCCATTATCTGGGCAGTTGTGCCCACAGCTGACGCCCGGTCACTGCTGCTGTCACCACCGCCACTAGACACAGACTGTGCTGGGAGGCTCAGGGGCCCGGATTCCACCCGGACAGCATCATCCAGTATAAATTCAATCTTACAATTTTTTCCTAGGAAGGAAAACCATCAGAGAATTTGACTTCCTTTTATGATTTGTCTTCACACAGTCCCAGTTGGGTTTTCATTGACTTAAAAATCCTATATAATTCCTCATGAAGTATTTTTGTAAATTGAGCCCAAGTAGATTAGTTTAAGTATAAACAAGTGTAAAGAAGATCTCAGAGTTAGAGTTCCATTTGCCCATCCACTATGGGCAGGCGGAATCTGGGTAGATTTTCTTTCTGTAGCATCAGTACTTGCTCCTTAGGGATGCCTTCTTAGTGCCCAGGACTAGAGAGAGGTTGCTGGAAAGGAGGGACAGTAGGGAAGGGAAATGAAGATGCTGAGCCTTTGTTCCATCCCTGGATACTTGACCTAGGAGTAGAGAAGCCTCAGCCTCAGTTGGGGGAGATGAGGATGGATACTGAACTTTTATTTTGAAAAGTTTCAAAAATACAGAAGAGTTGAAAGAATAGTACAACAAACACCCATATGCCCTCCACTTTGTTTCAGCAATTTTACTGCTTTCCACGTTTCCCTTAAGTCAGATGCTTTTTTTGTGTTGCACGATTGTGACCCTTTCTTTCTTCTTACCTCAGGTAGACAAGTTTGAGGAAACTTATTAGATATTTTTAGAGTGTGAAACATAAAAAGCTCATCTAAATACTTTTTAATCCATAAGTTAAATCTTCCCACAGTTTTGAACATGAGATAAGCAATACATTTTTCCTTGATATAATTTCTTCTAGGACTAATTGCTATCATCAATAATGGTTACCACATAGAGTTTGCAATCCTTGTCACAATGCTGAGGTTTTCATTCCTCCATTTACCTTAAAAAAAATCATTTGTTTTCTTTCTTTTTTTCCCTCCTTCTCTCTCTCTCTCTCTCAGAGAATATAATTAGATCTTGACCACATTGTGCTTTCACAAACAACAGCAATGCATTCTATAACTTTCAAGATGGATGGTCATTGCTCTATAGAATTTTCTGCCACCATTACAATCCATGACAATGGCATATTTAAGTCTTTCCTTTTTTCAGTTTGAAAAAAAGTGAATTTTTGCAGCATTTTTCTTGATTTTTCTGTGTAAAAACTTTAGGTTTTTTTTTTTTTTTTTTTCTCCTGCAGTACTATGAGGAAGCTCAAGAGAACCTTGTCTCAGAGATGTACTCCATGAAGGAGAACTGAAGAACCCAGCTAAAATCCAGAATCAAAACCTTGGGGATATGACTTCAATCAAGCTAATTCAGTTAAAAATCCAGACATCATTAAGCAGACAGGAGCCATCCCTGCCCAAATTCCTGACCCATACAATTGTGAGCAAGTGAAATGGTTGTTGTTTGAGTCATTAGATTTGGGGCTGGTTTGTTATGTATCAATAAGAACAGAAACAAGCACTGTATATCATATAGATTGCTAGGTAAACACATCCTAAATATGATTATCCAGTAGTAATACTATTTTTATTCAGGTTGACCAAAGATGCAGCCTCAGCTGTTTACTACTTTCTTCTTCTTCTACCCTTTTCTCACCTCATTCTCACATCCCCATTTTCTGTGTTAGAAACAACAACCCATACCTCCTGTGTCTGGGTGGCCCCTGCTTTGCTTTTTATTGAGCTATTAGTAGAAGAGGGTGTGGGACCACACTGTCAGGCTCCAGTCTAATTTGCAAGGGGATTTCCCACATGCAGTAACTGGGGGGCTACCTACTAGAAAGAGTTACAAAAATGATGCTTTGTTAATTTTTTCTCATGTACTTTGTTGTTATTACAATTTTATAGTGGTTAATCTACAAACTGGCTAACTGATCTAAAGATAATGAAGAGAAGACTGTATTTGTCTTCCTTACTATACACAACCAGGGAACTGAGACCCTACACTTGATGGCAGTAAGAAAGTAAGACAGCGGCCAAGCAAGCAAGCAAGCAAGAGATTAGAAGCAATGGCGGTTCACCATAGCAGGTCAGATAGACACACTAAGGGAAGCTTTGAACGATGAAGGAAAATTTACTCTATAAAAGGAGAATGATATTTTGTTATCACAATAAAACACCAAAGCCTATATAATTATTTCAGCACTCCAGTGATCTTGGTTATTTTGGAACATTGCTATTTGGAAGCGGTAGTTTGAAGAACATGGTCTCCGGGTTGGGTCTTTGCCACTGGGTACCTTTTGGGTCCACCTTCATGGGGAAGTGGACAACTTTCTTCTCACCTAGGGTTCTTGTTAAGTGCCTCATTTCCCAGAAAAGGATCCCAGTTCTCCCACCATTTAGGCTGACTCTCAAAGAATTCGGCTCTGCCCTTAACCAGCCAGTGTATAGGACACTCTAAGTACTTGTCTAGGAGCACAACTATGGACTCATTGCCATCTGAGTCCCATCAAACACCAGGTTGAGACACTGGTGCCTAGCAGGCAGACCAAACTTGTGTGGTTTAGGGGATCACCAAAGCAAGAAAAAACAAAAAATAAGGAAAATATTTAGGGGAATGATTTGAGCTTTTGATACATGTTTAATATGAAAAAATCAGGCTATTGTTGGAATTTCTTTTACTTATTTTACTCTTTTTACTTTTATTTTGACTTTTAGTATATATATATGAGAGAGAACAGTGGTAAGAAGTGGGGAGTAAGTACCAATATAACTTTTCAGAAGTTAGGTCCTATAAAGGTCTTAAATGAGCCCAGATGAATGGTAAACAGATTAATGGAAGTCTGTCTCAGGGATAAGCAGTTTATCCACTTCTCTCTTTTAGATACTCTACAATCTATCACCAATAGATATTCTACAAACTATCTGTCTTGGGCTCAGTAGAAAGGCTTTTACCAATTGAAGTTATGCTATCAACCCATATGAAGACAATATAAGAAACATCACAATGGAAGTTATGACTATTTACTGTAATGTTGAAGATACCACTTCATACAGATTCATTGGGTATACTTTATGAGAACTCATAGGAGACATTTGTTCTGATCTCAGAGCTAGTTGTAAGTCTCCACAACAACTGGTTTGTTTACCTGATGGGCACCGTGGAATCATGATAATGCTTATGTTTTCTCCTTTGCATTGTCTTTCAGAAAGACTAGAACCCACTTTTCAGTCCAACTCTGAACTCTTGCATGGGGCATTCAAGTTATATGAGCCTATCTTATCCTCCCTTATCTTTAATTTGAAAATCTAGATGTTAACTGTTTTCATTATAAATGTAATGCATATTTAGTGAAAATATACAAAAGTACACAAATGGATAAAAATATAAATCATGATGTAATTTTAATGCATAGCCTCAGATTATGTTTATTTTCCTTAATTGCTTGTTTTAATTCTATTTTGTTTTGCATATTAAATATTTTTTGTAAACTAGATGTTATCTGACATGTTTTCTGAAACAAGATAGAGAGTTCCGATTTTTTTTTAAAGATTTACTTATTCATTTTAGAGAAAGAGAGAAAGAGAGAGAGCACGAGCAGGAGGGGCAGAGGGAGAGGGAGACAGAGTCTCAAGCTGACTCCGTGCTAAGCACGGAGCCCGATGCAGGGCTCGATCTCACAACCATAAGATCACAACCTGAGCCAAAACCAAGAGTCAGAGGCTTAACCGACTGCACCACCCAGGCACCCCTATAGTGTTCCAATTTGTCTAATTTATTAACCAGAGTATTATAGAATGCTTTGTTCAATTATAATTGTCCCTGTTTATGGATATATATGTGAAGGTCCAAAATAGTATTCTCACCTGTTCTAAGTACAGTAAGGTCTGTGTAGTTGGCCCAACAGCTGCTAAATGGAATTGTTGTATTTCCACTCAGACCACTGATTTGGTTATTATTGGAGTCCTTTAGTATGGCCTTCAAAGTCAGTGAAGTAATCCCAACTGATACACAATTACCCTAAAGAAAAAAGTAGTAGAGAATTTTAATTGTCCTGTTCCCATGTTTGTTTGTTTGTTTGTTTTTTTAAGATATGTGAAACTTCATTTTTAAAAATGCCTCATGACAAATTTAAAATCTGCAGGAGCTTCTTTCCCTACCCAAGGAGTTCACGAATATGGGTGGGCACTGGAACAAGTTCATTGAAAAGGAACATTTTCAAAACAGGGGAAGATTATATCCATAGGTATCAGTCCAGCTTTTAAGGGGCAGTGTCACCCTCAGGTTGCCAGTGGACCAGGATTACTGAAATTGGCCCACTCTCCAAGATTTATAGCTTAACTTCCTCACTCAACTAAAGCTTAGTGAGTTAGAACTTACATCAGAATCTACTGCCTTTACTGAAGGCTGCTGAGAAAATGGCTGTCCTGGCTGAGCGGCAACCGGCTGAGTGATCACTGACAGCGAGGACACAAAGGCCACATGATGAACAGGAAATGCAAATCTTTCAACTGGTTGAGCGGCCACCTGGAAATCAATGGTCATGAGTGATGAAGTGGTTTTCACATGATAAATTAGTCAGGAGCAAATTCATCTTAGCTAGGCTAAGTATAATATGTAATAATAAGCATAAAAATATGTCCAATATATGAAATAATTTTATTACAATATTTCCTCTGGACCAGATTCATGAAGCATTGTTATAAATATTCAAAGCAAAGCACATTTCATACCAATAAATAATTTTTTAGCAGATATGCTCCTTTTTCAACTATTTTATCATTTTAGTTATACCATTAAATAGTGAGCCAACATTAATTAGGAAGACATGCCCTCTAAATTATTGTATTGAACTATAAAGAGTTAAAAGAAGAAATAAGCAGCAATGTTTTAAATAGCTAAGATGCATTTTTCTAGTTGCCTTTTCTTACCTTAATCCAGGCAGAATCACTTGGGCTGGGGATAGGATTGGTAATAGACATGGAAGAGATATTAAACCCAAGGATACTACTGGTTTTTCCTGTAATTACAGCTTGTCCAAGAGAGCCAGCGATTTTTTGGAGTTCAGATAACTGCATCTGACCTATGGGGAAACAGTAATACCGCATATGGGTTATAAGAATATAGGATTGTGGGGCGCCTGGGTGGCTCAGTCCATTAAGTGTTTGCCTTCAGCTCGAGTCGTGATCCCAGGGTCCTGGGATCAAGTCCCTTATCGGGCTTCCTGCTCAGCGGGGAGTCTGCTTCTCCCTCTGTCTTCTCCCCTCTGCTCATGCTCATGCTCTGTCTCTCTCTCTCTCAAATAAATAAAATCTTCAAAAAAATAAGAATATAGGATTGTGAGAGTTTTTCTTTTTCTTTTTCTTTTTTTTTTTTGCATAGCTCCATCCACATTCTGGAATTCTGTAGCTTTTTCACCACCTATGAGCTCAATATGACAAAGTCCTTTGAATGAGCTTAGGAAAATGAAGAACTCAGTAGAATATGTTTTTAAGCTGTAATTAAAGAAAAACCAAAGGTAGATAAAATAAAGTGAATGAAAGCCTAGTGGAAAAATATACGTCTTTTAATTTAATCCTTTCCCATGCCATTCTTTATTGAGGAGTAAAGCACCATCATGCAAGTGTATCATCACGTACCATTTTTTAAAAAGAGAGTTTTAATTTTGGAGTGTAAGAATAATTAGCATCATCGAATTTACACAATGTATATTAGTAAGTTCTGAAGTTAACACTACATTACTCACAAATTGTTGCTTGCTCTAGATGTGGATAAATTTCAAAGTTAATTTTAACACTACAGGCAGTTTCTATTGTCTTTGTCTAGCTTGGCAGGCCCTCTTACACTTACTGGCCTCACCGTGCTCCGTACCTAAGAAGTGGCACCTCTATTCATCATACTCATTTGTCAGAGCCTGGTACTTTTGCCTGATCCCTTCTTCTACTTCATCTCTCCTCCACACCATATAATCAGTTATAGTTTCTAGATCTCTCTGTCCCCACTGTCTAAATCCTAGTCAAAGCCATCATTTACTAAAACAACTTTTATACTGGTTTTCTTGCATCCATTCTGTCCTTCTTTCACTCCATTCTATACATTGTAGTCCGAGTGACCTTTTAAAAAACAACTGTATCCAGGATCTTTTTGGTGTACTGTAAGCCTTGACAACAGTTCCTACCTAGTTATCCAGCACCTTCTATATCCAGAGGCCTGCCTTGAGGACCATGTGCATTGCATTTCCTCCATTAAGGCTAAACCATGAAGCTTAGTGTGCTCAGGAAGAAGGAGGCAGCTGATCTCACATAACACTTTGAAAATCATGGTCTTAGGGAATTTCCGTCCTGTCAGTTTAACACATCTCTCTTTTGGTTGACTCAGACCCTCTGGACAAATGATTAATCTTTCAGATTTCTTCTTCTCCCTCCCCTCGCCCCCCTTCCATATACTCTTCTCCAAATGGCTTTCCAGATATGAGGGCTCATGTGACCTAGCAGCAGCAGGTACAAAGAGGCTTCATATCCACCGACTGCTACTACCACTTGTCCTCACTGGTTTTTGGTGGAACGTGGCGGGTCTGACCTGCCTGCACTGTTAACAGATTTTCTCCGACTACCTGACATGTGAAGGCATCCATTTCTGCTGACTGCCACCTTAAGAAACCAAAGTCCTTAACCTGAAGAATTTTTACTCCTGACCAATCTCTGTTTATCCAGAGGTCCCCTCAGTACTTCAGTAACCCCTTTCTATGAATCTGGGAAAGCCAGGATACCCTGACCCATGCAAAGGCTGTGGAGAGCCAGCAAGCAGTATTACTACATGCACACCTTCCTTGCCAATGCCCGATATTTTGCTGTGAAATCCCTCTATGCCAAGTTGTAGGACATTCTTGAGACTTGAAACCCTATCCCAGAATATGTCTGAGAAACGTGCCATCAGCCTGTCCCTCCGACTGCCCCCATCTCCATGTTCTTAGACTGTCTTATACCAGTCTGGATAAATCTAACAAAATAAAACTGCTTAAAGGGGGTAAGGGGATGGAAGAGGTTGTGCATGAAGAAATTTAGATCACATATAGGAAATAAGTCAGTTTCTTTGGACATCTGAGTGGCTACATGGCCTTACATGACCCCACTACATGTAAGGGCTTACTAGGAATTCCTAAGAGTTGGTGAACCATCTATATATGTACCATGGAACCATTACAACTCCTAGAATAAATGAACTGACTGTGTTGAGTCAAAAGCCGTGACCCTCTAAGTACTAGGAAGTATGGAGCTGATGAAGGAAAGTAACCTATGACTGGGTAGAGAACATCATGGGAGATTTCGTTACAACACAAGCCTATACTTCCTGTTTCCTTCAACAAAGTGAGCTGATCAGCATCTCCCTCCACTCCACAAAGCCTTTCCACAGGCTTACTTCTATAAGGGAAGAACCTCTGTCTGCCTAGCTGGTAGAACTCCAGAACAGTATGTGGCAGGTGCACTGGGTCAATCCTTAGAAGCAAACCTCCTGGGGTCATGAGTGATGACCCCTAAAAGCAGAAGGCGAGAACTTCACCCAGTATCCAGGTTGACATGTAAGAGAGCCCCAGGGGTTAAGGAAAAAGATGCTGAAGAGAGATAAGGCAGATGCAGATTTTTATGAATCTGAAATCTATACAGTTTGGAGGCTCTCTTTAAGAAAAAGAATGAGGAAAAGTCTTACTTCTGCAACTTTTATAGTAACAATGATTGGGTCATATTATTAAATGGACCCTTCTTCCAGGCCCCTCCCGTGACTTGTACAAGTGAAAGGCCTTGAAGCTTAAGCTTCGTTAGCTGGATGGTAATCTTCCTCTTACACGGATCTAGGTCTCGTTTTTTTGGAGATGGGTGTGCCTAGTTAAGACTTGTGCTTGACTACTGGAGGCATGGCTGGGAATGCATGCTGGGGATGGATGCCAAGAGGCCAGGAAAGTTCAGCTGCACCTCAAGACAGGCTTGTGCAGGGCAGAGAAGAGCAGAGAAGACTCCCTACCCTGTAGCAGAGACTATGAAAACAAGAGGCAATGTGGGGGTCTTGGTATTCCGATACCAACTTAAGCAGGTAGAAAGGAAAAAATTTGAAGGGCTGAGCATTTACCTAAATGCCCAAACTGAGTCGCTCTAAGGAAATAATTTAAAGAGGCAAAGACCTCTGATGAGACAGGTGAGCTTATTTTTGTCTCTGATAACTAGAAAATGGGGATATGGAGAGTGAGGGACAGAGAAAAGTGGAACAGCTGGTGACACTGATTGGATCAGTCATAGGAATTAAAGATAGAAGATATTCCTGCACATTTGCATTTGTTAGGGTAAATCTGTGACTTTACTACAACTCAGAATCTCCAAAGGTCTACTCTTTTCCTTAGGAAAATACCCACAGTCCTTTTAGCTTAGGAAGAAAAGAGCTTCTTTTGGTTTCCTGTGATCTAGGTAGGACCTGCCTAATTCTCAATTTCACCTCCAGTAGCTTGCCCTTCCTGGCTCCTGCCACCACAGACCAGTGAGACCTTCTCCAGTTCTTCTTATGTCCCGCTTCCACCAACTATTTCCGTAGACTTAAACATTCTTACCTTCCTCTTTTCATTGACTGACTATGCTTAATCTCTCAGCTATAATCTCAATTACTTAGGTCACCTCTCAAATCTTTTATATTAGGTCAAATCCTCTTGTTGAATTTACTAATTGCTATAATAATGAAATAGAGGCTAAAATTCCTTCATAATTCCAAAATAGTTTGGGATTACAGGAGTAGAGTAGGGAAAAGGGTCTTTAGGCCCTTACAGGGTTCAGGATATGGGGTTGGCGGGACTTCCTGAGCCCAGGTTTACCAGGCCCTGATAGGGTTATTTGTGAATGTGGATCTGGTATTACATTCTTCCAACTCAAATGTCTACTCTTCATACCTGCAGTATCATTGCTTATGAACTGAGGAGGAGGATCTCCAATCTCCAATTCCACTGTGAGTCCCATCGATCTCTTCCTTCGCAGACTCTCCCCTGGTATTATTTTGCTGACACGGATTTTGTCACTTGGTATCTTTAGGAACAAGGCAAGATTTCTAACCAGATTATGAGAGCTATAGAAGTCATCTTCTGTTACAGCAGGTAATTGGAAAGAAACAAATATGACTGCAGTGGTGTGGATTTCAACAGGTATAGTTCCTTTAACCAAAAGGTAAAGCATCTGGTAGGTTCTATCAAAGTAGTTTTCACCAAGGACAGTGGAATTCAGGTTAGGAAGGAATTGCTCTATGAAGGAAAAAAAGCCAAAACAGCACCGTTAAAAATACCTATGTTATCACAATTACCATGTAGTATTTAATATTTGTTTAAATGTAGGAAATTCTGAAAAGATTCAACATTATTCTTCCATAGGAAAGTATGCATATTAAAAACAAAAACAGTTACAGAACTGGCATGCAAAATTAAAGTCAATACCATTGATCATCACTATACATTATATTTATTTTAAAAACAATTAGCTATAGATACAGTATAAATGAGAAATAAAATCAAATTATGAACCCAGGAGCCTATATTGTGCTGGTAACACTGTTTACATGTTCAGAATTTTAAAGCCTTTACCAAAGGCATTTGGTAATTTAAAAATGTAAATTTAGCTTTAATAGCCATCTAGTTTATGCAGTGCTATATATCAACTCTTAAGGAGCGTTTACAATTCAGTGCTTCTATTTTTACCAAGAATAAAAATATGTAATACAAATGAAGTATATACTAAAATATCTCAGAGGGATTTTATGCCACTGAAGCAGGTTTACATTTCAGCCTGAAAAACCTTTGGTTAATGCAAAACAAATTCTACTAGGGAACTGACTTTTGTAAAAGTGGCTGAGATTTTTATATATATAAAATGAATGAATATATATATGATTTTATGGCAGAGTATCAAAAATGTCTTAAGAGCTTATAAATCTACTAACACATACTGAGCCCAGACAAAGGCTGAATCATATAATAGTACTGGAATGGGACATGTAGCTTCTTACCACATTTCATAGTGAGGCTTACTAAGAGAAATAAATTTAAATTTTAGGAAGAAGATATTTCTTATGAATGTAATAGACATTCATAGCAGTTGGTATTAAGAAGCCATTTCATTATTACCATGTATTTCTTTCATATCTACTAGTATAAGTTCTAGATGCAATTTGGTTTAAACATTCTGTGAATCTGAAGAATGCGCTTTTATATTATGAATTGAAGCTGTTCTCAAACTACATTTAGAGGGGGCATGCACCATTTATCCCAGGTAACTTCTCCATGTCTTCCACAGTAATGGAAGGAAGCAGAGACATACATAATAAAACAGAATATTTAGAATTTGGGGAATCTAAAATAATATGTATAGGGGTACCTGGGTGGCTCAGTTATTAAGTGTCTGCCTTCAGCTCAGGTCATGATCCCAGGGTCCTGGGATCGAGTCCCATGTCGGGCTCCCTGCTCAGCAGGGAGCCTGCTTCTCCCTCTCCCACTCCCCCTGCTTGTGTTCCTGCTCTCGCTATCTCTCTCTGTCAAATAAATCAATAAAATCTTTAAAATAAAATAAAATAATATGTATAGATTCATAATACAGGGAAGTAATTTTGCATTCAAAGTGTCAAAGCAAAATGTTCATTTAAAAGCAATGCTGTATCAGAAAAAATATTTATAAGAAGGTGGTAGTAATAGTGTTTTTCAGCCCTTCAACACTTACGTAACCAATTCCCTGTATTAAATACTGTTTGTTGAGACAGTTTCTATTTTGCCGATTTGAATGTTAGAGTACTTGGTACCAAAAGTGTTGTTTTTAAAAAGAATTAAAATGAATGAAAATTAAGCTGTAAATACGGGTAGTTATTTGTATATAAAAAGTGATAACATGGACTCTCGTAGCTTACAAGGAGGCAATATGGCATAATGATCAAGTGCATGGCTTCTAGAGCTAGACTCTGGGTTCAAGTCCTTGTTCTGCCCTCACCATCTGTGTATTACCATGGACTGAACTGTGCCCCCCTCCCCCAGATTCACATGTTAGAGCCCTGACCCCCAATGTAAGGGTATTCAGAGCTGGGGCCTTCAACAAGTCACTGGCCTTAGATGAGGGTGGGGACTTCACGATGGATTAGTGCTCTCATAAAAAGAGATACCGACCGCTTGCTGTAGCTCTCTCTGCCATGCGAAGAAACAGTGAGAAGGCAGCCATCTGCAAGCCAGGAGGAGAGCTCTCACCAGAACCTGACCCCACTAGCACCCTGACCTCATACTTCCAGCCTCCAGAACTGTCAGAAAATAAATTTCTGCTTTTAAGCCACCCACTTCATGGTATTTTGTTATGGCAGCTCTCAGAGCTAAGGCACAGACTGAAGCAAATTGATTCACCTCCTTGTGTCTCAGTTTACTCATCTGTGCCTTGCTCCTAGGGTTATTATGAGAATATAGTAACAATGAGTTAGGATATACAAAGCACTTAGAATCAGTGCCTGGCACATAGTAACATTTCTGGAAGCAGTAGCTATACAGACTATTAGTAGAGATAGGACTGGCTCCATGGACAGTAATGGATGTGGGTTATCCCTTCATACTCTCATGTCTAGCTGGTGTCATGACCTACAGCACACATTCATATAGTTGTTAACTTAGATTATGGGGCACATCTAAAAATGATAAGAGCACATGTGGAATGGAATGTGCTGGCCTTATTAGTACCCTGTTTAAGAAAAGGACTTCCATGAGCAGATAGAAATCCTGGTCTTGCAAATATTGGTAAATGGGTGAGTTTAGCCTTTTCCATGTATTTCATTTATTTTTTATTTATTTATTTATTTTTTATTTATTCATGAAAGTCAGAGAGAGAGAGAGAGAGAGGCAGAGGCAGAGGCAGAGGCAGAGGGAGAGAAGCAGGCTCCCCGCCTAGCAGGGAGCCTGATGCGGGACTCGATCCCAGGACCCTGGGATCATGACCTGAGCCAAAGGCAGACGCTTAACCATCTGAGCCACCCAGGCGCCCCCCATGTATTTCATTTAAATCCAGAGTTTGTTATATTGACTTCATTATGTTCAGTTGATGTTATACTAGCTTTCTTGGCAATACTTCTGGTAACTGCCAATTAATTTTGGCTCTGACCTCTATGAAACAGAAGTAAAGCAGAGATAGGGTAAAAATTCTAAGCCAAATCTCCTCTGTATATAGGAATAACTGAACTACATGTAGAACGTAAATGTTCTCAGGGGGAAAAGGAATGTGCATGATACACAAAAGCTTCCATCTGCATGTGCGCAGGTACGTAAGAGTTCCATCAGGAATAATCTTTCAGGACACGTATGTCATAAATGAACACATCTCAGAATTTGGTGGATCGTGGCTAACAATATCTTCTCTTGTGCTCATCAATGGCTAAGGAACTAAAAATATTAATAACGAAACATTCCAAATAATTTTATACATAATTAAGTCCATATGTAACGTGTATGCTTTATTTTTCTGAGGAAATACCTGTGTACAGATGTCTTTTAGGTTCACAGTATTTCTGTTGAGGGTTCCATACTGTATTTTTGGGGCAAACCAATGCATTGTTCACATAGACATCCAAACGCTGAAGCGTGGGAAAAAAAATTCCTACCACCACAGCCTGTTAAAAAATAAACAACATTTTTGTTTCTTATGAGAACAATGAAACAGAATATTTAGAATTTGGCACTTAAAAATGTCCTTCAACTATATATACCTTCTGTAAAATAGTATAACTAAGTTTTATGGATTGATGATAAATACTGAGTTAAAATTTGTAAATGGCCTTACATTCAACCATTCATACAGACGTTATAACTTAACTCTTAACTGATGATTCTTGGTAGAAAAGCATAATGTAAGAAAGAATTATTAAAGGAGTATCTCTAAAAGAAACATTTCTTTTAAAAGATAACAAAGTTCCAATACAGGCTTTCAACTCCAGGGGCAGGAGGAAACAGGGAATTTAGCAGTGCTCTATAATGCAACCACACAAAATTAGTTAATGTTGAAAAAAAATGCTTACCTCTGAGACAAATTTGGTAGTAAGACTGATAAAAATTAGTCAAAATAGCTACCCTCTCTGATTCAATTTTGTTCATTTTCCATGTTTATACTCCTCACATCTCACGCTACAGGTATAATCATAAAGTAAGGAAGGAGACTAACCTTTACAAGGGCAGAGAGAAATTAATAAGGAATCTAATAAGCTATACACAGTTTTGGAATCTTCTTTTGAGATTATCTTCAGTGGCCCAGGACATTAACAGTCACATTACTTTGTAGTTATTTTTAAAATTAAGAATATTCTCTTCCATTAAAAAATTGAGGGCCTATCTAAACCAGGCCCTATTCTAGGGCTGTCATAAGCCCCTGCTCTATTTGAGGCATATTCTAGTGTGAGGAGAGAGACAAATAAATAGTAGCAATAATAAGCAAAATATGAAGCATGTTAGAAGGTGGTAAGTGCTATGGAGAAAAGGAAAGGTAGATCAGAGTATGAATAATTGGGAGAGCCAACTGAGGTGGGGTGAACAGGCTAGGCCTGTTGGAGGAATGGGGGGGGGCAGTTAGCCACCTAGTGTAGAATGTTCCAGGCAGACTCAACATCTGGAACAAAGGCCCAGGTGGTAACAGGTGGGGGGTGGTCTGGAACAGCAAGGAGCCTGGTGTAGCTGGAGGAGTCTAAGTCAGAGAGCTAAGGATGTGAGGACTCTGGCTCTTGTACAAAGCCCAATGGGGAAATTACTGCAGCGTTTGGGGCAAGGAGTGACCTGGTGTGACTTAGATTTGGAAGGTCTCTCTGTGGCTCCTGAGGTGAGAACAGACAATAGAGCAGGCAGAAGCAGAGCAGTGGGATGGGCTGGGAGCCAACTGCCTTATTCCAGGGAAGAAATAATGTTGGCTCCAAGTGGATGGTAGCAGTGATGGTGGTAAGAAGTGGTCAGATTCTGAATATTTTGAAGGGACACCCAACAGGATTTGCAGATGGACTGGGTGAGGGATATGACCCAAAAAGAGGAATCAAGAACGGGTCCAAGGTTTTATGTCCAGCAACTGAAAGGCTGAGATTGCTATCACCTGAGAAGGGGCAGGAGTCTCTCTTTGCTACTGTTCTCTCTGCTTCATCTTATCCACACCCTTTCTTCACATTCATAATACTCTGGGACTTTCGAGTCTCATACTCTTGGAAAAAAAAAAACTCAATTATGAGACTATTGTTTAACCTCATACTCTTTTCCCATTGACACAGTATATATAAACTTAACTGTCCCAGCTGAGTTCAGTTCATGGCAAAGATTTGATATTATTGAAGATATTTAAAATAACGTGCTGTGATCTCTGAAGTAAATTCCAAAGGTGTATTCCTGAAATATATAAATAGCAGCATGGAAAAATAAATATATAATTTCAGTAACCAATTCTGGATGTGCACTATGTTTATATAAAAGTTCAGGTTTGCTGCCAATCACACAAATCATAGCCCTCACTGTCATGATGGGGGAAAGGTGTTTGGGATGCATATGTGTTCTCAGGCTGATGAAAACTTTCTGGACTAACAGTATTTTTAGTCGTACTCTGATGATCCTCATGACGATGTTCAAGAGAACAGGGGAGGAGATCAATCCTTAGCATATAGAAATAGATGTCAATAACCAACACCAATAGCTCAAGAAATTATTTCGATCTTGTGTTACCTTTTTATGGTCAACATTAAGCAACATCAGTCGAAGATTCTGAGGACTAGTGCCAGTGAAGTAAATTTCATAAGATTTGTTCAGCGCCACAATGCTATGAAACAGGGACAGCCTTCTCTGGCATGTGTATCCAGCACACCAGCCATGATCCTGTGGGCCTAAAGCCACATATATGAAAGTTCACATTCCATATTATGACTATTATTTAGCACAAAGTCTGAAGACTAATTGTATTAAAAATAAATTGCACAAACTGAGGGTTCTAGAGGGGAGGGGGTGGGGGGATGGGTTAGCCTGGTGATGGGTATTAAAGAGGGAACGTATTGAATGGAGCACTGGGTGTTATACGCAAACAGTGAATCATGGAACGCTACATCAAAAACTAATGATGTAATGTATGGTGATTAACATAACATAATAATAAAAAAAATAAAATTAAAAAAAATAAATTGCAGGGTCAAGTTCAGCATTTGCATCCATTATCCATCCACCCATATATCCTTAGCTTAAAAAGAAGGCAGGGAAGCAACTCCTCCCTACGGCCCTTACTTTTATACTGTGTAGGGTAAAAAAGGTAAGTAAATGTGTTGAGTTTGCACTGGAAGGGTCCTTGAAGGAAATAGTAGGTTTATATGATTCTCTACTTCAACAATCATATTTAAGCCCAGGCCCCATGCTAAGAAAGAAAATGCTTTGATCCTTTCTCCTACCTATCAAATCTGAGTTTAGGTGGGGAGCCAACTTTCTCAGACTCTTTAGTGAGAAATACGAGGTTACAGAGTTAATTTTTTAAAAACAGAGCCTGTACTTGGAAATGTGGACATTTGTATGGCTAAACCATGGATTCATTAATTTTTTCGCTCACTCATTTCTTCATCAGTTAATTTGTAAATTCAACAAACTCTTAAGTTTGCTTTTTATGAAGTCTTTAATCTTCCTCCATTGTTATTTTAATACCTTTTTGTTTAAGACTGTGATTATAGGCACCACTGGAGGGTCAACATCATTAACGAGCTGAAGCAATCAGAGAAATAACACTCCAATAAATCCTCTAAAAAGCCAAAGACAGTCGATGCTTTTCTACCTGAATCCAGACATTTCCCCAGAACAGGCATAACATGACTGTTGTAGCAAATTTCTCTATTTCACTTCAGTTTTAAAGTGGCTGGGATTATAAAACACTGAGTGAGATATGGAATGATACATTTTCTTGATGTATTTATTCATTAGCTTTGCTTAATTTCCTGGCTTACCTGGAATTCTTACCAATATTTATAACTGAACTTCAATCAAATTTTAAATAAACATAAACTTCTGAAGCTCAAGTAGAATATCAACTTTCTCTTAGCATCCAAAATGTAAAATCTACTTTTAAATAAACCTTCTTTGTGCGTTTTGAAAACAGAAAGAAATTTCTACATATAAAATGAAAAATTTAGGGGTGCCTGGGTGGCTCAGTCGGTTAAGCGACTGCCTTCGGCTCGGGTCATGATCCCAGGGTCCTGGGATCGAGCCCCACATCAGGCTCCCTGCTCAGCGGAGAGCCTGCTTCTCCCTCTGCCTCTGTCTGCCGCTCTGCCTACTTACGCTATTTCTGTTAAATAAATAAATAAATAAAATCTTTAAAAAAAAAAAAAAAGAAAAATTTAGAGTAGCAAAGCCAGTTTTTAAAAATAAATGAAATTGAGTATTAAAATTTTAAAGGAAACTTTAGTGGTATTCAATAACTTTTACCTTAGGAATTTTTTTTTTTAAGATTTTATTTATTTATTTGACAGAGAGAGACACAGCAAGAGCAGGAACACACACGGGGGCGGGGGGGGGGGGCGGGGGAGAGGGAGAAGCAGGCTTTCCGCGGAGCAGGGAGCCCGAGCCAGATGCGGGGCTCGATGCGGGGCTCAATCCCAGGACCCCGGGACCATGACCTGAGCCAAAGGCAAATGCTTAACAACTGAGCCACCCAAGCGCCCCATACATTAGGAATTTTTTTTCACAATCTAATGCAGTTGCATCTTATGCTTCAGTGATTCTTTCAACATCTTCATAATTTTTGCGATCCTATCGTTTACTTAAGACTTTTCTTTAAATTAACACTCTAAAAATTTATTTTTAAGAGAAATGTCATGTCACTATTGTAAGTGGAAAGCTTGTATTGCTTTTCAGAAAAGAAAAATGTAAAAATAAATAGAATAAAATCTTTCTCCAGCATATAAAACAGAGCAATTTGAAAACATCTCCATTATTCACACTGACTGGTCTAAAGTTCTCCCACAAGCTCTCTGCTTTGTAAGATCTGAAAGGCAGCACTTGAAACTGGGTTGACTGCAGGCCAGAGAAACCAGGCAAATTGCATGTTGCAGGCAACAGAAGTGAGGAGAGACTTGAAATCATGTAATTTTGGGACACCCCTGATTTAGCTCATTCTATTCTCTTTAAAACATTTTTTTTGCATATCGCCATTTCTTTGGATGTTCTTTAATTTCCCTGCTAACACATTTTATTTTATTTTTTAAATTTTTTTTGCCATTTTTTAAATTATGTTATGTTAATCACTATACATTACATCATTAGTTTTTGACCCCTGCTAACACATTTTAAAAAATGAATATTTTTGTGAGGTACTGGCTATTTTGTTGAATCTCAGGATATTTTAGTCCATGTTTTGACACTGCCTGGGCACAGAAATCTTTCTGATCCAGGTTACATGACCCTTTAGCACTGGAAAAACTCTTAAGCCTTCTTAGGGACTTACCTTTGAGCCCCCCACACTATTTCAGGGTAAAACAGTAAGTCCCTGCCCTCTATTTTCTGCAGCTCTTAGAAGTTCATCTTATTTATTCAGAAAGTCCTGGACTCCTAAGTTGATCTGAATTCTCATGGAGACCACTGCCTTTGCTCTCTACTAGAACCACCCATGGCCAGAATGTAAGGAGCCTAGACTCTGAAGCTTGCCAAGATGTTCTTGACAGTCAAAGGAATCAGGAATGAAAACAAACAAACCCCAAAACACATTGATTCAAGAATAAGTCTTAGAAGGATTCATGAAAATAAAAACCGAGTAGGCTGAACATACCTTCTCAAGTACTCCAAATAATACATTATCTGTGTTTTAATTTATGTAAGGCAAATTGTCTTTTTGGAGACAATCAGGCCAATTTTTCCTTAAAATATTTATGCCACCTAATTAATATAGGTATGAAAATCAGTCAAGGAATAACTCTCCTCTTCTTCTTCTAATGGTCAATTTGGAATAACTATCCTGGCTTTCTAATATGGGAATCTACTGAAGCATTAAACAGCCCTCCTGCACATAGATCTTTTCTTACAAACAGAAGGAAAAGCAGTCCTGATGTTTGCTAGTTTAATGTGATAAATAATTTGTGAGACGTCTCCATGCATGTAATAAATAGTAAATGCTTTGAGTAACTACTAGCTTGTTTACACTGAACACATACCATTAATGAGATCAACATAACCATTGCTCAATACAGCCACTGGTGAGAGTCTTCGAGTTTCTGTGTCAGAATCCAGGCTTTCAATAACCATCATTGCATATTCCATCCCAAAACACTGATAGCTCTGCCATTGTGGAATGTATTTACAGGTTGAATCTCTAATAATTCCTAGAAACAGGTATATACATCTTAGAAAGGAAAAGCAATCTCTCCAAAAACATCCATGTACTTTTTCTTTTATGTAAGATTAGTAAGTAGAAAATATGTTATTGGTTGATTACCCCAATTACTAAAAATAAAAGATATATTTTGTTTCACAAACTTGAGGACTGACAGGAGAATATCCAACTAACCTTTGTAAGGTGCTTTCTCAGTGACAGGAATTCTACTTCCATTTGGGAATGTGAGCATCACCTTAGGAATCCTGTAGTCTCCAATTCCAAATTGACTATTTCCATTCCACTCATATTCTGCTTGAGGTATCACTGAACCAGAATTTCCCAGAAAAGAGCCGTCCATATCTCTAAGAAAAGATTTCCTTTTGGCATCACAAACCATGTCTACGCAATCAGCTGGATTCACCTTACTGTGGAGAAAAGGCAAAACACATGAATATTTATATTTAGTACCCTTCCCCTGTTTCTAGAGAGCTGAATTTCAGTTGAGTGTTTGGTAAGAGAGTATCCAAAGTTTTTTTGATTGATTGAATCTTATCATTTCAGAAAGGATTAAAGATGGGACCAAGTCACATATGTAATTAGTATTGAAATAAGGTCTGATTTTCCATTCTGTTGGTTTGTTACATTATTATTATTAATTCATTAACATTTCAAAAGGACAAGTTATACCTGTGAGATATAAAATTAGAGTTCCATTTTGTTATTCCATATTTTGTTAAATGATAGATTTCAACCTTGTGCATTGCTCGCAGTATACCAACATTGCCCCATTGAGCAGGCCAACAGTTAGTCTGTTGTGTCGGACATACAAAATCCCTGTGTTGGAAGTCTCTCCCTTCTTTTTTTCACGGGTCTTTAAAATTTATAAAAGTATTGTATGCTTACTATAAAATAATTTAAATACTTAAAGTTTAGTCCCCTTATCTCAAGCTTTTAGGTCATCATCAATTGCATATTATGTGTATAATATTATATAGATTTTGTTTATGTATATACAAACAGATATACTTGGATTATTATTGCTATGTTACATATTTTAGTAACTATTCTGTAAATACCCAAACTGTAAGAGATGAAATACTATATACTTATCATGTAGTTCAACCATAGATAGCATTCCACCTTCATCTTGAGCTACCTAGAGTGTTGATTGTTAACTGGTAATAATAATAAAATAGATGCTTAATTTGCAATATACTGCACATTACATAGTATACAGTATAGTTATACTATGTCATGATATATACTATGGGGAAATATAACTTATTCCGAAGTTATAACAACAAAATAATAGTGGAAACCTCAGAACTATTAGGTAGTGTTTAACATCTCTTTCCCTTTTTGCTGTAAGAGAAACATGAAGGGGTAAGTTGCCCTTTACTGTACAATAATAGCTTTGGAGATGACTTGAATAAATATTTCTGTAGCTCATGGGTTCTTTGTGTTCAAGTATGTGAAGATGCTACTGTGAGCAAGTCTGTAGGTAGAGTACCCAGTGGCACTTTTATATTATGACTTAGAGCTCTATCTTTACTTCATGTTACAAAGAAACAGAGCCTAAAATGTAGATTTTTGTTCAAGTGATTTATTGAAGGAATTCTCTCAAAAAAGAAGGAGAGAAGCCACATAGGGCTAAGGAAAGAAAACAAGATTTCTATGGTCTGTGGACTAGCTTCATTCTGATCCCAAGGGTACCTCTGGATCATCAATTGCACCCGGGGTTGCTCCCACCTTGAGACAAGGGGGTTGGCTTTTTGTACTCCTGTATAAACCAGTCATTTTGCATGGATTGAAAGGAGGTGGTGTTAGGGAAGGTTTTAGCACCCCAAGGCTATTCCTGTTCAGCTAAGAGCAATTTTCTGGAAAAGAGGGCAACTGTAGGTTATTATTGGCCAACATTTACATCATTGGGGGACTGGGTGAACTGTCTTGTAAAAGGGATCTGGGAAAATGCCAATAGCATCTTAACAAAAGCACAGAGCCAAAGACATTATATTTTAAAATGTGGTATTTTCTGGGGCACCTGGGTAGCTCAGTCGGTTAAGCATCCAACTCTTGATTTCGGCTCAGGTCATGCTCTCAGGGCTGTAAGATTGAGCCCCACGTGGGGCTCTGCGCTGACCATGGGGCCTGCTTAAGATTCTCTCTTGCCCTCTCCCTCTGCCCCTCTCCCTTCCCGCTTGCGTGCTCTCTCTCAAAAAAGTAGTATTTTCTTCATGACCTAGGTATTAAAATTATATATTACATCTGAAAGATTCAATGATAATTAAACAGAAGCTAATAATATTCTAGTGAGGACAGGCTCTATTGAGCCCCAAATTACTGCAGTTCAGTAATTCCTAGATGAGATGTGCAGTTGTCACCAAAACAAAATCAGATGAAGTGAAACTATTTATGAAACACTGCATTTGTCTGAAGAGATGTCTATCTAATGAGACAGCATTATTCCTTGTCTTCTTCCTATGCTGACAATGGTCAAAGATCTCTCATAAAAAATTTCTTTCCTCCAATCTTGTCTTACATCTGAATTCCTGGTCTGCTTCTCTTAGAAAAGTGTAGCAGTTACTGACTATCTTCTTTTAAGATTTAGGGTCTAAGTGGCTCAGTTTCTATAAATATTCTGACTCCAACTGACTTTTGTGATTGAAAAGTCACTCTTCTGCGTTTCTGCATCTTCTCAGTCACAGTGATTATAATGATTGATGTTAAATTTCAAAGTGCATTTTGGGGTGAACATGTAAGATATTTGGAAAGCAACTGGAAACAAAAGAAGTAAGGCAAAGGGCAGAAATGATAGAGATGTCTCTCATTGCTAAAGACCATTAGTGGAGAGATACTAATGTACAACACACTTCTAACTTGGTCTCTTTTCTTTTATGATGGGATGCATGGAAAAAAAGGTATGAGAAAATATACATATTAAAGACTAGCTTCTTCAGTTTAACTGAAAACACAAATGCATTAAATATTCTTAATTTTCATGATCCTGATTACAATTTTATAGAAATTAATAGTTACTTTAATATAACAACTTTCTCAGATCTATGGCAGGGAAAAAAAGACAATGGAAAGCTATAAATACAGGAAAGAAAAAAACGGACTTTGATACATTGTACCTTATATCAGGTCTATGTATGAATATTTTTGATTGTTCAGTAGTATCAACCAGCTGTATGTTCTTCACATGGATTGGATGCTGTAAGTCTTCATTTAAAGGGTTAGTAATGAATATCACATTAGTTTCACCTGAACAAACATTCTTAAATCCAACAAATGTTGAACCTAAAACATAAATAACAAAAAAATAATTATTTTCTAAGGAGAAAGTGATAAAATCAGTTTCATTTCATGTATATTCCAGCAAACACATCATATAACACCACTCTGAACATGGAGCTCTTAGCTTATGTGGTAGATAGTCCACCACTATTTGTGTTAGATTGTTGCCTCCCTATATTAATACCATTGAATAGTCTTCTCATATTTTCTCTGAGCTTAGTTATGTGATTGGCTTTGACCAATGGGACAAGAGCAATTGTGATATAAGTAGATCTGAAAAGTGCTTGCATATTAGGGCTCACTCTCTTTTGGTGCTTTTGGGGAATTCTGTGACTTCTAGCATGTGAATAACCTTAGGAGACATATGGCCCAATCACCCCCATTACTCCAGCTAATGGCCAACCCAACGATTGGCAAGTACCAACCACCAGACATGGAAGTGAGATTACCTAGACCAACTAGCCCCTATCCATCCTGTAAACTGTGGGCAGCCTAAGGAATAATCCCAGGTGAGACCAGCAGAAGAACTATCCAAATGAACAAAGCCCAAATTGTCAATCCACAGAATCATGAGCTAATAAATGGTTGTTTAAAGACTCTAAATTTTGGAGGTATTTTGTTACACAGCAAAGACTATTTGAAACATGGTTCTTTTGGCCTTATTGCATATATTGTATGACCAGAAGATAAAGTTTATTGAATTCAAACTTAATTTCCATTGTGCTTAAAATCCAATAGCTCAAAAATAGAAAAAAAGGAAAAGGTAACTCCAAAATTCTTAAATCAGTTATGTACTACTACTATTCTTCCTGATGATATTTTTTCCTAAGATGATATTGTATATACATGAATATGAGCTTGTAGATGAATACTAATAAAATACCATAGTAGCAGACACTGTTTGTAACCTGTACAAATCTGCTTTACTGGCCCAGTGCACTTGTCCTCAGCTCCTATAAGTATTAGCTGCCAACTACTCACACCTGCCCCTTTCTCCAGAGAATTGCCCTTGACCAGATGACAACTCCCTCTCCTAAGAGATTATGCACTCCTTAATACCACCACCAAAGGGCTATCATGTCTAATTGGCAACTGATACAGAAGGTCCCCTTGCCTCAAGAGGGGGAAATTAAACTACACAGCCCCCTAAGGTATCAAGAAGGAGCTAGACTCCAGCTGAGACCATATCCTTGCTTAGCTCTGCCCTATCCTACTTCCCTCACTCCCTTTCTTGTGAAAACACACCTTTAATAAACCACTTGCACAAGAATCCCATCTCTGGCTTTACTTTTAGAACACCTGATTTAGACAGTGAGTACCAAAGTGGTCCTAGGATACACACTGTAGTGATGCAATAATGAATTTAGCTCACTTGCTGTCTGGATGGGAAAGAGGATGCCCTTACTGGTGGCAGGTGGAGTACTGATAGTCCCTAGAATGCTCTAACAGTGCAACTGTTAAGATTTCACTCGTGGTGAACTGGGATAATATCTAGGTGGAAGGAAATGCTCTGGCTTATACAGTAACTTTGGCATTGGAGTGGTAAAGGGGAAACAGTGGTTACAAGGAAACGAGAAGTAGGTGACTGTTGACCATCACTGGTGCTTTGAAGAAAAAAACTGTAAGCTGTGGTAATCAATCACAAATTCAAGGCAAACCTCAGGATCTGATCACAAAACCAGCACAGCATTCATAGAAGGTTGAATTCTTAGCCCTGGCAAGTCTCCTACATCAAAGACAGGGCTCTAATAGAAAAGAAATGGAACTCTGAGTTAGGATGGGAATATAAGGAAGATGAACTTGAGCCTTGAAACCCTGGGTTCCCCTTGAATGTTCCAGATCTGTATAAGTGGTCTGCTTTTCCCTTATTAGAGGATAGCTCCCTGCCCCATTTGCTGAAATCATGACAAGACCTCAGAAGAAAAGGCAAATCTTGCCTTTCTCAGGTCCTGTCCCCATCTCCCCTTCTGGCAAACAGAGCAGTAAGTCTGGTCAAGTCTCAACATGGTCTGACTGTGGCAGTGCTAAGCCTGCTATGGGATGAGAGGAATTATAGACCAAAGGAACTGCAGGAACTGAGTAACATGTACTGGCAGGAATCAGGAGTATATATATCTGAGAGTAAATTGTGATGATGTTAGATCAAGGGGGAAAGAATATAAAGCTAGATAAGGGAGAGTGTCACTATGGATTGGGGTATTCTCCCATGCTGCTGTCATGGCTTTTCTAAGTTTGGAAAATGTCATGTTCCACTTTAAATGAAGTGGATGATAAGAAACGGCAAACTGTAGGAGAAGGGGTCAAAAGTCTCTGAAAAATGAAATATTGGAATGAGTCTATTATATAAGGCCAGTGCATTTCAGCCCCACCTGGGGATGGCCTTGAAAGAGTGTGGCATGGGCAGATTCTACTATGGGATAGAAATTTGGGTAGTACCCAGGGTGACCCACTTTGTGTGAAGAGAGAAGTGGCGTGAGGTAAGGATAAACATAAAAAATGACTTAGCTAATTAGTCAGGGGCCTGGAAGGAACAAGACTGGATGACTGGGTAAAATGAAGCCTGAGGGAAAAGCATGTGCATGGGTCTCTGGGAGTAAGCACAGAGGGCATGTTAGTGATCACCAAAGTGTATCAACTATGGAAGAAGCACTAAAGAAATAAATGAACAGGATGATAGAGCCAATAGATGTTACTAAGCTCTTAGGTTATATGAGTTTAAATTTCTTCAGTTGTAAAAAGAGATAATAATATATAACCCTACTTATATAAAAGGGTTTTTACAATTTATAGAAATGAACATTAAATCACTCACTATATCAGTGTTTCCTCTGTTGTTTTAGAAGGAAAAATTAAATGTCACTTCTTTAACATATACAAATTTTGCCAGGGAACCATTCTTGAAATTGACTGATGTCTAATTTCCTGGCTTCTCACACTGAGCAGATTCATATACAGATTCATTTAAATCATTATTTTTACTAATAGTGAAACATTATTAGACATATTCTACATATTCTTTATAGAACTTAATGGAGTAGATTTGTCAAGACTATGTTTAAACTTGCCTGAGATATCCAGAAGGCCACTAATGGCATTGTAGCTCATGAGCCCTGCATGGGGCTTCCGGGGTGCCATGTTATGTGCTGAAGCAAAGGTAGGCCAGCAAATCCCACTTCTCCCACCTTTTATGAAAGAAAGAAAGTTAATAAGATTCAAATATGCACCCACATGAACACCAAAACTGAACTTCTAAAATTCTCACCTGATGGAGGTCTAGCACTCCGATGGGCGGCAGAAAGTTCAATATTGGGATCATCATTAGTTAGGACATCAGAGCAATTAAATCCAGGGCTACTTCCAACAATTAATGCACTCTATTTAAAAAAAATTCAAACAGTACAGCTTAAATAATAGCTTTTCCTCAGGAAAAATATGATAATGGATAATACTGAATTCCACCATAGCAAAACACAACCTTGAAGTTTGAGGAAGGGATCATTCAAAAAGCCAAGATGAAAAGGATATGACTTTATGCCCTGAGTGGAATGACAGTCAAACTGGGAAGGGAAAGACAGGTGGGTAAATTATTATAATGACATGTTACGTTTCTGTGATAGAAATATGCCCAGGGAAGAGCAAGAACAAAAAGAGGAGAGAGTATCAATACCATCTAAGCTAGTTCAGGAAAGATGTCATAGAGGGAAGGAAAATTTCACTAACTGTGGCAAGATTAGCAGGTGGTACGCAAGAAGATGTGAGGGGAGCAGGGAGGAGAGGGAAAGATAGAGCACTTCCTGGAGGAAGACAATGAGAACAAAGACAAGGAGGTTTCGACTTGCTGGGCTTAGAGGTCAAGGAGATCATTCTTATCGGAACTTCAGTAATTTTACCCTTTCTCCTTATTTTGGCTGTATTCATTTCTTACCTTAATCTGCACTGTTTTACTGGAAATTTTGTGAGATACAGCAGCTGGCATGTAAATCATTGAAGAAATGGCCATCCCATTGTCAACCAGAGTCACATTATAGATATGCACACTCTCTGTGGTCTGTAAAACAACTTGTAGTTTACATAGTAAAAAATACAATCATAAAACAAGATAAATAATCACCACCCTGGATCACATTTACCTGAAAATAAATTCCATAATCCCAGCATGTCCAAATGGTAAATCCCTGTATAAGAGAACACCCAGGAAGGCCATCTTGGTTCATATAAATACCATACAAACCTCCATGGGCTTCATTGTCAAACCACTTTTCCATGGGATTAGACTGACCTTGTAAAGAAATATGAAAACAGAGAATTAACATTGTAAGTCATGTCCTAGAGCTTTATAAGAAGTATGATAAAGTTAAAATTTTTTAAATTAAATGTATAAATCTTATGTAAATTTTAACATGAAAATTAAATATTGTTATGGCTTACTCTACTCAGGATTTAATCTTACCTAATTTGTCCCTTCACCATTAGTATGACTGCAAAAGTTTGGTTTAGTTGTTAGCACATTTAACTTACTATCTCTCATTAAACACGAATTTCATGAGAAAGTGCATGGTGTTTGGATTCAAAGAAGGCTAACCCTGAAACACAATGATACCGCTTGCTGTTTATAAAATGCTTCCCCTGCACACCTTTTTGTTGTTGGTGCCTCCCGGTCATCTCATTTTCAAGTTAGGTGTCACCCCCTTACAAGGCCTTCTCTGACTACCTGATTCAAAGTAGCACCTCAGTTCCTTCACAAGGCCACTAACATTATTTTCACTTGAAATTTTATTATTACTTATTCATGAATTATCCATCTCCTCTCTCCTATTAGAAATGTAAGCTTCATGAGAGAGGACACGGTGTTTATCTCATTCACCACCATATTCCTAGGGCCTAGAAGGTCATGCAGAGATAGGTGTTCATTTAACTATCTGTTGAATTGATGTACGTATGACCTTGGAACATTGTTTAACCTTTAAGACCTCAGTTTCCTCAAATATAAAAAGTTTTAATACCTAATTTAGAGTAGTCTCAGAATGAAATGAAATAACCCACATAAAGTGCCTCAATAAACGGAAGCTATACTCATTATTAATATATAGGAAACCTGAAGTAGATTTTTTATGAAACTTTACTTACGTACAAAACAGATCAGCAATCTTAATAATTCCCTCCTAACCATGCACATATTGGAGGCTTCTCTATAAAGAGCAGCATCACCCCCTACAGGTTACTTAGTACCAGCTCTCTTGACCAAGTCTCCTGGTATCTGAATTCCTCCTATCCTCTATTGATTTTCCTTTCTTCCTAATACTTTGGGGTTGAAATTTTACTTGTCAACTGCCTGGATTCTGTTTTGTTTTCTCCATAAGAAGCTGTTCACATGTCTCTCCCTTGGTTCCATATAGTGTTGCCCCTGGGACCCAGTGTGAGTCATGGTTCCCTTCCCAGCCTCCCAGCCTCCGGCTCCCAGTCTCTCACTTGCCTGGGAGGTTCACTAGATAGGCTGGTGTCCCCGTTCCAGGAACTTAAACCCTCATTTCCTCAGTGATGTCTCTTATTTCAATTTCTCTTAATCCCAAACTTCCTTGTAAACACTCTCAATTATTTAGGAATATCAATATAGTCAGTGAAATATACATATTAGTAAATATTCATATTCACGGATCATATTTTGACTTGAAAAAATCCAGGACAACACTTCAAAGAAGTTGCAGAAAAATGACATATTTTAAAATTTTAGTCAAAGAAAACTTTTAAACTGCTGAGAACTAAAATATTTAATAACAGTATATATCAAGGAATCAGTTAAATTTGTTGGCAGTTGTTTTATTCCTTCAAAATGTATTTACACAAGAATAAAATTAGCTTAAGCCCAATAATTTTTGAGTTTCCAGAAAAATGCTGATTTACAAAATGCTGATTCAAAGAATCTTAAAAATAACTACACTGAGATAAAAAAAAATCAGCTGTACAAGGGATATAAAGTTTTCAGAGAAAACCCCATTTCCTCTGAGTTTCTCAAGAGGTAAAGTCTGCAGCTCTATTACTCATTTTATTTTGATCCGATAATTCATTTACCTAGTTGGAAAACCAAGAGGTTATAAAAAGTTATACAATATTAAGTCACCAGTCACCCTGTTACTACTCACCTGTTTTGGTTTTTTTGCTTTTATACTTTGTGTCGCTTTATGTAAACACAAATAACCATATATACTCCTATTTTCTTTCCTTTCTTCCACAAAACATACGATAAACAAAACAGTATATATATAGAGAGAGTTGTATATAGAGTTATATATAGTTGTATATTGTTTTATATATATATATTCTGCAATCTCCATTTATCACTTAAGAATATCCTGCAAATTTCTTTCTCCATATCAATACATCGATATGTATCTTCTTCCCTCATTTTGAGAGGTGCCTAGTGTTCCAATATCTGGCTTTATATAACTAGTCCACTGTACTGGACACAAGGCAGCTTGCAGTTTCCTGCTAGCACACACAATGTTGTGATGAGTCACCTTGTTCACAAATCATTTTGTAAGTGTTACAGAGGCAAATATTACTTAGATTGCCAGAAGTGGAAATGTTAAGGCAAAAGCAAATGCTCCTATAATTTTGGCAGCTATTGCCCCGTTCCGCTCTGTAGGGGTTATATTGTTTTGTCATTCAATCAGCCAGAACATTACACAACGTTCTAGTTTCCCTAGACTTGCCAAAAGAGTAGTTGTTCAGTTAACTTTTGAGTTTTACTCCTCTAATAGAAATATAGCTGAGAACTATCTGTTCATGTCCTTTGGCTTATTCCATGCTTGCAAGTTTAAATGCACAAATAGTGAGCATTTATTCCTGTCAAGAGGAAACATGCAACAGTGTCATATCCCTGTAAACATGTATCTCTAAAGTGTTGCTTTTATGAAAGTGGTAGTGGGATGAGGTACTCACTGTTCCAACACCAGCTGCATCAAGAACTGAAGTGGCTGCTAGAGTTTTTGGATCATAAGCATGTAAAATTATCTTTAAAAGCCTATTCAGGGGCACCTGGGTGGCTCAGTCGGTTAAACGTCTGCCTTCAGCTCAGGTCATGATCCCAAGTCCTGGCTCAGTGGGGAGTCTGCTTCTCCTTCTGCCCCTCCCCCTACCACCCCCTTCTCCCGCCCCACTTGTGCTCTTCCCCACCTCTCAAATAAATAAATAAATAAATAAATAAATAAATTCTTTATTTTTTTAATAAATAAAATCTTTTTTAAAAAAGCCTATTCATTTTTTTTTCATAGACTCAATGCTTGTTGAGTTCTTTCAGTACCCTGGAGGAGGAGATATTACATATTGAACTAACAAACCATAATTATTTCTAACAAATTTGGACAAGGTATTTCTTAGTTTTAGTGACTCTGTGCCGAAAGACTTACTTGAGCAAGGTTCACCATCAATGCGGTATCCCACCCTTCCAAATCCAGCCACGACGTTATTTTGTAAGACTGTATTGGTCCCTCTGTTTATCTAGTACAGTGAGAAGGGAAAGGCTATGGGTCAGGCTCTTACACAACGGTACAGGGAGAGCAAGTCTGCGACACATATAGGAAAACTAATTATGACTACCCTGTAGGAGGAAAAATTAATTTCATTATTCAACCCATTCACATTTACATTACAAATGAAGTATTGAAATTACCTTAAGTTCTTGGTGTAAAATCATCACTAGACACTCTATGCCTTAGATTTCATTAGAAAACAGCATTAAAGAGATTTTTTTTTTACTTCAGTCACAAAATCCCCTGGGTTTCATTCAAAATTATAAGCCATAGACCAAATTCCAATATTAGAGCAAGGTTAGTAGGATTTTATCATTCTTTGGTTATATTACATTACCACTTTGATTTATTAAGAGAAAACTAAGGCAATTATAGTGGATCATAAGACTCAGTAGAAGCACTTACTAGTTTAAATAAAATCTGCTATATTAAAAACAGGTTGAACACAAGTGTTAGGTAGTTACTAAACAATTTTACTTTACGAGCCCAGTCAAGGGGGCAAAAAAATGAAAAGTATAGAGCAAAGAAGATTTAATTCTTGCCTCTGGTGTCAGCAAAACAGTCAAAATCTCAACTATTTAAAGTATTAAGCACATTTATTTATTTATTTATTTATTTATTTATTTATTTATTTACAGCAACCTTGCCAGCATTTTATTTTACCATTCTTTAAAAATTTAACATGTTCTTCACTAAGTAACATCCAGATTAACCTTAATTTGCCTCTCCTAGGTGACAAGTGAGGCTGGACATTATTTGTATTTTCTGGACATGTTATTTGCTCACAGACTGAGAGATAATTTATTACATTTATTGACCCCCACAGGACAAAGGAAGAGATGTTTCTGAAACTGGGGCCTGACTGGTTCCTGCTCCTTGTGCAGGGCCACGTGCATCCCAGCACCACCCTGCTGGGGTTGAAATTGCTACTACACTTTTTGGCAAGCCCCTCCCTCTGCAGGAAATTTAAAGATGGCCTGTGTGTGGGATCCTGGGTGGAGAGTAGCTCTGAGGGTAAGCACCTTTATTTTGATATATTATGATAAGAGAACAGAGTTAAATGAAATTCATAAAAGTAAAGTCAGTTCCTTTTCTTTCAAAAGATACAGAAAACTTTAAAGATTTGGAATTGACATTGGATTATATTCTCACATCTATAAATAGGATGAAAAGAGAACATTCTCATAAATGTATACCAAGTTCCAGGCCTTCAGGTTTTACTTAAGGTGATTATTACTAGTTGCACAAAAACAAACCTCACTCCTTATCCCATCTTCCCAAAGAGCTATTTTTTAAATTTCTTTTGGCTCTTATGGCATAGGAAGTAGAAAAAAAACAAGATGGAGCCATGTGTCCTCAACCTTTTTTCTGTACTTTCTGTTTGCTTGCCTGCAATCTCATCCTACACCTGATGGCCTACAGTGATTGAAGAAACTTCATGGGGACCAAGAAGGGTCCAATTAGTAATACTAGATAAGAATAAATAACCTCACATAATCATAAGAATTTTAGATGAGAAAGGAACTTTAGAGATTCTGTAGTCTATCAATTCTAATTTTCCGTATGATGAAGGAAACTAAATTCAGAGTTAAGTAGTAATATGTGCAAGGCACTCAGTCAATGAGCAGCAGAAGACCCTGTACCAGGACTTGGAAGTGATAATTAATGCCTGAGAAGCAAGGAAGTAAGAGAATTATTTAAACCACTGGACATCAACACAAAGAAAAATTCAATGGCTGTGGGAGCTCACATCTCTCAAGAAAATTTATTTACTCCTTTCATTAGCTCATTTTATTAATTCATCAATCTTTATCTAAGGAGAAAACAGTTTTCAATAATATTTTAAGACAGTTTCTACAGAATTTATAATCTGTGGTATATAATCTGTAAAGAAATTACAAATCATAATTTAGGATACTCTTGTAAAGTTATGTCATTATTTTATATAATTATAAATCACCCTACCTCAATTGCTGCATGCCAGAGAGTTGAACTTAAATCTTTTCTGTTTTGGTAGGTTCCTGGCCAAACTGAAAGTGCAACCAAGTTTCCTCGAACTCTGTTGGCATCCCCCCATATTCTTATACCTGCAAAAAATGAATAAAATCCCCCCAAATACATACAGATTTGTAATGAGTACTATGGGGAATGTCTTTCACGTTTCCATGAAATTAGTTTTTCTAGTTCGAGCTTGACTAATCAATCTCTTAAATTTTAGAGTATGCCCTTTGAACTCTACCTCTTTAATAATCTAACTGCTTTAGACTCTTCTGGGGTGCCTGTTAAATATGTGGGTTCCACATATGAGGATCCACCTCAGATTTTAACAAACACCAATTCTGTATACATTAAATGAGTTTGTTTTATGCTTCATACAGATATTCAAGAAAGGATTACCTCCTAAAATCAAGCCCAATTTTTATAAAATAGTAACATTTATTTGTGAGTAATCTTTTTGACTGATAGGTAAGGAGCATTTTAAATGTCATAGTAAAAAAGTCATAGTAATTTAAACTATTGATGATTAGATAATTCACACAAGATCATGGTCTGGTAAATAACTCTTCTAGAGTTGTACTGTCCGATATGATAGCCATAGCCACGTGTAACTACTTAAACGTAAATTAAGTACAATTAAAATGAAAAATCCAGTTCTTCAATCATAGTAGCAACATTTTAAGTATTCGTTGGCTGCATGTGGTTTAGTAATTACCATACTAGCACAGATAGAGGCCATTTCCATTCTCTGAAAAAGATCAATTGGACGGCATGGCTCGAGTGTTTTCAGATAAGATTGTCTCAGAAAGCATATTATTTGGACAAAAAGATTATCATACTACCTTCCCCCACTGTAAAGTGAATGACGTTGTCATCTATGTCCAATCCATCTGTCCCAAACACACCAATTGCTGGGGAAAAGCCATTGTGAAAGGCACAGCCTCGAATATAGGATGAGCCATGTTCTTGAATCTATAAAACATCAGGATTCAGTGAACGTTTTAAAATAAAATTAAAATACATTTAAAGAAAAAATTTGAAGTAGGTGATTTTCAGGAAACAAATCTTGATAAATAAAATACTCAATTCACATTCCATCAAAGAAGATGATTTCCCTGTAGATCTTTTAATCCTGGGAAATTTCCATATCTTCAATTTATGATTAAATAAAGCAAAATGCAGATTTAAATGCAGATAAAAAATTCTGAAGTACTTTTCTATGCATTTTTATTTCTATCATTACCTATAAAACACTATGGAGCTAAAAATTATTTTTCAGAATACTTTATTATACGATAAGCAGGGACTTTTTTTAATTACAAAAGTTGATACTCTAGGCAGGGGGTTACAATTCAAAGGTCTGTAGGAACCAGCCAACGAGTAAGTAAGTAAGCAACGAGTAAGTAAGCCAACCTCAAACCTACAAGATTATTTTTTATTTTCATAAAAAATATGTTCTCTCTTATTTGTTCTTCAATCACCAGCCTTCTAAGCACATCTCTTTTCCCACTTTTGACAGAAGCATGGATATACAGACATGCTTTTCATTTGAGAAATGCAAGCAACTCACTTTGTTCAATAGAAACTATTTGTAAATAGTTTTGATCACTGCAAAATAAAGTGGAGTTATGAAATAATATCATAGATCTTTAATTCTTTTCACTTCTGTGCTCCTTTTTGTTTGCCTGTTTTTTTTACTGACTTAAAAAAAAATGTGTGAAATGGGTAAATCAGATGCTGCTATGAGTCTAAAAAAGTTGATGGAAAATGTATCTAAGAAAGTTATATTAGATCATCACCTTAGCAATTCTAAGATATGACTTTTTAGTAAACTTAAATAAAATAAAATCAGGGGTGCCTGGGTGGCTCAGTCGTTAAGCGTCTGCCTTTGGCTCGGGTCGTGGTCCCAGGGTCCTGGGATTGAGCCCCACATCGGGCTCCCTGCTCTGCAGGAAGCCTGCTTCTCCCTCTCCCACTCCCCCTGCTTGTGTTCCCTCTCTCGCTGTGTCTCTCTCTGTCAAATAAATAAAATATTTTTAAAAAAAATAAATAAAAATAAAAATACTTTATTTTGAATATATGCGAAAATTGAAGTACAAACCTGTCCTAAGTTAAGAAATGTTACGGCGTATCTTGGATCCGTGCTATCCCTGAAGCCTTCTTGACCACTGTGATAAAATTCCACGTTACTTATCCTTGCATTTCCTGGCAGGGCAGGAAGGAAGAGTGAAAATATTTTTTTCTTGAAACAGAATAAAAATTTTTGAAAAGCTACACGAGTTGTAATTTTCCAAATTGCAAATTTGCTTTCAACTTTTTCACGGAAATCTCATTCATTTTTCTTTGCTCCTTTAATCCAAATCAGGCAGTGTTTCTGAATTTTTTTTCACTGCCCCCCACGAGAGCCTTTTTAGACTTTTTCTTTCCTAATAGCCTCCCCTCCCCATGGAATTTAATACCTCAGATATACTATATATCTGTTAATGTACAGTGCCTCTTTGGAGGGCCACAAACTATTGCTCATCTAAATTTTCCTGTCCTGGGGCACCTGGCTGGCTCAGTTGGTTGAGCATCTGCCTTCGGCTCAGGTCCTGGGATGGAGCCTGCTTCGGGCTCTTGGCTCAACAGGGAGTCTGCTTCTCCCTCTCTCTCTGCCCCTCCCCCTTCTCATGCACATGTGCGCTCGCACTTTCTCTCTCTCTCTCTCACTCACGCTCTCTCTCAAATAAATAAATCTTTTTAAAAATTACATTTTTTGTCCTGCAAGAATAAGTTTTCATCCCCTTGGTAGTGATATTCTTCCTGTTGAGAACGCATGACATAAAGCACAAGATATAATCTACCTGACAGTTCAGTTTTGACGATCTAAAGAGATTTGAAGGGCATTATCTTTACATAATCCTTTCCAGAATATGCATTACCAAGTATCTGCTCATCAGTGTGTCATAAGTACCACTGAGGTGACAAGAAGCAATTTCACAGATTAGTAATAATAGCAACAGCAATCCATGGGAGAGTACTCTGTGCCAAGTGCTGCACTAAGTGCTTAAAAGGCAATTTGTGGTTTAATTCTCATACAACGTCCTGTGAGTTAGGAAATTTTACTATTCTTATATTTGATATAAGAAAATGGAGGCACAGAGATTCATGGCTGGTAAAAAACAGCAGGGGGTATTCCTTGTTTCAAAAACTGATATTTAATAAAATGCATTAGAGAAGAGTTGCTTTGTATTAGAAGGGAAAAGCCTGTCTCAGAATCCATGAGCCAGCAATTGGATATACGGTGGAAAATATAATAATAATATCATACAGAGAAAAAATAGTTACTACAGACCATCTGGCCTACAAAAGCCATAGATGTTTACTAACATCACAAAACAATTTACAGAAGCAAGGAAAGGTTGTCATGGGAACAAGTCCATCATGGGATTTGAAGTGGATTAGTCTCCAAGGTGTGGATTAGTATCCAAGGTCAGAGCAATTTGATTCGTCTAATAATCTATTTATCTATCTTTAAAATGCAGAGCACTATGAAGATTAAATGAGATAATATGTGTTAAATGCTTGGTATAGTGCCTGGAATATCAGGATCATCATTACTGTTATCATCATTAGTTAAGCTCCTGTTGACAAATTATGACCAATAGGTAGAAGCTATAGTGAGACGGCTGCTTGCTCAATATAAAGGTTTTCTGAAAATAGAGCTGTTGCAAAATGCAATAGGCAGAATTATGAACAAGGACCTGCTAAAACATTCAAGTCAAGAATAAACGACTGGCCTCTGGTACCCAGATTGTGGGATCCAAACATCAGTTTCCAATAAAAAGAACCAGCATTACTTGGAGGGATGACTTATTTCCAGGCTCAGAAAAACAAAACAAAAAAACAAAAAAACATGTGTTTGTCATATCAGAAAGTGAAGAAGCTAATGAAACTTAAAAGGACAGAGGCATCAACATGAAAATTGAAGGTCAGTGGTGGGGCATTTTCATTTGTGAATGGCAATTGGGCATTTCCAGTATCAATAAGATTAACAATCACAATCCATATATGGATTAGACCATACAGTATGTTTAAATCCATAGAGCTTATAATGACGCTAATAACAACAACAACAAAAAAAATGCCTGTCACTTTTGGAGAATGACTGGGAATCAACTCACTATTTCAAAAACTAGCTAATAATAGGAAAGAATCAAGCATTTTCCCTACATTTCCTATATAAAATATTTCTCAGGGTAATCAAATAGTTGACTGGGGAAGCTTCTCTTTACAGAAATATTCTAGATTATAAATTAGGTGGGAATTGTAGAATTAAAATATCACCATTTTAAACCTCCATAATTTAATAGATCCAGGCAATGATCATTAATGGCTGCTAACTTCACAAACGGAGACATAATCAAACATTGTGTCTACTAATGGAAAAATATACCATCAACTATGAAGAAGTCTTGCCTAAAAATGGAGTTTGATTATGATCAATTTTTTAGTTCTACACTACCTATGATAGAAAATACAAAGGAGACAGGCTTACACTCTAAGGATGAGCCACTAAATTCCAGACTGTTGGAAATACTATAGAAGAGATGATCTAGCTTCTTTTCTAAATAAACTATAAGGGGAGATAAATGAATCAGAGATTTGAGATTCACAACAAATTGCAGCACGGTCTTATTTTGATCTTGATTTGAACAAAAAGAATACAAGCGATGGGAAGGAAAGACGGAAGGAGGGTAGGAAGGAAGGAGAAAGAATGAACTGGGGGAATGTGAATAATCACTTGATGATAAGGAAATATTATTAACATTTTTATGTCTGATACTTCTTGATATTTTTAAAGAAGTCTTTTAAAGTTACATACTGAAATATTTTTAGATGAAATAATATGTGATTGCTTCATTCACAATACCCAAGATATGGAAACAACCTAAGGATCCACTAATGGATGAATCGATAAAGAAAATGAGGCATATATGAACAATGGAATATTATTCAGCCATAAAAAGAAGGAACTCTTACCATTTGCTACAACACAGATGGACCTTGAGGGCATCATGCCAAGTAAGGTTAAGTCAGAGAAAGACAAATACTGTATGATGCTTATATGTAGAATCTAAAAAGGTCAAAGGCATTAAAGCAGAGAGTAGAATGGTGGTTACCAGGAGCTAAGTTAGTGGGGGGGGGGGGGATTAGGAAGATATTGTTTAAGGGCACAAACTTGCAACTAGTGATAAATAAGACTTGGAGATCTAATGTACGACATAGTGATTATGGTCAACAATACTGTATTATAAGCTTCAAAGTTGCTAAGAGACCAGATCTTAATTGTTCTTGCCACAAAAAAGACGTAATAATTAGGTGACATGATAGAGGTGTTAGCTGACACTACAGTGGTAATCATATTGTGATATGTAAATGTATCAAACTAAATACAGTGCATACCTTAAGCTTACACAGTGCTATATGGCAATACAAATATATATGTGGTTGTGTCAAAATAACCCAGGGGCTTAGAGAGAGTGGGTGGTCATGCAGTTGAAATAAGATTGACCAAAGTTGATCACTGTGGTAACTAGTGATGGGTACACTGGGATTCATGATACATTTCTCTATGTTTGAAAATTTTGTATATGTTTTAAATTTTCCTTCACACAAAAATAACAGATCTATCGCACTTTTTATAAACAACTTCCATTCGGGTGAGAGGCTGGGCTAGCTATTACCTAAGGTTTTGTTAGTTTGATAATTTTTATTGTCTATGAAGATAAAATGAGTAGGAAAAATGTTACAGATTTGCTTTTGGAGGGTAGCATGTTAGCTTACATAATCCCTCTCAAGAAATATTTTTCTGTGTTAAAAACAAGACAACCGGCGCAAACTGAAGAGTTGATTATGCTCAACCCACATCACCAAACCGAGACTGAACTTACAGTTCCTCTCTCAGAAATGGAATCTTTTTTTTTTTTTTAAAGATTTTATTTATTTATTTGAGACAGAGAGAATGAGAGAGAGAGAGCATGAGAGGGGGGAGGGTCGGAGGGAGAAGCAGACTCCCTGCCAAGCAGGGAGCCCAATGCGGGACTCGATCCAGGGACTCCAGGATCATGACCTGAGCCGAAGGCAGTCGCTTAACCAACTGAGCCACCCAGGCGCCCCAGAAATGGAATCTTAAACCAGTCCATCAGGAATCACCTGATCAGCACTAGTTAGGTAAGGTGCCTGATTAGCCCCTGCGATCCCCTAAGGGAAAGTAAACTTTCAATAACCAGTTTGTTTTTTTTGCCTAGTATTCCTCCCCTGTTCCTATTCTCTTCTGCCTATAAAAGTCTTTCATTTTGCACAGCTCTTTGGAGCTCCTTTTTATCTGCTAGATCAGATACTGCTTGATGCATGAATCACTGAATAAAGCCAGTATGATCTTTAAAATGTACTCATTGAATTTTTTTAACACACGAGATCCTAAAAAGAAGTGTGAATAATTTAAGAATTGACTGAACATAGAAGAGACCATGCTATATTTCAAATCTGTACCAACCTTTAAATGTCATCATATTCTGAGTGAATGAGCTGACCAGGACACGTGCACCAAAAGATTCCTTGAACCAACCTGGATAATCTTCACCAAGTATTTTGATGTTCCTACTCAGTATTCCAACATCAGCTGCTAAGGTATAGCTCTGACCTGTTCCAGGAACATGGTATCTTTCAGCTGCAACAGAAGGACAGCTAGATTATTACCAATGCTGAAAAATCCCTGTGTTTATTAGTCCCTTTGTAATTCACAGGCCACATAACTTTCTAATATGCATGAATTAATTAGATTTGCACGCTTAAACATACATAGATGGCAGACTGAAATTATGATCTTTTTATTTTTGTTCTTTCCAAGTTTTCACTTAAATTTCAGTTAGTAAACATATAGTGTAATAATAGTTTTGGGTATAGAATTTAGTGATTCAACACTTACATACAACACCCAGTGCTCATCACAAGTGCCCTTCTTAATTCTCATCACCCATTTAAGCCATCCCCACACCCAACTCCCCTCTGGTAACCATCAGGTTGTTCTTTATAGTTGAGTCTTTTCTTTTTTTTTTTTTTCTGTCTTTTTTCCACCACTATGTTCATTTGTTTTGTTTCTTAAATTCCATATATGAGTGAAATCATATGGTATCTGTCTTTCTCTGATTGACTTATTTCGTTTAGCATAATACTCTCTAGCTCCATCCACATCATTGCAAATGGCAAGATTTCAGTCTTTTTGATGGCTGAGTAACAATCCACTGTGTGTGTGTGTGTGTGTGTGTGTATTACCTCTTCTTTATCCATTCATCAGTTGATGAACATTTGGGTTCTTTCCATAATTTGGCTATTGTTGATAATGCTGCTATAAACATTGGGGTGCATGTGTACCTTTGAATTAGTATTTTTGTATCCTCTGGGTAAATACCCAGTAGAGCAATTACAGGTTCATAGGGTAGTTCTATTTTTAACTTTTTGAGGAACCTCTATACTGTTTTCCAGAGTGGCTGCACCAGCTTGCATTCCCACCAACAGTGCAAGAGGGTTCCCCTTTCTCTACATCCTTACCAACACCTGTTGTTCCCTGTGTTGTTAATTTTAGCCACTCTGACAAGTGTGAGGTGATATTTCATTGTAGTTTTGATTTGTATTTCCCTGATGATGAATGATGTTACACATCTTTTCATGTGTCTGTTGGCCATTTATATGTCCTCTTTGGGTGTTAAGTTTAATAAATTCTTTATAGATTTTGAATACTAACCCTTTATCAGATATGCCATTTGCAAATATCTTCTCCCATTCCAAAAGCTGCCTTTTAGTTTTGTTGATTGTTTCCTTCACTGTGCAGAAGGTTTTTATCTTGATGAAGTCTCAATAGTTCATTTTTGCTTTTCTTTTCTTGCCTCTAGAGACATATTTAGTAAGAAGTTGCTATGGCTGATGTCAAAGAGGTTGTTGCCTGTGTTCTCCTCTAAGATTTTAATGGTTTCCTGTCTCACATTTAGGTCTTTCACTGATTTTGTTTTTGTTTTTAAAGATTTATTTATTTGGGGGGGGGGAGAAGGAGAGGAAGAGAGAAAGAAGCAGACTCCCCACTGAGCATGGAGCCTGACCTGAGGCTCAATCTCATGACCCTGAGATCATGACCTGGGCTGAAATCAAGAGTCAGATGCTCAATCAACTGAGCCACCCAGGTGCCCCTGCATTTTGAATTCATTTTTGTTTATGGTGTAAGAAAGTGGTCCAGTTTCATTCTTTTGCATGTTGCTGTCCAGTTTTCCCAACACCATTTTTTGAAGGGACTGTTTTTTAATTTTAATTAAATAATTAAATTTAATTAACATATACTACATTATTAGTTTCAGAAGTAATTTAGTAATTCATCAGTTGCATTAACATTCAGTGCTCATTATATCAAGTGCCCTCCTTAAGGCCCATCACCCAGTTACCCCATTCTCCCACCCACCTCCCCTCCAGCAACCCTCAGTTTGTTTCCTATAGTTAAGAGTCTCTTATGGCTTGTCTCCCTCTGTTTTCATCTTAATTTTCAATCCCTCCCCCTCCGTTAATCTGTTTTGTTTCTTAAATTCCACATATGAGTGAAATCATATGATATTTATCTTTCTCTGACAACTTATTTCACTTAGCGTAATACCCTCTAGTTCCATCCACATTGCTGCAAATGGCAAAATTTCATTCTTTTTGATGGCTGAGTAATATTCTATTGTGTATATATGCCAACTCTTCTTTAACCATTCATCTATTGATGGACATCTGGGCTCTTCCCATAGTTTGGCTACTGTGGACATTGCTGCTATAAACATTGGGGTGCAGGTGTCCCTTTGAATCACTATGTTTCTATCCTTTGGATAAATACTTAAAATAGTGCAATTGCTGGGTCATAAGGTAGCTCTATTTTTAACTTTTTGAGGAACCTCCATGCTGTCTTCCAGAGTGGGTGTACCAGTTTGCCTTCCTACCAACAGTGTGAGAGTGTTCGCCTTTTTCCACATCCTTACCAACATCTGTTTTTTCCTGACCTGTTTATTTTAGCCATTCTGACCAGTATGAGGTGGTATCTCACTATGGTTTTGATTTGTAATTCCCTGATGCCAAGTGATGTGGAGCATTTTTTCATGTGTCTGTTGGCCATTTGTATGTCTTCTTTGGAGAAATGTTTGTTCATGTCTTCTGCGCATTTCTTGACTGCATTCTTTGTTCTTTGGGTGTTGAGTTTGATAAATTCTTTATAAATTTTGGGTATTAGCCCTTTATCTGATAAGACATTTGCAAATATCTTCTCCCATTCTGTAGGTTGCCTTTTAGTTTTGTTGACCGTTTCCTTTGCTGTACAAAAGCTTTTTATCTTGATGAAGTCCCAATAGTTCACTTTTGCTTTTGTTTGCCTTGCCTTTGAAGACAGTGTCTAGCAAGAACTTGCTGTAGCCAGGGTCAAAGAGGTTGCTGCCTGTGTTCTCCTCTAGGATTTTGATAGATTCCTGTCTCACATTTAGGTCTTTCATTGATTTTGAGTTTATTTTAGTGTATGTTATAAGAAAGTGATCCAGTTTCATTCTTCTGCATGTGGCGGGTCGATTTCTGGGTTCTCTCTTCTATTCCATTGATCTATGCGTCTGTTTTTGTGCCAGCACCATACTGTCTTAATGACTATAGCTTTGTAATTATAGCATGAAGTCTGGAATTGTGATGCCTACAGCTTTGCTTTTTTTTTTTTTTTTAACACTGCTTTAGCTATTCAGGGTCTTTTGTGGTTCCATACAAAATTTAGCATTGTTTGTTCTAGCTCTGTGAACAATGTTGGTAGTATTTTGATAGGGACTACATTAAATGTGTAGATTGCTTCAGGTAGTATAGACATTTAACAATATTTGTTTTTCCATTCCATGAGGATGGAATGTTTTTCCATTTCTTTGTGTCATCTTCAATTTCTTTCACCAGTGTTTTATAGTTTTCAGAGTACAAATCTCTTACTTCTTTGGTTAGGTTTATTCCTATACTGATTTCTGTATATTGATTTTGTATCCTGTGACTTTACTGAATTCGTGTATTAGTTCTAGCATTTTTTGGGCAGAGTCTTTTGTTTCTTCTATATAGATCATTGTGTCATCTGCAAACAGTGAGAATTTGACTTCTTCCTTGCCAATTTGGATGCCTTCCATTCCTTTATGTTTTCTAATTACTGTGGCTATGACTTCCAGTGCTATGTTAAATAACAGTGGTGAGAGTGGACATCCCTTGAGTGTAGAGAAAAAGCTCTCCATTCTTCCACATTGAGGATGACATTAGCTGTTTTTCATATATGTCCTTTATTATGTTGTTTCCTCTGTTGGGGGGTTTTATCATGAATGGATGTTGTTCTTTGTCATACGCTTTTTCTGCATCTATTGAGAGGATCATATGGTTCTTATCCTTTCTTTCATAAATGTGGTGTATCACATTGGTTTATTTATGAATATTGAATTACTCTTGCAGCCCAGGAATAAATACTACTTGACCGTGGTGAATGATTCTTTTAATGCACTGTTGGATTCAATTTGCTAGTATTTTTTGAGAATTTTTACATCCATGCTCATCAGGAATATTGGCCTGTAGTTTTCTTTTTAGGGAAGTCTGTCTGGTTTTGGTATCAAGATAATGCTGGCCTCATAGAATGAATTCGGAAGTTTTCCTTCCATTTGTATTTTTTGGTATAGTTCGAGAAGAATAGGTATTAATTCATCTTTAGATGTTTGGTAGAATTCACCTGTGAAGCCATCTGCCCCTGAACTTTTGTTTATTGGGGGATTGTGATTACTGATTCAATTTCTTTGCTGGTTATTGGTCTATTCAAGTTTTCTTTTTCCTCCTGTTTCAGTTTTGGTAGTTTACAAGTTTCTAGGAATTCATCCATTTCTTCTAGGTTGTCAAATTTGTTGGCATAGTTTTTCGTAATATTCTATTTTTTTGTATTTCTGTAGTATTGGTTGTTATTTCTCTTCTCTCATTTGTGATTTTATTTATTTGGGTCCTTTCTCGTTTCTTTTTGGTAAGTCTGGCTAAGGGTTTATCAATTATATTAATTTTTTCAAAGCACTAGCTCCTGGTTTCAATGATCTGTTCTTTTTTAAATTTCTGTATCATTTATTTCTGCTCTAATCTTTATTATTTCTGCTCTAATCTTTTTTTTTTTTTTTTTTTTTTACAGAGAGAGACACAGCGAGAGAGGGAACACAAGCAGGGGGAGTGGGAGAAGGAGAAGCAGGCTTCCCGCTGAGCAGAGAGCCCAATGTGGGGCTCGATCCCAGGACCCTGGGATCATGACCTGAGCCGAAGGCAGACACTTAACGACTGAGCCACCCAGGTGCCCCTGTTTCTTATTCTTTTTCTACCTCCATTAGGTGTAAGGTTAGGTTGTTTGAGATTTTTCTTGCTCCTTGACGTAGGCCTGTATTGCTATATACTTCCTTCTTATGACTGCTTTTGCTACATTCTAAAGGTTTTGGACCATTGTATTTTCATTTTCATTTGTTTCTATGTATTTTTTAATTTCTTCTTTGATTTCCTAGTGCACCCATTCATTGTTTAGTAGCATGTTGCTTAACCTCCATGTGTTTGTGGTCTTTCCAAACTTTTTTTTGTCACTGACTTCAAGTTTCATAGTGTTGTGGTCAGAAAATATGCATGGTTATGATCTCAATCTTTTTGTACTTGTTGAGGCCTGATTTGTAACCCAGTATGTGATCTATTCTGGTGAATGTCCCATGTGCACTTGAAAAGAATGTGTATTCTGCAGCTTTAGGATGAAATGCTCTGAATATGTCTGTTAAGTCCATCTGGTCCAGTGTGTCATTCAAAGCCATTGTTTTCTTGTTGATTTTCTGCTTAGATGATCTGTCCGTTGCTGTAAGTGGGTGTTAAAGTCCCCTACTATTCTTGCATTATTATCAATGAGTTCCTTTATGTTTGTTATTGATTGTTTTATATATTTGTGTGCTCCCATGTTCAGGGCATAAAAATTTATAGTTGTTAGATCTTCCTATTGGATAATCCCTTTTATTATGATATAGTGCCCTTCTTCATCTCTTGTTACAGTCTTTGTTTTAAAAATCTAGTTTGTCTATATAAGTATCACTACTCCAGCTTTCTTTTGATATCCATTTGCATGATAAATATTTCTCCATGCCCTCGCTTTCAATCTGCAGATGTCTTTAGGTCTAATGAGACTCTTGGCCGCCTGGGTGGCTCAGTTGGTTGGGCAACTGCCTTCGGCTCAGGTCATGATCCTGGAGTCCCAGGATTGAGTCCCGCATGGGGCTCCCTGCTCGGCAGGGAGTCTGCTTCTCCCTCTGACCCTACCCCCTCTCATGTGCTCTCTCTCTCTCTCAAATAAATAAAATCTTAAAAAATAAATAAATAAATAAATAAAATGAGACTCTTGTTGGCAGCATTTAGATGTGTCTTGTTTTTTTTATCCATTTTGACAACCTATGTCTTTTGATTGGAGCATTTAGTCCATTTACATTCAGAGTAAGTATTGACAGATATGCATCTAGTGCCATTTTACTACTTGTTTTGTCATTGTTTCTGGAGATTTTTACATTCCTTTCTTGTCTCTGTCACTTTTGGTCTTTCCTTTCCCCTCAAAGATTCCCCTTTAATATTTCTTGCAGGTCTGGTTTAGTAGTCACAAACTCCTTTAGTTTTTGTTTGTCTGGGAAACTCTTTATCTCTCCTTCTATTCTGGATGACAGCCTTGCTGGATAGAGTATGCTTGGCTGTAGGTTTTTCCCATTCAGCACATTGAATATATCATGCCACTCTCTCTGGCTTGCTAAGTTTCTGTTGAGAGATCTGCAGCTAGCTTAATGGGTACTTCCTTGTAAGTTAGGGACTTCTTTTGTCTTGCTGCTTTTAGAATTTTTTAATCACTATATTTTGCAAATTTAACTAAAATATGTCTTGGTGTTGGCTTGCTTTTGTTGATTTTGATGGGAGTTCTCTGTGCCTCCTGGATCTGGATGTCTGTTTCCTTCTCCAGCTTAAGGAAGTTTTCTGCTATGATTTCCCCAAATAAATTTTCTACCTGCTTTTCTCTCTCTCTCTCTTCTTCTGGGACTCTTATGATACAAATGTTAGTACATTTGATGGAGTCACTGAGTTTCCTAAGTCTATTCTCATGATCCATAATTCTTCTTTCTCTCTTTTGTTCTGCTTCAGTATTTTCCATTATTCTACTATATCACTTATTTGTTCCTCTGTTTCTTCCATCCTTGTGTTCATTGCATCCAATCTGTTTCGAATCTCAGTTACTGCCTTTTTCACTTCTGACTGATCATTTTAAAACTATTTCATCTTTTTTTTTACTATTTTATCTTTTAAGGGTCTCCCTGAAGTCTTCCATTCTTTTCTCAAGCCCAGCGAGTATCCTTATGATTGTTGCTTTAAATTCTCCATCAGGCACATCACTTATGTATGTTTCCCTTAGATCTCTGGCCATGTCCTTATATTATTCTTTCATGTGGGATGAATTCCTCCATCTCGCCATTTTGTCTAAATCTCTGTCTTCTTCAGTGTGTTAGAAAAGCCTGTTATATGTCCGGCTCCTTAGAGCAATGGCTTTATGAAGAAGGAGGTCATATAGTGTCCAGGCCCTGGCACTTAAAGGAGTGTCTCTAGTGCGTGCTGTGTATACTCTGCTGTTGTGTGTTGGCTGCTCTATCCTTCAGGCCTGTCATCTGCAGAGTTTCTCCTTGCCTGCAGTGGGCAGTGTTTGGTCCTTGGCCAGAGTATGGCAAATTTTTAACTAGGTGTGCTCTGGTCTGCTTGTTAAATGAGACCTGATGCTACTTCCACTAGAATTGAAACCCTGCAGACCTCTCTACTCAGAAGACATGGTGTGGGCAGGGGTTTCTGATGGTCTTCTGGGGAAGGGCCTCCTGTATTGGGAGTGAGGCACACTTGACCAAGAAGGGCCATACTGGCAGAGCACAGGGATGTGCAACTTGGTGTAAGCAGGTTAGGCAGCCAAGTGTCAGTGCTGTGCTGTTTACCACCGGTGGCTCTGCATTTATGCTGAGGGGTGGGAGTGGGAAATAGCACCAGGCAGCTCCTTTGTCCCCAGAGAGGAATCATCGTGCATACTGCCTCTCAGGGAAGCACTCCCAGAAGGGCAAATAATCTCCGTACTGTGTGTCCCAGGCATTTTTCAGAGCACTGTTTCCACACCATCCACCCCCGGGTTGTATGCCTGCTCTTCTCTCTAGGAGCAGTGCAGTGTCCCCTTGGCTCTATCCTAGCCAAGACTCCTGACTTTTAAAACTCCAGGCTCTGTGGACGTGATGTGGGCAGGGGCCTGTGCTGGCCTTCCGGGGGAGGTCTCACTGCACTGGGATGGAGGCAGGCTTGACCCAGAAGGGTAGTCATGCCAGAGCGCAGGGCTGTGGGACATGGAGCACGCAGGCTAGGCAGCGGGGTGCTGGGGCTGAGCTGTATTCTGCAGGTGCCTCTGAACCAGCATATGCTGAGGGGTCGGTGAGGGAAATGGCGCCTGCTGCTCTTTTGTCCATGGAGAGGCATGTCCTAGAAAGCTACCTCTCACAAAAATGCTCCAAGAAGAGAGAACAGTCTCTTTGTGTTTTAGGCATTCCTCAGATCCTGCCGTCTCTGCCCCACTCCCCTTGCTTGCCTGCCTGTCTTCTCTCCAGGAACAGGGCAGCGCCCTCAGGGCTCTATCCCAGCCGACCTTTAAAACTCCACTCTTCAAGCCCCACTGCTTGCAAAAACTTGTGAAAATCAGCCCCTCTGCTTTCCTAGCCAATGGTTTTGGGGAAACGTTCACCATGTACTCTCCCCTGTGTGCTAGGCACTCTCCTGCCTTTCTCTGCGATCAGGGCTTCCTCCCCTATGCAACACCTGGGATCTGTTTCTCCCCCAAACCAAATTTCTGCACCTCCTACCTTCCTCAGTGTGGCCTCTTCTCTCCTAGTTGTGAACTTTGTTCTGTCAGACTTCAGAATGATTTCTTGGGTATTTAGAATGACTTGGTAATTATCTAGTTGTGTTTGAGGGACGAGATGAGTCTAGGGTCCTAGTACTACATCGCCATCTTAGATCCCCTCATGATATTTTTAAATTTATAACATGAAATGCAATTAAAAGCATTTCTTCTATTTACACCAAAAAAATATTATAATCAGCAATCTTTTAATAACTATCTTAGATCCCCCCATGATACTTTTTAATTTAGGACAAAGATGCTCTTGAATCAAAGGTTCTCAAAATTCACTGTGCATAAGAATCACCTAGTGGGTGCCTGGGTGGCTCAGTTAGTTAAGTGTCGGACTCTTGATTTTGGCTTAGGTCATGATCTCAGGGTCGTGAGATCAAGCCCTGTGTGGGGCTCCCCACTCAGCGGGGAGTCTGTGTGAGATTTGCTGATTCTCTCTGTCCTTCTACCTCTGCCCCTCCCCCACCCTCCCCACCCCACACCTGTGCTCACACACTCTCTCTCTCTCAAATAAATAAATAAATAAATCTTAAAAAAAAATCACCTAGAAGCTTGCTTAAAGCAGAAAGTGCTAGCCTTGCCCCACAGGATGCTATACAGTAGTCTTCACTGAATATTTGCTGAATAATTACAAAGGAGAGCATTAAAAATGTGAATATTTCAAGACATTTTAATTACATATCTATTTAGTTAAAAAACAGCCACTTACCAAGGTGAGTGTAGGAAAGGGTATCATTGAGAATGAGAATTTTCTGGTCATGCAGGATTTTAACGATACTTCTAGTTTCTGTCTGGTGGAAATCATAGCTTGTGGTTGTTATCACAATCTCTTCTCCCTCCTTAGAAAAATTCAAGTGCCAAATTCAAGAACAATTTTTAAAATAGGTTTCTATTTCTTAATAATAACTGTTAAAAAATTCTAATTTAGTTCATATCTGATTAGCAACATGGTATTATCAGAAGGAACAAACTATATATTGAGGTCTCTAAAAATAAATATGCTTGGGTTTGATCTTTTTTTTTATTATGTTATGTTAATCACCATACATTACATCATTAGTTTTTGATGTAGTGTTCCATGATTCATTGCTTGCGTATAACACCCAGGGCTCCATTCAGTACGTGCCCTCTTTAATACCCAACACCAGGCTAACCCATCCCCCCACCGTTTCTCAGAGTCCATAATCTCTCATGGTTCGTCTCCCCCTCCGATTTCCGCCCTCTTCATTTTTCCCTTCCTGCTATCTTCTTCTCTTTTTTTTAACATATAATGTATTATTTGATCTTAAGAACTCTAAATTTTGATTTATCTCAGCATTTCCTCAAATTTAATTCAGTCATTAAATAAAATCATAGGCAATATACTTTTTAAAAATTAAATGGATCAAAGCAAATATATTCATATTTTTATTAAAAACTGGTCAGTACAATATTCTTAAGACTTAAAAATATTTCCCCAGACTTTTTCTTTTTACACAATTACTTATTACTTGGTATTCCTGAAATGTGGGAAAGACACACATAAAAAACTTTTTTTACTCAAAAACTTCCCTATTTTCCTTTCATAACTAATATATAAATAATACTCTTTATATATTCTGAAGGCCCTTTAAAGATCCCAATTTTTAAATGCCTGCTATCAGGTAAGCTTTTGAGTACAAGCTAATACAAAATATACATTTCTCATCTGATTAATCCTATGAGAAAGTAAATGTCCATGAGAATAAGAAAGAAACCTTTTTAAGCTGACCCACTATGTGTATTCAGTTCCCACCACATACTATCTCCCGTACCTGCCAATCCACAGCATCTATTAGAGATAGGACTTTGGAACCTGCCTCTGCAGTTTCTGAGAGCTTAGTTTTATATATTGAACGTGGAATTCCATGAAGATCCAGTTCACCAAACACCCCTGAAGGAGAAAAACTTCTATTTATTTACCACATAGTACTGAGTTAGTTGCTAGTATAAAATGAGACAATACACGGATATATTTTAATAAGTGATTGGACATTTTAGAATGAATGGAATGAATTTGGATTATCTGCTCAGGGTGATACAAGAAAACTTTGACCCTCTGACCCACTTCTAGGAATCTGGTCCCTAGAAATTAAAGCCAGTGCACAAGGATATGTGAATGAGGATGCCTACTACTATAATATTTGAAAATATTGGAAAACTGGAATAAATCTAGTGTACATCAATAAGAGAATGATGGAAACTAATACAGTAGGGTAATATGGTTTAAAAAGGAAGACTGTTATCTGTAAATATTGATCTGGAAAGATATCCACAATATGTTAACTGAGAAATAAAACTTAGTATCTTTAGTTTGACATGTAGACACTGTTAACTATCAACACTCGTTTCCTCATGATGGGGTAGAATTGGAAAGACGTATTTTTTTTTTAAGATTTTATTTATTTATTTGACAGAGAGAGACAGAGCGAGAGAGGGAACACAAGCAGGGGGAGTGGGAGAGGGAGAAGCAGGCTTCCCGCCGAGCAGGGAGCCCGATGTGGGACTCGATCCCAAGACCCTGGGATCATGACCTGAGCCGAAGGCAGACACTTAACGACTGAGCCACCCAGGCGCCCCAGATGTATTTTTTTCTTAATAGTTTTTCTTGGTATTATTTGTGTTGTTTGAAATGTTACTTTTGAAACAAAAAATAAATAAACTCCCAAAAGCAAATATTTTTTCCAGATTGAATTTGTCTGCCTTGGGGCATTTACCAGTGGAGAGCTGACTAATTCAATTCTGATGCCATTTTCTAATGCTCCTCTTTCCTGACTGTTGCTGTTCTAGAAACTATGTGGGAAGGCAACTACAGCACATGCTTGTATGTATCTTTTCAATGAATATCCAGCAGCGTTAATAAATGTAGTTGGTAATTATGACCAAATAAACCCTCTTAGTTTCTTTACTTTCCAGGCTTAGATAGGAATACATGCAGCCATACAAATCCAACTGGAAAACAGAAAGTTCAGCAACAGGTATGACGGGATAACGGATAGCAGAGTCAGTTGATCCTCAGATTATTAATACTGTAAGTGGAATAATGTGCAGAAAAGTTACCTTTTAAGGAAAAGGCACCAAAATATGAAAAAGTATCCTTGTTTATATAAAGGGAAGACTATAAAGAAAACCAGATTGGAGAAATAATATACATATAGAGAGATTTATGTTAGTTTTGCAGTGGATTACATTTTGGTTTCAAATATACCCACATATACCTATTTTAGTGTGACATGATTTAATTTAAAAAATTTTATTTTTATAATCCTTTATTATAAATAAATGTCTGTAAAAGTTTCTGATACCATAACATCTTGAACTGATAACAGGTAACTTAGTGCTATATGTTTTAAAATAGATTTTCAAAATGGATATGATACTATCAGTATCTGGAAACACATACCTAAGACCTTTGATCCTTGATTTGGTCCTTCTGAAAGAGCCCACTCTGGAGTAGAATGATTTCCTCTAAGAACAATCTGTAATTCTCCTTTAAAAGGGTAATCTTCCCAGCCACCAATCAATCTACCTCCCTGCAGTGAAGCAGAAAATTGTTAATACTTAAAAATTGAGCAGAAAAAAAATTTGCCCATAAAAAAGGAATTAGGAAGATACTGGCAGCCTCTAATAAAAATGAATGAAATCTGTTATACAAAGAACAGTATTGTATCTGGAAGTGACTTTGATTTAATGCTGTCACTTTGCGATGGGTAGCTTAAATGACTTTTCCAAGGTCAGACTCAATAGGTACTTATTGTCAGTGTTATACCTAAAACTGAGACCTGCTTACATCTAAACTTGTGCCATTTGGACAGATCACGTTTTATTTTAGCACCATGTGACATATATGAAATACACTGTTCACACTTACATCCAAGCTATGGCCAAGTAGGAGCCCCCACTGTGAATAATAACAGCTATTACTAAATGCTTGCTGATTCCATGTCAGCCATAATGTGTAAGGCTTTATGTATATTATATCATTTGACCTTTACACTAAACCCATGAATTGCTGTTATTATTCTCATTTAATAGGTGAGAAAACTGATGCTGAAAGTGGTCAAATATCTTACGCAAATTCCCAACTGACAATGAGGCTGAAGGACTCAGTCGTTGCTTTAATTTACCTCAAAGCTCATGCATCTAAATACCAAAATATTGCATATCTTTAAAGCAGTAAAGGCCTATTTTTATCAAAGAAAAGCTACTATACACTTTTACTTTTTTAAAAATTTAGCTGAGATACAGAGAGAGAGAGAGAGCGTGAGCATGAGCAGGGGGAGGGGTAAAGTGAGAGGGAGAAGGCGGCTCTCCCCTGAGCTGGGAGCCCAATGCAGGCTGGATCCCAGAACCCTGGGATCATGACCTGAGCAGAAGGCACTTAACCGACTGAACCACCCAGGCATCCCTACACACTTTTACTTTTCAACCTAACTTCATAGCTCTTGGTTAGGCCATTCTTTTTAATTAACAATAATAATAGACTGACAGAACAACTCAACTAATTATACTGTTACATGTTCAAGACCACCTGAAGTTTATGAGAGAATGAGGTGATTGTTCCAAGCAGTTGAAATATTTTTATGAATCTTCTCCTGTTTTCCTCATTCCATCTATGTCCATTCATTTTAAGAAACACTGTTTTCTAAAAAAAGAAAAGACTTAAAACCTTTTATTTCTTTCCAGAACTCCTGGGGATTTTCTGGTTCTTAGAGCAAGTTGTGGGTTTAGCTTTACCTAACAGTATACAAATATTCTACGTAGGATTAAAAATGGGCAAACTTCACAGTAAAAGTAGCATAATTACTCCTTAAGGAATATGTAGCCACCAGTTGAAAGGACAGTGGAAATATGCTGGACTTACATGAGGCTCACGTCTCATGGGTTAGAGCCAGTTGTGTTTTTTACTCACATCGATTGAATATGCTTTCTTACATTTTTTCTTCAGCAAATCTCCAACATCTTAGAATTTGACTAATAAAGGTATAAATTATAAGACCTTCCCTCTTACCTGAAGTGATATGTAGGTAGCATTCAGAACAACTTTTCTGTAAGAAGACTCTGCAGCTCCCACAGTGTGTTTATCTTCCAGTTCTAGAACTCCCCAAATAATGAGACTTTCCATTGGTGGAATATCTGTGTCTGCTACAACCCATGTTCCTATAAAAACAATGCTTTAATATAAGAAATATAACATAATTCATACTATAGCTTATAGATAAAAACATGGACACCTTACCAGTGAGTCCTGGTTTCGAAGTCTGCAACCCTTTTCCCACACAATGACTTATTCTTGACTCTCCCAGAAAATCTATTATCCTTAATATTCACGTTTAAATCCACATAAAACCCAGAAGGCTAGGTCTGGTATCCAGGACACACTACTAGAATCCATCTCTTCACATTTGCTCTTTTCCCAAGGTGTGTTGCATAGAGGTGGAATTCTAACTTTGTGCTATCTATCAATATCACACAAACACAGGCATTTTGTTTATGTTTACGTACTTACCTTCAGGAATAACCACATTTGCTCCTGGGTGAGGTATGGTATAATTATTTTCTTGAGATGATTGCCAGAAAGAATCATTTGACCATAAGCTGAAAAGAGAAGAGAAATAGTTCCATTAAGTATTATCTTTATATACTTAATGACCATCTCCTTATACTAGCTGTTTTGGGATGATAGAATGCAAATTAGAGAATTTATAATTTTGCTAAGTAGGCAAGCTAATATGTGCAATTGGTAGAATACTCAACACATACGACTACACAATGGCTTTTTTTTTTCTCTAAAGAAAACTTCCTTTCCATCTACAATCTGAATCACCTTTTCTCCCACTAAATCCTCATTGTGATACCCTAATTTTGGCTAAAATGTAAATTATTTAATTTCCTTACAAGATTTCACACGGTAGAATGGCACCTGGGTGGCTCAGTGGGTTAAGCGTCCAACTCGTGATTTTGGCTCAGGGCAGGATCTCAGGGGTTGTGAGATTGAGCCCCTCTTTGGGCTCTATGCTCAGCGGGGAGTTTGCTTGAGATTCTCTCTCTCCCTCTCTCTCTGCCTCTTCCCTGGCCTGCACTCTCTCTCTCTAAAATAAATAAATCTTAAAAAAAAAAAAGATTTCACATGGTAGAAACTGAAAAGAAATTCATCCTTTGTCCATTTAAAGACCCTTACATATGGTGTTACTGAATGGGGGAAGGGGGCAAGAGGATATGGTCACTAGATTCTGTGAAGGGAGGGATGGAAGGATGGCTTCTGAATTGGTAAGGATGAGTAAATGAGGTTAAGCCCCTGGGATGGGATCAGGGATGGCAGGTCTGCAACCAGAGTGAAGGTTATGTTAAACTGAAAGAGATATAAAAAACGCTTTAGAGGAGAGGCAGTCTCTACTTTTCATTGCTATACTTTCCAGAAACCACCCCCATGCAAATTGTTGTAAAGAATATTATTATAAAGTTGATGATATTTTTCCCACTGGAAAATGTTCACAATTAGAGGTTGTTTCCTGAACTAGTAAAAAATTTTAAAATTTCATGATACAAATTCTTGAATTCTATAAAACAGTCAATATATAGTTTGGTTAAAGTGTACTTGTATTATACATTTGAAATATGTTAAAAATTCTGTTATAAAAATTTGTTTTACTGGCTTTAAAAGAAAGGTCAGCAGTTAAATTAGACTTACAATAATACATTATTTTTCATGAAGCAATTTCAGAGCAAGTTACGTTTAATGGCTGTATCTTTCTAAAAAACCTGACCAGCATTGTATGGATTCGATCACTGATTCTATCTAGTTTTTCTCAAGATTAATAGCCTTTCATTCTTATCTCCAACAGCACTATACTATGCACGTTATATATTGTTCTTCTTATTGGGCACTGTTATGATCAATAAAGCCTAACACCTCTGAAACAAAGCATATGTATGTTGCATACTAGAGTTTTATATCCTAATCTTGAGGTACCCATCCTGGATCAAGATTCTGTTTGTTTTCACTGATATCTCTCTGTATAATATAAATTGATAAATCCAATTATAGCTATTTCTAGTGAGCAGAACTCATACCATGGGGGGAAACAACCTATGCTAAGACATATACATGTAGCATACCAACATATTCCTCTGTCACATCCTGGTCTAGACCAATCTAAATCTATTATGTGTGTAAATGATAAATATTAATTAAATTTTCAATAATTCTATCTACCTTAGACTATATAAGGACTTTTTGGTCAATAACCTTGATGGTGCACGTCTCTAATACAGCTCTCTCAAGTCTTTTCATGAGCCTTCCTGCTTTCTCCACTGTCCCTCTATAATACTGACAGATAGCAAAAGTGGTCTTTCCAAAATGTAATCTGGAGTACATTACTTTTCAGCTGAAAATCATTTAAAAGCTTCTTCTATTTCTTAATACTAACTGCCTGCATGACCTGAATGGTCTGATTTCCACCTGTTTCCAACACCATTTCTAGGCCACTCTCCTCTGCTCACCGGGGTCCAGCCATGCTGTTTTCTCTCTGTTCTTAGATATGCCATACTCTTTCCCACATCAGGGCCTCTGCCCAAGATGCTTCCTGGGCCTAGAACCTTCCTCCCCCACCCTTCACATGGTTAGCTCTTCCTCACCCTTTGGGTCTCAGCTGGAATATCACCTCCTGTGAGAGGCTATTCCTAATCCCCCTACCCAAAGGAGGTCCCTGCCATACTGCTCTCTGTCCCAGACACCTCCCCATTCCCCTTATAACCTTTATCACTCACTCACACTGTTTACTCTTTTATATCTTTGCTTGCTTGTGCTGGATCTGTCTCTTTGGATAGAATGTGAGTGTAATGAGGGCCAGGACCACATCTGTGTTGTTTACAATTGACTCCCCAGTGCTTAGCACAGTACCTGGGCCATAGCAGGTGTTCGAATATTTTTTAATGATCAAATTAATATATCAAAAAAATCAATTATTATTCTTTTGTACAATAGTTACTACTACATCTGTATATTCTGAAATGTAATTCACGTAATAAAAAACATTGAGTTGTGCTTGATGCATAGTAGCGGGCTCTTATCATTATTTTTATGATTATCATTTGTCCATAAAGGACACAAATATACATCAAATCAGGATAATACCTCTAAGGGCCTTAAAGACTAGTACCAACCATCACATGCTAGTGCTATGATGTATGGTTATTACTATAACTCAAGGTAGAGAGCAATGTTCCACATGAGAAATAAAGGTAAAGGGCTATGTAAGTTTCAAAGATAGAAAAATCATTTTTAACTGTAAGAATTAACATATATTAGGGGGTCAAACATTTGAAACAAAATTAAATAAGTTGTGCTACAAGATTTGACCATGACAGTTATTCTAGACAAAGAGACACCACCCACTAAGAAAGCATTGGATTAATGAGGAGACTTTGTTTCTGGTGCTATTTTGGAAGTGTCATCAAGAAGTTTTGTGATCTTGGGTAATTCACTAAAGGTCACTGGCTTCAGCTTTCTCACCTTATAATAAGGGAGTTGGTCTAATAGTCCATATCCAACATTCTGCAAGTCTAAGATTACCAGTAACATTCACACAAAATTTTTTGTGAGATTTTTCCATTTTCTCATCAGGGTGGTTATAAGGCCCAAGTGAAGTAATGAGTATGGAAGTGCTTTGTGACTTACAAGGCATTGTGCAGGATGAGGACATTATTTTCTCACCCAAGAGTGACATGTGAAAAGAATTCTATCAAGTGCTATTGAAGGTATTAATAAACAAAAGGCCTATGTACTTATATGTGGCTGGTCGCTTCCTGGGAATTGGTTTTCTTGATGGGGGATGTACAGGAAAGCAGTCCTGGAGAATGCAGCAGTAAGCTTGGAAATTAATAATAACATCTTTCACATCAGGATCCAGGGTCCCAGAAATGGGCTGGCTCTGCTGAAGGTCATTTCTTCCTGACACTGAAAGTGAAGTAGTTTAAATTAATATGATATCAAATGTAGACAAAGAAAATGGCAATTTGAAAATATTCTTTAGATAGTAACTCGGTAGAGTTCAAATGTATGGAATACATATGGAAAAATTCTTTTTTTAAATTTTATTATGTTATGTTAGTCACCATACATTACATCATTAGTTTTTGATGTAGTGTTCCATGATTCATTGCTTGTGTATAACACCCAGTGCTCCATTCAATACATGCCCTCTTTAATACCCATCACCAGGCTAACCCATCTCCCCACCCCCTCCCTTCTAGAACCCTCAGTTTGTTTCTCAGAGTCCATAGTCTCTCATGGTTTGTCTCCCCCTCCGATTTCCCCCCTTCATTTTTCCCTTCCTACTATCTTCTTTTTTTAACATATAATGTATTATTTGTTTCAGAGGTACAGGTCTGTGATTCAACAGTCTTACACAATTCACAGCGCTCACCATAGCACATACCCTCCCCAATGTCGATCACCCAGCCACCCCATCCCTCTCACCCCGCCACTCCAGCAACCCTCAGTTTGTTTCCTGAGATTAAGAATGCCTCATATCAGTGAGATCATATGATACATGTGTTTCTCTGATTGACTTATTTCGCTCAGCATAATACTCTCCAGTTCCAACCACGTCATTGCAAATGGCAAGATTTCATTCCTTTTGATGGCTGCATAATATTCCATTGTATATATACACCACATCTTCTTTATCCATTCATCTGTTGATGGACATCTTGGCTCTTTCCCTAGTTTGGCTATTGTGGATATTGCTGCTATAAACATTGGGGTGCAGGTGCCCCTTTCGATCACTACATTTGTATCTTTGGGGTAAATAACCAGTAGTGCAATTGCTGGGTCGTAGGGTAGCTCTATTTTCAACTTTTTGAGGAACCTCCATACTGTTTTCCAGAGGGTCTGCACCAGCTTGCATTCCCACCAACAGTGTAGGAGGGTTCCCCTCTCATATGGAAAAATTCTAATGAAATACACATGTCTTACTGAGAAGCACACAGTCAAAATGTCTTGACAATATTTTGGAACTCAAAATTTATTCTTAAATATTTTTATTTCCCCCAAGTAATAAAATAATAGAAATGGAAACAAAATATTTGACAGTTTCCTTTGTACTCATTTCCTCTAATTTTGTGAAGTAAATGTTAGGGCCATCTGTAAGAGTGTTGGCATTATCTCCAAACATAAAATGTAAGTCCTTGACTCAACTCAAGGCCTTTTTCGACATAAATTTAGTCTCCAATCCTTTTACTCAGCAAACATTTATTGAATCCTACTATACAGAGGACACTGTATAACATATTTGCCCATTAAGCAATTTTTCTCTTTCTTTAGACAAAGCATTAGATAAAATAATCACTTTTGCCTAATGAATACATACCCAAGTAATATAGAGTACTTGTGTTTGCTTCAAGGTGCCAGTCTCCATTCTTGCTAGTATTCCAACTCAACGGATTTGAAGAGCCATTCCTCATGTCAATAACATTAAACTTACCAGGATTTTGAGTGAAATTATGAGATATGATTACATAGTCTTCTTCCTGTAAGTGGTTGCCCCCAAATATGATTTTATATGTTAATATCCTGCATAATATACATTAATTTTGATGACATACAATTAGCCCTTATATTTAGACTTAAGTTTTGGTTTTAGTTTGTCATCTTGAATTCATATTTTGTTTAGTAACATTTTATATGTCTATGGCAATAATGCTAACTCTATCCGAAGGCAATGAAAATCTCTCTGTACACACACATGCACAGACACAGACACACACACACACACACGTATTTAGAGAATATTTTATTTCTGTAATATTTTAAAACATTTAAAACAATCCTAGGTATTGTTTATGGCTACACATATGTAGTATAATTAGAAGAACATGAATGGGGATGAAAACACCCAATTCAAGATATTGGTTACCACAAGAGTGGAGAGTGGGGAATGAGATGAGAGTAAGCCATACAGGGGACTTCCATTTCATCAAAAATGTTTATTTCTTAAAAAAAAATCAAAAGTAGGGCGCTTGGGTGGCTCAGTTGGTTAAGCGACTGCCTTCGCCTCAGGTCATGATCCTGGAGTCCCAGGATCGAGTCCCGCATCGGGCTCCCTGCTCGGCAGGGAGTCTGCTTCTCCCTCTGACCTTCCCCCTCTCATGTGCTCTCTCTCTCATTCTCTCTCTCTCAAATAAATAAATAAAATCTTTAAAAAAAAAAAAATCAAAAGTAAAGATTCACAGAATGTTAGATCCAGATGGAGCTAGGTGGTGGGCACACAGGACTTGGCCCGTCATTGTCTGTGTTTGGTATATTTTAAAATACAATTTCTAAAGCCCTTAACTGGTACCTGGAATATCCTAAGCACTCAATAAATGTTAGTTATGATCACGATAATAATAACAGGACACAAGCTTAGTATTATGGGAATATGGCAAAGATGTTGCTTACTTCTGATTTCTACACAAGGTTTCTTTTTTTAGCTTACTTTTTAGACTTAGGGTGGGTCATGAAGTGTGTGCAGGACTTCACCAGGTCAGTATGTGAGGCAAGCACATTCTGGGCCTAACAACTGGTATAAGGACAGGACATAGGTTGCATTCGCATACTATGCAATCATCATTATTAGAAGATGAATTTAATAGCTCTTTGTTTACCTTAAATCCATAGAATGTTGACGTATAAGATATGTTGGTTATGTGATCTACATCTTTAAAATACCAGTTAATGTGCTTTGCATTTGGAATCAGAGCCATCCATCCAGACATATGAGTCAGTCGTTTCTTCTGAAAGGGAACAATGCTTGTGCCTATAGCAGAATACAAAACAAACAAATAACAGTCTTCTCTACCTCTAGAAAATTCCTTTTTTTACAAACAAGTGAAATATTAGCCTAGTTTATGGAAGTCTCTGAAGAGGTCAGAATAGCATTTCATTACTTATGTTCTAAAGGTCTTTGTTAACTGAAGGCCCCAATGTTTCATATTACACTTAACTGAAACATAAAAATGCCTTCTCACTTGGAATTCTGAATTGAGATGAAGTCTTTATTCCTTAGGGAAAGAAAAAAATCAAACATGATGATGATTAATGACTACTATGACAAAAGTGCTTAAATATATTAATAAAATTCTTTAAATATTGATCTAAAATAATTTTCTGTTGTTATTCTTTTAAGAACTTAAATTAACTCAGAACTTAATTATTTCAGGATCCTTAATTTACAGGATATGCAAATATAAGTTCTAATTCTTTATTAGATTCTCTTGTATTTGTTGAGTTAATCAAAATCTACGTAACAAGTACTAATGTAAAGTTTTGATGTAAAGCTCTTAAGAATCTTGGCTACCACCAGACTTACCACGAACACTGGCCATGATACCCTTAGGTTTGTGAATGACAAACTTGGAACATAAATTACTTGTTATGGGAAAAAATACTTAATTTAGTAATGCTTTGTTCATGAAAGAGTACCTGACAACTTTAGCTAAAGATTTGAAAAGATTTTTTAGAATATAAAGAAGATATGATTAATTGCCCATATTCTATTTTTTCCTCTCCATCCCCTCTCTCTTTTCATCTCTGATTGAATTTTATGTTAAATTTGCAAACTCTTCCCCTACAAATTTAGGGGGAGAAAGCTAGATGAAAGATTATAAAATAAACTGTCATCCTTTTTCTTTGGAGAATAAGGCAAAAAAGTTCCAATATCAAGGAGGAACAAATTTATTAATTCTTGGGCTTGTGAATTAGCATTACATTTAAAAAAGCCATGAGCAGAGACTCTAAAAACATACAGTTCCAAAAGACCTGCAGTGTATAAGAAGAACTATGATGATTTGAATTACTCAGCAAATATTCATTCCTTTCCCCTCCTTGAGTGCTGAGTAGACTTCCCTGACCTGTTGATGTTGGGTGATGTGACAGTCATAAACATTTGTGTTTGCTGGATGAAGCTTGCCAACTTGAACCTCTACCATTACAATGCAAAGAGCCTGCCCCAGGTAGTTGGCTCTTCCTTCAGCCTACACTCTGGAATAAACACATGTGGAGACCTGAATTCAACTTTTGGGGAGGAACAAAGCCCATTGGATCCTCACCTTCAAGCAGAGCATCCTAGCTGAGCACATCCAAGATCAACCAACCCAGTCCTCAGACATGAGAGTGAAAACAATGATTGTAGGTTTAAGCTTTGGGGATAATCCCTTTTGGGGATTAAGTTTGGGGATAATCTGTCATGAAGCAATAGCTGACTTACATAAGAGTTCATGAAAATCATCCAAAACCTCCGGAATTTGCTCTATGTTTGGCAGAACCAACCTCCACTAAAGTTTTCTGATGCATGGAATTATACTTTAACCTGAACTTGCTTGATAATTCTCTTTTTGTAAATAAAACTAATTGTGGGGCACCTGGGTGGCTCAGTCAGTTAAGCAACCGACTCTTGATTTTGGCTCAGGTCATGATCTCAGGGTCCTGACACCAAGCCCCACATTAGGCTCCACACTTGCTGGGCATGGCACCTGCTTGGAATTCTCTCTGTTCATCTGTCCCTCCCTGCTCATGCTCTTTTTTTCTCTCTAAAATGGAAAAATAAATCTTAAAAAAAACTAATTGTCATTTTTCATAGTTATTTGTGTTTCTTTAATTTTTTTCAAATGCACTCATTTTCAGTATGTTGATTTTAAGCATCTTGGACTGAAATTTGAAGTTGATATTTAAAAAAATAATATTACTAAAAGTAAGTGTCTCAAATTAATTTGCCATCTGGTCTATAGTATCACTAATAGTAAGTATCTCAAATTAATTTGCCATCTGGTCTAACTTTACATATATATTCATAAAGATACATATATTCACACATATATACATAGAGCTACACACAACATCATGCATGAGACACTTTAATAGATATATGTAAAGTTATACCAAATCTTATTTTTATAAATATATATATATATAAAATGAAAACAGTGATCTCTTTTTTCTGTTTTTAATTTTTAGTACTAAATCATTTTATTTGGCTTTAATGGAGATAAAATAAAAACAGTAAAATATTCTTGACTCTGAAAGTTGTTTTATTCTTTATGTCACATTAAAAAGAAAAGTACCTGGAGTGATGTTTTCTCCACTCATAATTTGGTCTGAGGACTACAACTAATTCCATTGTAATTCAATAATTACTGAATTCCTACTATTTGCAATGTCTTGTGTTGAGTTATGTGGGTGACAGAAAGATAAATTTATAGATCTTGCTACCAAGGTGTTCAGTTTAGTAATTAAATAAAAATCTTCATTCCTGAAAGGATCAGGCAAAAAGGCACAGAGAGACTTCACAAGAAAGCTACAATCTCATCAATTCAGAAGTATTAGACTTCTCGAATCAAAAATAAAAACACAAAAACTTCTCTCTAAAATCATCACTACCACCACCACTAATAACAACAAAAAAACCCAAAATATTTAAAATGTTTAAATATTACTGCTTAAAAATTAATAGTGTAAGGTATATATCTTTTTTTATCATTCTGTATATTTAAAATAATTTATCTAGGGTGGTTTTACATCTCTGAGTCCTCTAAAATTATCTTAGACTGTGTTTTATAAAAAGCTAATGTTCAGTCTATTCATAGGTATATCATAAAGTATTTGGAGATATGATTAAAAGTTTTATCATAAGTAACTATTTTATGACATAGTAATGGGAAATACTAACATATTACCTCACCAGATAAAATAACATCATTTGTTTTTGATGTTTTGGTTTCTTTTAGTTTCAGCCTGTCAGAAAATTTTCACAGATATTCTGCTTAAAATACTGTTTATTGTACCATAGTCTCTCAAAGTTTAAGTAATGTTGCTCCATTCTGGACATCTGGTTATCAGAAGAAAAGAAATGGCTGCCAGGTTCATGTCATTTAGTCAGTGAGACAATGGGTATAACCATTGCCCAGAGAGTAGGTGTATGGCCCTTTCAATTCATAGGATGAAGAAATTCTAGTAAGAATGTTTTAAAGTTAACTATAATAACTGATAACATCATAATAAACAACAAAAGAGGCATTGTATACTTACTGTTTTTCCTGCAGATCCATGGTTCGCCATTCTCCATGAATTTGGACAATGGGAAACACACGAAAGAGAAGGAGAAGCTAGGCAAGGAGGAATGTGAAATGAGCTTATTCCCCTGACTCTCTCCCTGTGAGGAAGTAGGGGGTTCTTGGTGGGCTCCTGCATCTCTCAACCAAAGGGATATCCCCATTTAACTTGCATGTTTGGCTGGTGCAAATGCCAAATGGATCATGAATAATGACAGCAAATTAATGCAACCTAGTCTGGTAATGATGTCAAGCTCATCTGGTATTCCAGGTATGGTATCTTTACTGAAACAAATCAGCAAATCAACAATCCTTGGCACCTGGTGTACAGCTACTGACCTAAGAAATGCTCCCTCGTCCCATTTCAATCAACAAAGATAATCAAAAGGGTCTGCCTTCACTGGCAGGGATGATGGTACATTTTATTGTCTTGCTCCAAGGACTATGTCAACTTTCCTACTCTCTGTTGTAATATTGTCTGGGTGCTCCTTGAGCAAGCAGAACATCATGCTGGTCCATGTATTTATTCAATACTCCTCACATGCCCATTTTGGGTGTGTTATTTTTTTCCTGCCTGGTTATTGACTGATACAAATATACTTTTTCCATGTTCCAAACAGTGAGTGACAAGATGATGATGAAAATAGAAAAACGTATTTAAGTTAGTGGCTTAAACTATGATATTCCACTTACCAAAAGAGTCTGAGAGAACCACATCCTTTTCAAGCAGAGATACTGGAGAAGGTTTGTTGAATGCCAAACGGTGGAAGCTGACTGAGGTGTCACAGACAGCCCCTGGGAACCCAATGCTCCACTCGGCTTCTTGAGTGCAATGAGAAGGGTCCAGCAGTGAGCTGTGTGGAATGACGGTGTGTCCTCTGTGACCTAGGAGAGGGACATAAACAGCATGTTTCCTATATCATGTAAGAAAACTAAAAAACAAAACAAAACAAAATCCCAAACTGTCTACAACATATAGCTACTGTGACCGATAGTCCCAGTAACAAAATCTAAAAGTCCTGGTACATTTTGGCGGGGGGCGGCATGGGGCAAGAGGACCTCATGCAAAGGCTTTGCAGTGGACTCTTCAGTCAGGGAGCTTACTGTAGATGTAGCTGAAACACAGGATCTGAAGCACCCATGAGAGCCAAACATGGGATGGGAAGTAGGATAAGTAACTTGCTCAAGGGCACACAGAAGGATTCAAATCCAGGCAGTCTGACCATAAAGTCCATACTCTTAACCAACAGACTGCCAACTAACATTAAATATCTAAGCTGAATTAGATAAACTGTAAAAAATTACACAAAGTTTTGTATATTAGAACCACCTAAATGTCCTCCCTCTTAAATCTACAATTAGAACAGGAGACAAAAATCAACAGCTATAGTTGAGAACTCAGCCTGTTTGAATTTGAGATGAATCTTATTCCATCTTACAAAGTCTTTCAAAAGTAAATTGTCAATATCTGTAGATTTATTTGTCAATTATCTCTTAAAGTAGTATGTAGAATCACACACATACATCCTCGCTATCTTAGACAGGTCTTTATTATTAAAAATGTGTAAAGACACTAAATTCTAGAAATTATGAATTTTTACAGAAAATGTGGCATACTCTAAACTTGAAATGGTAAAAAAATTTTAACCTATAAATTATGTTGCATTGTATATTACAGTTAACATACTCTTTTAATTAATTTCAAATTCAGAATTTAGATTGGAAAGAAAAGGGTTAACAGCAGGCCTGTAACTTATTCCTTTCCTTTAAAGTATTTTAGTAGGATATATCCAGTCTACCCACATTGCTTATGTAAATAAACCTGGAATATATATATTTATGGGGCATGACTGGCTGGAGAATTTGGGTAGTCAGGTAAACAGTTTCGTACCTGTATAATTAACTGAATATATATAAAATGAAGAAGCTCTAAAACTGAAATGATTTCCTTTTGTAGTCAATGTTTCCATAAATATTGCTCAGAATTTGCTGTTAATTCCAAACCAAAGTGCAAATGCAAGAAAAAAGGATATTTGGGGAGGCTACATTTGACGATTTGGGTCTCTTCCAGGAAAGAACGTCTAATCTGAGCCTATTGTTGACCTATATCCTTAATCACTTGCAAAATTTGGTGCTGGGTAAGATCTGTGATTCATGTGAGTCTGCTTTGACAATTCAACTCTGTGTGTTAACACAAATATATTTCCAATGTATATTATCAGAAATTGGAACATAACATTTACCTGTAAGTGAACCGTCAACATCAATCAGTACCACTTCATGTTCCCATCGAAAGCCAGCCTTGTTTGGTGTGTGGAAATACTGGATGTCAACAAATTTTGCACTCCAGCCTCCACATCTCTCATTACAAACTCCAGTGATGGACGTCACTCCCAAAGCTACACAGTTGGGACGGTCAAAGTTCATAAAGTGTACAGATGATACAGTCAAGCCTTCACTAAATGGGAGAACCAGGCCTTTCCTTGTGCAAAATGCAGACCCCATTCCCAGTTCATCGAGATGCCCAACTATTTTGGCATTTTTAATCACTGCTCCATTGGTTTCACCCCATCCTCCAACATAAGGAGCCAGAATCCTTTTGGTCTCAATTCCAGCCTCAAAATTATTTACCATCACAAAGTTATGGAACTGAAGGGCACCTCCATTGACCCATTCAGCTCCTTTTTCACAATTCCAAGTAGTCAGTGAATTAAATATCGCAGGCACTGGCACTGTAGAAGTACAAGATCCTGTCTGCATGGGGAAATATTCTTCAAATATCCACATTCCAAACCAACCTTGAGAATGAACAGTGTTGTTAAAGAATTCTCCAAGAGGAACTCTTTTTTGGCAAATGTTTCGGTCATAGGATGGCCCATCAGGGTGGTTGTTCATTCGGTACCAAAAGCCAAAGTGAGTGCCACCAGCAGCTGCATTGTGTCGTATGGTGTTGTTTGGGTTCGTTACCCAAAATGCAGCCGGGGTCACATCATCATTCAGAAGACTGGTACTTTGCTGCACAAATACTGCCAAGTTATACTGCAAGATATTGCCATGTTCAATACCATCTTCTATAAAAAATGCTCCTCCCTTGATATCATATATAATATTCCGCTCCACCAGCAGGTGATGTGTGTTATGGATAGTAACGGCTCTGTTATAGGCCTGGTGAATTGCACAGCCTCTTACATAAGATTTAAACTGTAAATCTCCAAGCAGGTGCCAATGTATTGGATAACGCCCCAACCGGAAAGCCTGGCCAGCATGGAATATCTGTCAAGCCCAGAAATCAGAGCTATTTAGTGATACACATATACTCATAATTTGTCTGGCTTCTATCTTCTCGTTTCAAAATAATCTCCAATTTTATAATAAGAATTATTAATATTTATATCTTCCATATTATTCACATTTATCATTCAAAAATGTTAAGTGACCTTCAACCTACATTGTTTTATTCAACATATAACAGCCCATACTTGTTACCAAATGAATGAATGAACAAAAGCCATCTTTGAATCTTCTGCTTTTCACTTTAGTCTATTAGTAAACTTCCATGTTTAGCAAAATAAAACCTCTCAAAGGCTTATTTTTCTCCTTCACTTTGATTCTTAGATAATAATAGGAAACATTGCCTGAATGTTTGCCGTGTGCCAGATACTGTGCTCTGTTGTATATACACGATCACGGTCTTCACCACAGTCCTATGAAGGAGCCAGTGATCATCAGCTTCATTTTACAGATGAAGAAATTGAAGTTCACAAGGGCTAAGTATCTTCTTCATGGTTATAAAACTCCATTTAAATCCAAGGTGGTCTGATTCTACATTTGGTGCTGTTATTAACTACTGTGCTGTGCTTTCTTTCAATAGGTCTACGATCTAGTAATTTAATACAGAGGATGCCAGTGTGTGTGTGTGTGTGTGTAATATGATCCTAGAAGGTGAGGGAGGAAGATGTTAGGGCACCTATTTATTTTCATTCTCCATCTAAAAATTACAAATTAACTATTATTAATAATTAATACACAGATTGACCCTGGCAACCTCACTCAGTCTATATCTTAGATGTCACATATGTGTAACATATTCTAGGAGGAGGGAAGTTTCATAAAACACAGATGTGGACTCTATCACCCTCCATACGTTGTTTGTAGTCTAGGTGTTCCCAGTGTAATAGATTTATAGGTTTTACTATCCCTCTCTCTCTCACACACTCCCTCTCCCCTCCCCACTTCCCTTTCTTCCTTTCTTCCTCCCATTTACTGAATACTTGACAAAAACTAGGCTAAACTCTGATTATATAGACTGAATATGAATAAGATACAGAGGGGCTCCTAATCTCTTGCAGATAACTTGCATATTTGTTCATTTATTTATATTTTGGTTCAATTAACAATCAGTTGAGAACCTGTTATATGCCAAGCACTGTTCCAGCCACATGAGAATCAGCAGAAAACCAGAAAGACAAAATCTCTGAACTAATTGAATTTATGTTCTGGAGGGAGAGATTGAAAATAGATATATGTCAGGAGTTATGAGTAAATAAAGGAAAACAGGTTTGGGCAGTTATTTCAAATAAAAAGGGTGAGGAAAGGCCTCTCTTAAGAGAGAACACTTGAGGAGACACCTGACTGAAATGAATGTGAACTAAACAAGCATTTGGTAGAGGAGCATTCCGAGCATAATGAGGAGCAAGCACAAAGAACCCGAGACAAAAATATGCCTGACATGGTCAGTAGATACAAGGAGGCCCATGTAGCTAGCATGGCATGAGCCAGGGGTAGAAATCATAGGAGGTAAAGTCAGAGGCCAACTGGGGGACAGATCGTGTGGGTCCTATGGGAAGGACTTGGGCTTTTTGTTTTAGGTGTAATATGAAGCCATTAAACAGAGTGCAACAAGATCTCATTTATACTTAAAAATTTGTATTTGACTGTGGTGTGGAGATTCTATTGGAGAAAGGGTGGACACAGGATGTTGAGTTAGGAGAAAATCATAATAATCTAGGTTAGAGGGGATAGTGGCTTGGTTGAGGGATCAGGTAGCAGTGGTGGAGAGAGAGTGGATGTGGGTCATTGTATTTTGTAGGCAGTATGGATAGAACTTGATGAATTTGATGTGGGATGCAATAAAAATAGAGAAACAAAATTTTGGCATGATTAAATGGGTGAATAATTGGTGTATCAAAACTGTGTGTTTACTTATCTGTCTCCTCTACCAGATTATAAGCAGCATCTGGCAAAAAGCAGGAATTCAGTGCTTATTCATTGTATGGATAACCTCCGGCAAACCACTGTGATTTAACAGTAATGCTTCTTACCTCTACATATTCTATTCTTCCAGTTACCATGTTAGCACCAGGTATGGGAGCATGAAACATAATGCAGCCTCCAAACTGGTCACTTCCTATTTCTTCTCCAAACTTTCCTTGGAAGCATGTCTGTGTAGCAAATTCACCTTTAAAAATATTTTTTAAGAAAACATAAAGAAAAACCATGGCAAAATCCTCTAATTATATTAAGATTTCCTCCCATACCTAATTATATCTTTTTATTCATATATAATTTTAATCTCATCCTGTGACATAATTATTTGCATTCATATCATTTCCTCCTCTAAATAGCAAGCAAGGTGAGTGCCTTGTCTTGTTCACCTTTGCATTTCCTAAAGCACCTATTACAGAATTTTTCAAAGATACTAAATAAATATTTGAATGGTTGAATGAATACTGATAAAGGTACTTTGTCTTATTATCTCTGAAGCTTTGCCCCAAGATTTGGGAAGTAACATAATGCAATCTTGTATTTGTGTAGCACTAGAATATGCATTTTGTCACTTAATTCCTGTAACTACAGTAAGTGGACAGAACGGGACATATTCTTATTTTAAACAGGATGAAATTAAGTTTCATGAACTGGAATCAGAATGTAGGTTATTTGACACTGGATCCAGGGAGCCTTGTCTCATTTATCCCATCGAAGGAAAGGCTATACTTAAGCTCTGTTTGTTAGTATTTAACTCCATATCGGACTGTGATGGTATTAGTTATTACATAAAAGTATCATCTATCTATCTATCTATCCATCCATCCATCCATCCATCTATTTATCTATTGTTAAATCACAATGTCATCTATCTGCTACACACACAGGCACACATAGAAGTACTATGGTAAGTTAAGCATAGCTATGTTATCAGTTCTGTCTAATGACACCTGAGTGGAAGAGACACATGTCACTTCAGGACCAAAGTAAGTGCTGTTGCTTGACTCCCCGCCATCACATGACTTCTTCTGTCCCAGAGATCACAGAGGCCTCTGTTGAAGTAGAGCCTCCCGCAGCCCAGATCCTGGAATCTTTAGAAAGAGCATTTTGGACACACGCAGCATGAACAAGAAATACATCTTTCTCAATTGAATCCCTGCCATTGGGGGCTTATTTATTACTACAGCATAACCTCGCCTGGCAGTTTGCAACTGGGGATGATTTTGTTCCCAGGGACCATTTTTTGCAATGCCTGGAAACAATTAATTTGACACGCTCTGGCTGCTAAAATTACCAGTGTCAAATCCATCCGGACATGCTGGAATTTTGATATTCCACTCCACATTATCAGATCCTCTTATTAAAATATTTCTTGTAAGAATTCCGACTTCGGCTCTCGCTTCAAACAGAGTTCCATCGGGGAGTCTGACGGTGATTCCTAAGTGCGTGTAATTCAGTGGCTCAGTTAGCATTATCTTCAGGCCATCAGCAGATACAGATGCGATGGTCCTCTTTTCATTCTCGTGTTGACTGTGTCTGTAAAAATTTTAACAAAAAAACTTCCAAAATTAATCTAAATCGACATAATCTTATTTTAGTGCATTTGTCTCACAGTTTTTGAACACTTCATCTGTAAAATAGGAAAGTTTCAAATGTCATATAATATTCTGAAGAGGAATTTGAAGATGGTCTCTAAGTCTTTCTTAGAGTAACTGAATAAATTTTATAAAAGCATCTCAATTAAATATTTTCCAAGTACTATAGTTGTTCAGAGAACTGTACTAATTCCTATAAAGTATTCAAAAGAACTATTCATTTATAACTTTGAAGATCACACCCAATGGTTCTCAACTGAGGATGATTGGACCCAGGCTGACTAATTTTAGAAGTAGTAGTCTCGACCACTTGCTTTACAAATTCTCAAATACAACTTGCAAATGAAATAGTGAACAGTGAGTTAAATTTGGTGGGAAATTTCTTAATTTTTGTTTCTTAAAACTAAATATCCCTCAGCTAAATTCTAAACTTACCCTCTTACTTCATATAGAAAAGCTATAAATGAGAACTTTCTATTCTATTAGTAAGCCCTGTCATTTTGCTGCTTTTTATTTTGCCATTATATAATTAAAACTTCTTCCAAAGCCAGAAATAAAAGGGCACTTATCAAGCTAAGTATATATTTAACTCTTCCCAACATCTGCAAGTCTATTTTTAACTTGGAAAACGGCAAACTCAAAATGCCATCTTGAATTTTAATTCTAAATTTAGTCACAACCTTAACATAATTCAGCTGTTTCTTATCATAAATTATTATTTGTTACCTGATAAGCATAATCATATCCAATTTTGCTATTACCCATAATTTGAATAATAAAGCAAAAAGAAAGCTCCTCTTGCTCTCTTTCCCCCCCAGTATTCTTGGTGTAGCTATATTACTCTTGTTCCTTTTATTTCTTGCTTGTTAATACATATAATTAAACAGAAATTAAAGGTCATAAGCTGTTTCAATTGTAAAATGCCAGACATGTAAAAGGTCATGTTAATCATCACTCATTCTATAATAATTTCTTCTCTTTGATTCAATCATTACTAACAGTCTTACTCCATGGGAACCACTGTCAAGACTATAAGATATGAAAGAGCTGCTTTCAACCATGTTCTTTGGCAACCCCAAATAAAACAGTTCATTTACATTTCTGCATTCATTAATGTATTTAGCTGAAGCTCTAAGTCAGATGTTTCTAAATGGCTGTTAATAGCAGAATGCTTTTTTCAAGCAAAATCTTACATGAGAATCTAACCATGAAAAACATTTCATTAGTATACATTTTACAGGTTCAAATTTATACTTTTCCTTATTGTAAATTAATCAACGAAAACAACACACTGGTGTTCAACCCAATGTTAACATTCGGCAAAAAGGTACTTGGCTGTTCATATTTCTTTATTAGAGCTTTCAAATTTAAATCAAATAGTTGTGGATCTTCTGAATCATCCCTCTTTCACATAGTTTAAAAAATCTCTGTCCTAAATTAAAATGATCATGCCCAGAAGACATCATACCTGTGACCTGTGCTTGCAATTACAATCTTATCTCCTGGTTTCCAAGTTACTGCTTCTTGTAAAATCAAAGTTCTTTCTCCTGCCTTTGCAGTATGAGCCAGATGAGTCCAGATCACAGAAACAGGCAGACCTGGAGCCAACATACACACTGAGTATTTCTAAAGATGCATTCTCTTGCATAGTGAGAGCTTTATGCATTTTAAATATTCGCCTGGATTGAATAAATGCTGGGAAGGCTCGTTTTACCTTAGCATTTTATACCTTCCTCAAAAAAGAAAAAGGAATATTTAGAATGTTTGCTTTATAAAAGTAACAGGTTTATGATAACATGTGTGGGTCTACCAAACTAAAAACATCTGCCTACAATGATATACTCCACTTAAAACAATCTTCTTTATAGGAACACAATATAAACGTGGTGGTGATACTGTTGCTACAAGGGGCAGAGGCCTATTATCTTTGCCACTGTTGACAGAAATCATTTAAATTGGTAATCTGGAGATAAATGAAATGTGAAAATTTCTAAAAATTATATTAGGATATTATTTAGCATAACGCAGGGCAACAGTTATCATCATAATAGGGACGTTTATACATTCTAAATTTATAAAAGAAACAGATTATTGCAATACAGAAGACTTTTATATAAAAAGGATTCACACCATGCTTCCTTTAAATAAGTAACCCTGATACCTCAAACATGACCATAGTCATTTTTATTTGCTGATGCATTTCCAGAATATAGTAATATAAAAGTACAACTGTAAACTTACAGTTATACTTTAGAAAGAGCCTATTTTAAAATACAAATATAAGAAGTTACAGTCTTCTGCTTCCAGACTTACTGCCCTTTTATATAGATAAACGGATGCAGTAAACGATCACTATGTACAAAGTGCTAAAATAGGCAAAAGCTGTTATGGGAACACATGGAAAGGAATAAGCAGAAGGGTGTAGAGAAGACCCAGAAGGGCTTTGCCAGGAGTGACCTCGGTTGTGAGTCTTGGTACTCTGAGGGGCTGACCCGCCTTGGATAAGTGGAGGCCAGAGATAAAGAGGGTATACATAAAGACAGGAGAGGCCTGGCAAGGTTTCATTTAGAGAGGATAATCAGGAGAATTATCTCTGGTTTTCTGGCTAGTATCTCCTGTACAAGTTCCCTGAGCCCTTTTGGCTGCCCTACCATGCAGATCCAGGATTCCCTCTCGCACGGCCAGAGTTTTGGCGCCATATACTGGGAGCTCGGGAGATCGCAGGTGTCCATGCAAAGTAATGACTGCCCTGTGTTGAAATGGGGATGCTTCCGTCCCAATCTGCAAGGCATTTCACAACTATCATTCAAAAGTTAAAACTCAATATCCACAATTCTAAACACTCAAAAGTCATCCTTTCTTTTGAGAAACCCATTGTTCAGTTATCAGTATCTTTCTTATGAAAGATAAACCTTAAATTTTCTAGGCAGCCAAGTACACTATGTCAGATCTTTGGAAACAATACTGATTGACTTTAGCCATATCTCTGAGCAATTTTTTTTCTGTGCTATTTAAAATTCTGCTCTATGATAATTCACTATTATCCTTCCATTAAAAGCACAAGAATACTCTCTCTGTCAAATAAATAAATAAAATATTAAAAAAAAAAAAGCACAATAATACTCTGGAAAATTTTCCCCAGAAAAAAGGATTTTAGACTGATAACAGAGACCTACATAAAGAGGAACTTATGAGCGTCTGTTATAATTACCTAACCATTTTACACATGGTATTTTACAAAGAAATGGAGAGAGGTTAGCAATGATTATATATTAGGTTCTCTTGTATACCTGAAGAATGCCTCCATCCGTAATTAGAATATTTTCTGCCTGCAGTTCAATGTCAGCTTCATCAAATATTAGAGTGCCACCTATGAACCATACAATTTTGAAACACAACACAAGGGAAATTATCATTAAATGCTATTTGTTAAATTACACATACAAATTTAAATTCTTATTCTTATCTGATATCATTTTGTATGTCACTTAACTTTAGCTCTTTGGCAACATAAAGTATAAAAACTTCAGACAAGACCCAGGAGTTAATAGAAAATTAAATGTCTAGGCACATTATTTTCCCTTGGTCATTGTTATTTTCAATGCTTTTAAAGAGTACAGCTACATAGAATTAAAGTTCTATAAACACAGGGCCTCAAAATATAAATTAAGAACAAAAACAATTAAAATGAAAGAAAAGCACTTTTTATACAAATTGTTATAATGCTGACATTATCTCTGAACTTTCCATCCACTAATATGCACTAGCAACACCTATAGCTTGACTGGCATTTTTAAAGAATGTGCTAAGATACATTCTTATGAGACTGATGTAAATTTGTGAACAGTAAAACTTTACTTGTCCAAAAGTCCAACAGATAATAACTTCAAACAACTGAAACACTACTGTTAACCCAGAAGTTAAAACAAAAACAAAATATAAAGGTCTTTGAGCAGCTAAAACCATTATGGCAAAGTTTATACACGAAAGCCCAAAGCATTTTACTCTTGCCAATCATTATTGCTTTTACATGCAGTTATAAGAGTTATTTAGTCTTCTATAGTAGTAACAGAATATCAAGAAGCAGAGAGAACCCCAAGTACAATGAGAGTATGTTCAAAGGCAAAGGTGAGAATCACAACTGGCATCCAATGGGAGTCTGAGGGTCATTTAGTATAGAATTTAGCAAGTCTCTATGATTTTATAACCTCTGGGACCCACTATACCAGTCTTTTCCTAAACGGGAAATACTTTTCACTGTTATGATCCATTGCAAGTGCGTATGCATATGTGGATACACATACACACATTATTATTAAAACAAAAGTTTCATAAAACATTTAACTTTAAAAGATGCTTACCAACAAAAATGCAAGACACTCTGATATTTTCTTTTCTATTTCCTTAAAAGATTCTGCTCACAACACATTAAATAATTGCATACCGCAAACAGATTCTGATGCTCAATTTAAAGAACACAGTACTACACATTGCATTCAAAACCTCATACCACTATGGGTGTTCATAATCATGAACATTTAGTTAAATTTACTTCACAAAAATATACCATAGACAGAATATAATAAGCAGACTTTCAGAAATTTACCCTGAATAAGCAACATTTTCAGAATAGGTGTATTTTGATCCAGCAAAATTGTCTGTCCTTTTGTAATAACAACTAGAGACCCTTCCTCTGGGGGAGATTTTCCTCCCCATGAGAAGTTGGAGGACCAAACATCAATATACAGGAAGTCAGAATCATCCTGCAATAAAACATGAGAGACTTTTAAATTGAGAGTTTTTATCAGAATTCTTCATTCAATTTCTCAAAATGAAGAAATTTAAATGAGTAAACATTTTCATTAGTAATAAAGTATAATCTACTTTAAATGTTATAGCTGCCTGTTGGTTTATTTCACAATAATAAAGTGAAAAATCAATTACCGATTACACCACAATCCAGAATAATTCAAAACCTGAAATCTTAAAATGTTACTAATAAGCAACAAAAACATATAACTTAAAATTTAGTATAGTTACATCTCAGTTATTTTTTGGAGACATTAACAAAGTAAAAAGTCCATTACCAATTACTTAATCTCCCATAATGCTTTTCTATTTTTCCTCCCCCCCCCCCATTTTTCTATTGCTGTGATTACTATACCCAACAGCACTTTTACCAGTCTGGCCATGCCAATGCTTCTGATGTTGACACACACTGGAGCCCACCCTGAAGAGGTGTGGGCATTTGTCATACAGATGATATATGTCTTGTTGGAATACTCAACATCACATTTGGCTTCGGCTATGGTGATGAGAACATCTTGCATATTTTCACTGTGAAGAAAAAAGGGGGAAAACAAAACACTGATGGTTTTTTCTCAGATTTCTACGTCACATTGTCAAACACTATTACTGATATGCCTTATTGCAAAAATAATAACCTTACTCTATGATCCATCAAAGGCAGACTGATACTTTTTCAGTACTAAGACTTCAAAATATTTGTTGAGAAAAAAGTAAACAAAGATTAAGAAGCCAGGAAATAAAACTGTACAAATTAGCAGGCATTCCAATATTGGAGGAAAACTGCCCGGGTTCAATTTATTGAGAGATTTTTTGTTAGTCTCTAAACAGCTACTTTTGTAAGTGACTTTCAGGGATTCTTTTGTTTATGTGATATTCTCACCACATTCAAAGACTTTAGAATTTAATATCCACGTAAAAATGCAAGTCCAAGGTCTTGAGAAATTATGTACATGTGGAATTAAAATTGCCTCCTATGATTTAAATGATCTGGGGTTTTGAAGTCAGCCTTACCCACTTGAAGAATGATGACAGTGCAGTACATAAATTTGAGCCAAATAATGAATATGTTTAGGAAGAAGGAATCTGGCCAGTTACAATGAAATGGATGTGATGTATGAAGACATGTTTCATTGACCCAATGAAGCAGATCAAGGTTGGTGATGAGATGGTGAGGGAAGCATAACAAAATGTGATTTATTCTTGGGATCTGACTAGGATTTGGGGCAAGTTATTTAACCTCTCTAATTTCAGTCTCCTAACCATAAAATGGAATAAAAATATCTAAGAGGGTAAGGCAGGAAGTTTCCATGGGGTAAGAAGGTGCCTGACACAGAGCAAATCTTTGATAAATGTTAGCTATTAGTACTACGATGTGCCTCAAGCATGACTTTTGAGCAGATGGGTACACATTACATGACTATATTTAAGCACTGTTCTTGCACATGAGAAAGCCAGGAGTAATGGCGTGAGCCTGCATATACGCACTGATGTATGTGTGTGTGAAGACTGTACCTGAAGCCTGATCCCGTGATTGTAAGTCTCGTGCCCCCTGCTGTACTGCCTCTCTTGGGATATATTTCGGCGATGAGTGGAGTCAGTAACATGGTATACGTAAAAGGCGTCGTGGACTGTGACAAATCCTTCCCGTTGACCACACTCACTTCACAGGCTTGCTCAGGTCCTCTGCCTAGGAGAAGAGGATCAAACTGAGGACAGTTCTGCCATCAGGCCTTTATTCATTCCCCAAACCCCCAAACATTTTCCATAACATCTTCCTTTTCCTGAAATCACTTCCAATATACACAGGCTATATGTCAAGTAATAAGGATCTCTAGCAATAGCCAAAAACATCACAAAGTTCATGCACATGATCAAAGGGAAAAAACCCTTAGAACCTTCCTAGGAGCCTCTTATTGCAGACAATTCTGCAAACTTCCCTGTGTAGGGTTCCAGCCCCAGAGGATCCAACATTGCAAATCAGAGCAGGAAAGGAGGAAGAACTGCTAAGGCACGCGCATGGATTGCGGCAAGGCGTGACAGCTGGAAGCGAGGTAAGAGACAGAAAAAACACAGACACTCAGTACAAAAGTGTCCAAAGAAGAAGCAGAGCTGGTGTTAAGACAACTCAAAAACCTTGACAAATCTTGACAGCACTGCTGCTTTTCTTTAAAAAATCAGCATATAAACTGACGTTCAAATGATAAATGAGTTCATTCACAAAAATGTTATATTTCCTTCAATATTCTTTAAGAAGCCAGAAAAGAGGGGCACCTGGGTGGCTCAGCTGGTTAAGCAGCTGCCTTTGGCTCAGGTCGTGATCTCGGGGTCCTGGGATGGAGCCCCGCAACAGGCTCCCTGCTCGCCTGCTTCTCCCTCCCCCTCTCCTTCTGCCCCCCACCCACCGCTCATGCTCTCTCTCTCTCTCTCCAATGAATAAATGGAATCTTTTTTTAAAAAGTCAGAAAAGAAGTAAAAATGTTTAGAAAAGTTTCATCAAATTTTGTTTAAAAATGCATATAAACCATATCTTTTATTCACCTAGAGCATTCCTTTTCGTTCTTCTTAAATTTCATTGGGTAATTAAAATTTGTTGTATACTTAAAATGTCAGATAGTTAAACTTCACAATAACCCAAGAATTAGGGTTAATAATATCTCCATTTAATAGGTGGACAAACTGAAACAGAGGAGTTTAGTTACTTAGTGAGATGACATAGTAAGTGGCAAAATGAGATTTAGGGCTCCTGAGAGCCTGGGCTCTTTATCCACTAAATAATAAGAGTAATAGTAATAACAACAGCAAATCACATATCCTATTTCAGATAGCATTCCATCCACTTTACATACATTAGCTTATTAAACGTCACAATAATCCTATAAAGTAGGCGAAAGTTATCTCACTTTCCAGATGAGGAAACACTGAGGCACAGAGAGATTGAATAACCCGTCCAAAGACACAGCTTGGGTCTGAATCTTGGCCATGCATTAGCAGGGTTTACACTCATGACCATTATACTCTCCTATCTTTAATGGAAACTAATTGTTCAATAGGAATTAAAAATGCATTCTCCATTTGGCATGCTCCGTTTATGTAATAAACTGAAAAACTGCAATTTATTATAAACAATTCAACCTAGCCAAATGTTATGAATCTTGAAAGACATATAAACCTAGAAAACAAAGTTCTAAAGAAATTGTTAAAAACATAACATAAGGGCGCCTGGGTGGCTCAGTCGGTTAAGCGACTGCCTTCGGCTCAGGTCATGATCCCAGGGTCCTGGGATCGAGTCCCACATCGGGCTCCCTGCTCTGCATGGAGCCTGCTTCTCCCTCTCCCACTCCCCCTGCTTGTGTTCCCTCTCTCGCTGTGTCTCTCTCTGTCAAATAAATAAATAAAATCTTTAAAAAAAAAAAAAAAAAAAAAAAAAAAAAAAAAAACATAACATAATAAAATAAAATAAAAAAACTCTTCAGGCTTTAATAAAAAAATTTTTAATTTCTCTCTTTAATTTTTGATATATAGTGTAATAGAAAAATACCTATGGCTTTGTTTTTCAAGGGAAAACTTAAATAAAAACTTAAAAAAAATAAAAAATAAAATAAAATCAAGGTAGTCATAAAGGTGATTCAATTGCCCCCCCAAAACACAAAAACTTGGAAGAAGAAATTCAGACTCTGATTTCTTTAACATTAATCACTGCCATTCTTTTTCCTGACTACTCACCATCGTTACGTGGAATTTTACATAATAGTGTTGTGCGATCAGATTTAAGCCTGTCAACTGCACATTCTGAGCCACACACCAATATAGTTGAGGTTTGTGGATTAAACCCGGTGCCAGTCACAGTCATGGTCTGACCACCACCGAAGCTTCCTAGTGAAGACATACAAGGGGGAAAAACACAGTTCATGAAAAGAAAACCTCCTCTGTGTATTTATTTTAAAACCTGAAATGGAAGTAAATTACACTAAATGAAACAATTCTTAGAACTGAAGTTATATTTTATATTATACTATATTATATTAATGCAACAAAAACTTTACTGAATAAATGTTACATCCCATCATTTATTTAAACTACTTCTAGGAACTAAAACTTTATTTAAGAGAGATGTCAAAAAAAGAATTTCAGAGTAGTCAAAAGATAAATGTAAAATTACTATTTTAATTAGGAGTACATTGCTTATACTTTCTTAAGGTTTTTAACCACTAAAATAATTTTCAAATAGAAAAAAATACTTACTTGTGTATTCATAATTACAGGTCAGTGATGTCTAAGCATGATTTTATAAAATATTTTCACATATAATCTGGACATTTTAAGTAGCATTAAACTTGAAGTTAATTATATAACACTAAGAGAAATAGAGTCCATAAATGAATATTTAGAGATGATTAGTTGATACACATGCTTGCATATTCAATGCATGAACAAAAATATTTTTAATGTGTTATAGGAACTACAAATTTTAGCATTGTTTGAAGAATTTTTTTTTTCTAAATAAAGTAAGTGTTTACTGAAACAATACAAAGTATCTGTAGGTTCCTGCACATTCATGACTACCTTGGCTTGGATGAATATTTTGAATAGCAAGTGGGTACTCAAATACAACTGTGGACACGGCAAAGCCTTTTGTCTTATGATGCATCGTAACAGGAAAAGTGCCACCAGCATGATCTCCAATGACGCACTGCAATACGCTATCATTGACCGTGGTTACGTTACACAGAATGTTGTCTATCATTACCAAAATGTCCAAGATATCAATACCAAAATTAGATCCAGTGATTTGAATTTTGGTTCCTGGTGGACCTTTAAAAAAAGAAAAAAAGCAAACAATATATCTAAATTCCAGTACCTATACATGCATTTAAAGATACACCTAATTACTCCCATAAACAAAATAATACCCAGTATTTCAAAGCTAATATATATAAATATATATTATATATTTATATAAATATAAATATTATAAATATATAAATATTAACAAAGCACAAAGTTAGGCTGCACCATATGTTACAATCTACAGCATATTTACAGTAAGTTATCTCAACATTCATTCTTTCCCAGCCCTTCTATCCATTCCACTGCATTCTTATTCTACTGCTATTGTTAATGTTAGTTCAGGCTAGTGGAGAAGAGGAAACAAGGGAAGAGAGACGATTTAGAATCAAGAATTATGAATGTCTCAGCAGGAGTTGTGGGTTGGAGTATATTTTAGGGATGGGGCTTACTATTTTTTATTTTTGGTACTTCCCTGTTATTGGCAACTCTTTTGAGGATGGATTAGTTTTCTTAATTTAAATATTTTCAATATATATACTTGATAAATTATGATAGGTAAATAATTAGATGTAAGACAGTATATACAGAAATAAGGAATTAATTTAAAGAATTATAAATGGAGGAGATTATGCTAAGTGAAACAAGTCAAGTAGAGAAAGTCAATCATCATATGGTTTTACTTATTTGTGGAACATAAGGAATAGCATGGAGGACATTAGGAGAAGGAAGGGAAAAAGGAAGGGGGGAAAATCGGAGGGGGAGACGAACCATGAGAGACTATGGACTCTGAGAAACAAACTGAGCGTTCTAGAGGGGATGGGGGTGGAGGGATGCGTTAGCCTGGTGATGGGTGTTAAAGAGGGCATGCACATATTGAATGGAGCACTGGGTGTTATACGCAAACAATGAATCATGGAACACTACATTGATGTAGTGTATGGTGATTAACATAACATAATAAAAAAAAGAGTTATAAATGAATGTTGATGTTGATGCCTTGAATAAATGTACATAGAACAAAGTACTTCAATTCTTCTGTTCCCTTCCTTCCTCCTTTTGACAAAAATGTATTGAGGGCATTAAACACAAAGAATTTGTCATAGGTCATCCAAATGAATACCTACATACCTAAATAATAAGTGAATAGGTACAAATCAATGTAACTTGTTACACATACAGAGTCACCAAGTAGTAGGCTGATTTTAATTCGAGTAGCAATAGTAAAAAGAACCATATAACTGATCATAGTAAAGATCACTGATATTTAAATTGTCATTTTAAAGACCACAGATATTTACGAGATTTTCATGTTAGGAATAGTTTTAAGATATGAGCCAAAAAATGTTTTTTAGGCCTTAAATTTTTAATTTCGTCTAGCATTTTCACCTTTCAAATGGAAGTGTTGTTCTAAGTGTGATCTATTACTTTGTTTCCTTAGTAAATAAAACAGCTCAGTTCTCACTTGTCTGCAAGTCTTCTATCTTCAAATACATTGTTTGAAAGACACATTCAAAGAAAGAGATGGGACAGAAATGGTTCATGGAAATAAAAACATATGCCAATATCCAGTTCATCATTTGCAATGATTACAAATATATGGGGGAAACTATGTCATTGCTATTATTCATGTTTGCCTCTTTCACAATTTTCTAAATGATAAAACTTGATGTACCAAAGAAAATTCCAATAGCAAACTTCTTGAAGGGAGAGAATACATCTTACCCAAACCTGACCACATTTTCTGGTAATATAAACTTAAAAAAAGACTATTTTTAAAAGGCTGACATTTAATTAGTTCTTTATTGAAGTTGCCATTCGAAGTTACATTATACAAATGAATTTCTTTAACCTTAGGTACTTGCATGTATAAGGAAACTAATATTTAAAAAGCTTTGTCCAAAGTTGCATCACTGTAAAGTAGAAGAACTGAGATTTGAACCTAGGCATCAAGGTCACGTTTCATCATTACATTATAGCAGCCTCTCTAGAATTCATTATGTAGGTGATAAGCATTCTAAGAGCTTAAAGATGACCAGAAACAGCATAGGACAATGACAAAAAATTAAGAAGACATGTCAATCTATTCTTAGCTTGGAAAAAATGAGTTATGTTAAATCATTAAGTAAATCTTATTTCATAATATTTTATTTCTATCTGAATGGGTCAATTACCTCCTTAAAAAGAACTCTGTTGAGTTAATAAGTTAGTATCCAATTGTAGTTTTGTGGAAATAAGATATACAGAAAAACTCTCAATGTCTAGTAACCTACTTCTGAATTTTACAGTTGTTTCCTATGCCTATCAATATTAATGACATAAATTAATTATCAATTTTAATTCATAGATATCCATCTCTTTCTTCCTCATTTTGAAATTTAGGTCAAGTTAATGGGGATTTTGTTTCAAAATAGAAGTTGGAATTTGTTGTGTTTTTTTTTTAAGATTTTATTTATTTATTTGACAGAGAGAGAGACAGCGAGAGAGGGAACACAAGCAGGCAGAGTGGGAGAGAGAGAAGCAGGCTTCCTGCTGAGCAGGGAGCCCAATGCCCTGATGAGGGGCTCAATCCCAGGACCCTGGGATCATGACCTGAGCCAAAGGCAGACGCTTAACAACTGAGCCACCCAGGTGCCCCAGAAGTTGGAATTTGACTAAAAATTCTATCCCAAGAATGTGCAAAAAATAATTACAAACCGAAACTACACAGAAAAGTCCCATGTATTTATTGGGTTAAGTGGATTGTCTAAAAACACATCTTAATAATCATTTATAAACATTATTCCAATTCTACACTAATAAATATTACTGATAATAACGTATCAAGACAACAAAAGGGAAGTATTGGAGTACCTGTATTTGGGACAACTTCTCTGAGAAGTGGAGTATCTTCCAAGGCATACGTAAATGACAGAGGTGGATAGGCAACTGCATTAACAAAGATCTTCACACTGACCCTTCCAGCTGTCCCTGCTGGGGTGTAGCAGTGGACTTCACTGGAGTTGACAGAAATAATTTCACAAGGTTCATCCCCAACAGTGACTGTGGTATTGCCTGGGGAGAAGCCATTTCCCGTGGTCACCAATATAGTTCCACCAGCAATGCTTCCAGAAGCTGGTGTGACAGATGCTACCGCGGGGCTGCTAACAGTAAGGTTTCCCAGAGCCAAGCCTTTACTTCCCACCACAACACTAAGAGAATGAAGTCCAGCTGGGAGGGGACTCACAAGAACAGTGATGTTATTTTCATTAACATCTACTGCTCTGAACCGTTGGTTTCCAATGAAAACAGCAATGTCCTCCAAGGTAGTGTCAAAACCTCCTCCTTCAATAAGAACTTTTACAGGTCCCTCAACAGAGTATGGGAAGATTCTTGTTACAACGGCAGTGATGCTTTCTAAGTATGAAAAGCTGCAGTTTCCCTGACACTGGGCAGGCACTCCATGTATCAGAAGATCCACTTTCACGAGCTGTTGGGGAGCAGGAGATGTTTCACACTTGATGACTGTATAACTCACTGATAGAATTTTACAGGGAAAATGACCCATGAAGACTTCTACACCTGCAGAAGAAACTGCAAATCCAGAGCCTTTTATGGTCACTCTTGTCATTCCTGTAGCTGATCCTGCATTTGGCAACACCGTGTCGATGTTTGGCAAAAGTACAAATCGCCTGTCAAATTCATTGGACAGCGTATTGATAGCCGTGCCCAGGTTGTAGACAGTTAATGTGACAATTTCCCTGATGCCAACATCCATCGAGTTTTGAGGGTCAATATGACATATAATTGAACTGTCACTACTTTCTTCTACAATACAGGGGTAGCTACCAATTGTAACCTGAAAGTAAAATGGATATGGAAACAAGTCAATACATTACTCTAGTGTGAACTTAAATTTTATATTAACAACAACCAAATTTTAAAAATTTAATCTTGTGCAAACTTTTTTATTCATAAAAATAATTTTGGGGGCTGATTAAGACATCTCTTGGATTAATCTTAAAACTAAATTATGACCACACATGAATGTTCATAGCTACATTATTCATAACAGTCAAAAAGATAAAAATAATCTAAATGCCCATGACTGGTAAATGGATGAATACAATGTGTATATTATATAATGGAATATTATTTAGCCATAAAAAGAAATGAAGTACAGAAGGGAGGGGGATGAGGGGATGGGGTAACGAGGTGATGGGTATTAAGGAGGGCATGTGTTGTGATGAGCACTGGGTGTTATATGCAACTAATGAATCGTTGAACACTACATCAAAAACTAATGATGTACTATATGTTGGCTAACTGAACACAATAATAATAATAAAAAATACTTAGGCATTATGGCAAATCATTCTTCATTACACCAGGAGCTGTTGAATGCATCAAAAAAAAAAAAAAAAAGAAAGAAAGAAAGAAACGAAGTACTGATAAACATGGAACAACATGGTTGAACTTTCAAAACATTATGTTTAGTGAATAAAGCTGGTCACAAATGACCATGTATATTATTCTATTTATAAGAAAGGTCCAGAATAGGCAAATACATAAAGACAGAAAGTAGATTAGTGGTTATTTAGTGCTGGGAGGGTTGAAGAGATTGATGGTGATATCTAAGGGTTAGGGGTTCCTTTCTGGGGTAATAAAAATGTTCTAAAATTGAATGTGGTGATGGATGCACAACTCTGAATGTACTAAAGGCTACTGAACTATGCACCTTAAATGGGTGAATCATATGGTATATGAATTATATTGTAATAAAGCTGTTAGAAATTAAATTATGAGGTTGTGGATGAAACATTTTCCTTTTATTGAGTATACGGGAGATCTTTATATTCTTACCTTATTAGCACATGTGAGATTACTGAAGCCATGTCCAGTAATTGTTATCAATTCATTTCGTGTTCCAGCAGATGGACTAATGTTGTTTATAGATGGTGAAAAACAACTTGAAAGCTCAAAGACCAATCCATCTGAGTTTTTAACCCTGGTATTGTTGGGGCCACACAAGGGTTCTGTTGCTAGGCAGCCTGCCACAGAGCTCCCCAAGTGCAAATTCACAGGTCCTTTAGGCAAAAGAACTGCCTGTAAGTCACAGATAATATTCTAAAACAAGAACTGTTTTCAGACTGCATTACTCTTTATTTTAATGGTGGTGGTTTATATTCTATTAAAAATTGTTTTTGGTTTTGTTTTAATGACAAGAGGGGCTCAGGCAGTACAAAGTTAAAATAAAGACCTGGACAAAGGTGGTGTAGTAAAGAGAGAAGAGTGAATATAAAAATTAATTTATTTTTCAATTTGTCTAAGGCCAGGTCTTATGGGGAAAGCAAAACAATAACATCATCTCACATTTTGATATATTTTGGGGGGCACATACAGAGTGTCAAAATTTCTTCATGCTACATCTCATCTGAGGCACAGAAGGATTCTGGGAGAATGGCAGGACAACATTAACATGGGCCTCATTTTATAGAATAGATTCCAGCCTCAGAACTGTCCAGATCTATCCAAGGTCATGTAGCTGGTCAGAGACAAAGCAGGGTTATACCCAGTCATCTGCTTCCTACTCCAAAAGGGTCACATGCACCCTAGGTCACTGGAGTAAACAGTAAAGATGGTTTCCATCTCTAACCCTCTTACCCTGAGCATATGTGGCTTCGGCGCTACCCACAAACAGGTGCAGGGGAATGTGCCTGGTTTCAGCTGGTAAAACATTAATGACTCCTTGGAGAAAAATGGAGCAAGCCTCATCAACATACCCGCTGCTGTAATAATGGATTCCAGGTGAAGTAAATTGGTAAGAAAATGAACCTGCCATAAAATAAGATCGTACATAATAAACACAAGCAATTAACGCATCCTCCAAAAGAAATTTCAAATGATCATTTATACACACATGCAGATGACAGGATTCTTATTTTTCATGCATGTGATATTTCAACAGGAAGTAGTAAAGAAAGGACTCACTGGCTATAAAAGAACTATCTTCTATAATGAAATTACATTCCAGGAAGACAAGATCCGGCATTAATTTTTCTAGAAAATCATGTCCAGTCTGGCATAATTTACCACATTTTAAAGAAAACTTCAACATTCAGTGAAAAACAAACAATACTTTGTATTCATGAGAAAAAGTTCAAACTGCTATATATATAGAACAAAACATACAGTTTAAAAGGCACACTTACACTGAGTTCTCTTAGGAGAAATACTCATTTGCTGATTCCAATCAACCGAAGTTTGTTACTTGCTACCAAGTTGGTATGATTAAAACACATACTCCAATTTTCTTTGTATTTTGCTTATTTTGATATTTTTTGAATTGATTATTCCAGAATAAAGATATTTCTGAATCAGAACTCGTCTCTGATATATAAAATACCTTGCTTACATTCATTTATAATATTTTTATAAATCTGCAACATTTTTACTACAGCAATAAAATGCCAACTATTTACACATATCATTTATGCAAAAGTATTTTAAATCTATACAACATCGCTTTATTATATCTAGGAAAGAGAAGCATGACACAAAATGCAACAAAGTCTAAGCATACCTGATGCAGATTTTTCTCTTCCATTCGTAAATCCTTTGCCATCATAAATTACACTTCCAGGGCTGGATACAGAGAAAACCCTATATCCTATTCCCCTAAGAAATGGATGTGCTTGCCAATGCCACGTCACTGTGTCTCCCACAGATATATTTAAGACTGATGGTGACCAGGCATAACCTAATCCATGTAATGGAAGCAAGAATTGAGACACATTTTTTTTAAAAAAGTCTTAATAATTATCTTTGAAGTATCACATTTTTAAATTTTTATGTGCATAATGAGAAGTGAAGGATAAAAATAAACCACACACTTCCAAAACTGATAATCAAGAGACAATTTGAAAAAAAAATCAGAAAGTCAATAAATAAGTTGTTCAGAAATATCCCATGGAATATTTTTTAAAGCTGTGTTCAGTTCTTTAAACATAAGAATTTTCTCAGGCATAAAGGCATGCCAAAGTCTATATAATTTCAATTTGAATATTTATTTAGAAACACATGGCCAATAACAAACTACCATAACTCGGGAGGTTCTGTACTGAAGTAAAACCTAATGGCAATTCCTCAACTTGCAAATTGCAGTCTAGGCTTGTAAACTCAAGTCTACCACTGATTCATTCTATATGTGCCCCCCTATGTCAAGGGGATAAATTAGAGACAAACTATTGACAAATTATAGAAAGAAATACCAATACTTTTTCCTCTGAATACTTTGAAGTATTAAATAAATAAAAATCAGATCAACTTCAGGTTGTAATTATGTTCCATAATTTACAACATATAAATGTTGGCTGATACCTGAATCTTCTCCAATACTGGTAATCCTGAATGTATTCCCTGTTGAATGAAGAATACATTTTATGACATTTTCTGATGATGAAATCACATCACAAGGGAAGGACCCTAGAAAGAAAAGAAAAAAGATGGGGGAAAAAAACATTTTCTCAAATATTTTTTGTAAAACATAGAGATGAAGTAAACAGTTAAGACCCTGCAAAAGCTCCACATTTAGTAAAATCTCTGATACTTTTCTGAGAGCTATCATGTTTGAGTATTGATTAATTTTAGAACAGAGACTTTCACTTTTTAAAGTGTTTTATACATATTAAATATAAAATATTTATTGAAATCAAAAGCAGTTATTCAATTTCTCTTTACCACCTTAACCAAACACACTTAGCCTTTTATATGCTAATAGCAAAATAAAGTTTCCATGATTGAGAGTATTTGTATAATAACTCAGCACCTAAAAGCACATCTTTTATCTTATTTTTTATTTTTTAAAAATATTTTATTTATTTATTTTTGTGAGAGAGAGAGTGAGCATGAGCAGGGTGGGTGGGGGTAGGGGCAGAGGGAGAAGCAGACTCCCCACTGAGCAGGGATCCGATTTGGGACTCAATCCCAGGACCCTGGATCATGACCTGAGCCAAAGGCAGATGCTTAACCAACTTAGGCGCCCTAAGCACATCTTTTAAAGTGAAAAAAATGATAACACCCTTTTGTGAGGGTGCTCTTACCTAAGAGCACGGTATTCTCAGTTGGTATTGTGCTGAACCCCAAACCCATTATAGTGATTTCAGTTCCACCATATAAAGAGCCCCTCTGTGGAAACATGGCAGTCACTTCCAAAGTATACTGTATAGAAGCATTCAACTTGTCTCTGCAAAAGAAAAATTAATAGATGTTTCGATGAGTTTTCCATGAGGTCCTATTGCTAAACTCTTATTAGGATATGATTCATTTAGGAAGAGGAAGTAGTTGAATATTTAATTAGACATTACTTTTTCGAACTAAATAATCTGATAATCATCATGACCTTAATTTGGTTGGATGGTCTGTGTGTGTGCGTGTATAATAATAACATACATAGCATATGTAGTAATGTACTATATAAAATAATAATATATAATAATAGTTTTCCCGTAACAATGAAAATCAGATTTCTGAAAATCCCATGGCAAGAAAAATTTGAGATGGAGAATCTTAAAATATTATGAGAAAGATGTGGTTATGAGAACTGAGGTCACAAGAAATATATGATGTCCTTTAAAATATTTTATATATTCATTAGAGTAAAACATAAAGGCTGCATTATCTATAAGGGAATAGGGATGAAATTCCATACATTTTATATAAGAAATAAAAGTTTTGTGCAACTAATTTAAATTTATTATTCTATGTATGTTGGACACTTGTCATGATCTCCCTTCCCAGTATTTCAATGAGAGAGTTTTAAACTTATTTTGCTTTGTTACAGACAATGTGTCTGCTAGGAGACCATCGAAATGTACAGTGATTTTCTGACCTGGTATTTAGAGGAGACTCCTACATCCCAGCTCTCGCCATGAGGAAAATGAGTCTTTGTGTTAACTTTTAGTTCACTTCCTCAGCATAACTGAATTCATATTTCTTGAACTGTCACTGAAATAACCAGTTTTGTAGGCTGTCAATTCTGCTCATTATCTCCCTCATGCCAAAGCACAAACCAGCAGCTCTTCTGGAACCTATGTGAACTCTGCCATGTGAATTGAAGAGGGGATGTAGTTCTGGGGTTCATATTTACTCTTGCTTATCCTCCTTTACCTCAAAATTCTGCTGCAATAATCTCTCCTATTCTGACATCAGGTGTACCTGCCTTTTTTTTTTTCAAATCCCTCTATTTCAGTTTCCTCTTTTTCTAAGTATTCTAAACCCATACTTCTCTTATGCCAGAACGAAAATTTTACTAAAATTTTAACAAACAGCTTCCGGGAAGAAAATACTGAATAGTAACCTAAAGGAAATAGCTGGAGAAGGATTCTGTCCTCCTCTCCTTTATGGGCAACTCCTACCCATTTCTTGGCTTAATTGTCACCTTTTAGAGAATGCTTTCCTGTCCCTCAGGAAAAGTTAGTGCTCTCTATTATATGCTCTTACAGACCTGCTACCTCTTACTCATAGCCTTATTCACACTTATAATTAAGTTATTGATGTAATCTTCTGTTTGAAATCTGCCTCCCCAACAAAACTGTGGGCACTACTAAGAGTGGAGGACATGTCCCTCTTATTCTCCACGGTGAATCCAGCACTGAGCAAGCGACTGGCCCTTACTAACTGCTTGATAAGTATTTCCAGAATGAAAAATATGTGATATATACATAAACCTAGTTCCACAGAGAATCTTACAACCTAACCTGAATGGTATTGGCCTCAAAACTAAGCACAGATTGCACTGTATGAGATATTCTCAGAACACTTTGCAAAAGGAGATGTAGATAGGTGAAAAAAGCAACTGAAATATTATAAAGTTAATGGTTATTTCTTTTCTTACCCCCAAACCATTGGCCCCATGTATTCCACAACTCCTCAAGTTTATGGACATTACTGTACCTTGTTGATGCAAAGCCCCAGTTTCTGACTTCTACATAGATATCATGTTTTCCAGGAGACAACTTGGGCAAAAGACATCTAATATCTGTGAAGTTCCACTGAAAAATCTGACAGGGTTTTCCTCCAACATATACCTCCACGTTTTGTGTGATTTCATTTCCAAAGTTATAACCCTTAATTGTTAAATTAACTTCTCCTATTATTTTAAAAGAGAATAAAACTTTTACAAGAAGATTCAACTTATTATATGGCATAAAATTTGCATATTAAATAAACTAACTCATTTCTTATCTTTTGTTGGATTTAGGAAATCCTAATGCTTGCAGAGGCAAAAGAGAAATCAGTGAAAGAATTGATAGCTGCCATGTAGAGATAAAATTCATTTTTAATTGTTTCACAGGAAAAAAAGATGGCAAAGTACTTTCTAAAAAACTTAACATTTTTCTCCTTATTACACATGTTCAAAGTGAAATAATAAATAGACTAATGTATGCTTAAAAAAAAACTTGTGCCTGGTTTTGCTTTAAGAAACAACTGCAGAAGAAACTATGCTTCAAAAACCTTTCTACAAATAGTTCACATTTATCTATGTGATGTATATATATCTTACATACACATGTTTATCTTACATATATCTCACATATATGTCAAATGACTGATCTTATTGAAATTTTTCTTACCTTGTATCGTTCGTACTTTTGGACTAAAATCAGTTATAACTGGAGTCTGTAAACAATTATAACTATAAGCATCCTTTGCTGTGGCTTGAAATCCATTGGTAATAACTGAAATATCAACTGTACCCTCAATTCTCTGAAATAAGAAGGAAAAAAAATTAGAAAATATTAAATGTTGAGATAAAGAATTCCAGTGGCTAAAAACAAATAGAATTATTCAAAATAAACTGCTGAAGATGTTTGGTTTCAAAGTCATGAATCAGAATCATTTTTCAGATATTTAGAAAGCTGTGGTATCCAATGTAGGCTACATGTTTTAATTTTTTAGATAAAGGTATATGATATAGTAGTTTTGAGGATGTTTATGACCAATTTAAATGCATATTAATTATTGGACTCCTAAGGACTCTGCAATATAGTTAAGATGCTCTGGACAAGTGACTCTTATTTTTAAAAAAATTTTAAAAGATTTTATTTATTTGAGAGAGAGAGAGCAGGAGCAGGGGGAGGGGCAGAGGGAGAAGGAGAAGCAGGCTCCTCACTGAGCTGGGAGCCCCAAGCAGGGGGCTCGATCCCAGGACCCTGGGATCATGACCTGAGCTGAAGGCAGACACTTAACCGACTGAGCCACCCAGATGCCCGCCCCTGGACAAGTGACTCTTTTAAATTGATAAAGCAAAGGTGTTAAAAGTTTTGACATTTTGTTCTTAAAACATACTCAAATGTAATTTTTTATTCCTCTTCCCTGACAAATCACATTATTATATCTTTTTGCTGACCTAGTTTCAGAATTGGAGACTAAGACACTTGGATCCCTAAGAAAAATGTTTGGCGTTTTCACTGATAGAATATCTATACACTTCCCAATTAGGAAAAAACGCTTTTCCAGAATGTAGTATTTGCTTAATGTGCACTCAGCATTTAAGTGAATGACATAATTTAAACACAGTTTTTGTTTACCATATCCTCCAGATTTTCATCATCATTTGGTCCAACACATGTTCAAATTTACTTTTCCTACAGATTTCAACTACATAATACCCACACTGAGTCTGCTCAATTTTTTTTAATGTTACTTACTGGATCCAGCATCCTTTTGCACATAATAAGCAAACAAGAGTCTTGGTTTAAATCTAGACACTATTTTTTAAAATAAAGAACAACAATTGGTGCTAAGATACAATATTGCATGAGGAATTTCACATGTTTTTTTTTTTGTATTTGCTTTATTTATTTATTGTTGACAAACTGAAACTTTAACACATTTAAGACATAAATTCTTTTTTTAGAAATAAAAAATGTCTAGATTTGCTTCTCTGAATTTTTTTTTAGACTGTTAGTACTGAATGTTTTCATCCTGGCATTTACCTGGTCAACTCTCATTCATCCTTCAAGTTCTGATAGGCCATCAATTTTTCTGTGAAACTCTTTCTCAGCCTCTCCTCACTATATTTTATTTTTACTTTGTATCTATTTCTATTATTTCAAGTGGAACACATGGTTTAACACTGGTTTATGTGTCTGTCTTTCTAAACGGTAAGTATCTAGAATGTGGATATAATACTTCATATTTGGATCTTAGCAGAGAGATGTTGGAGAAATAATTGTACAGAACAATACTGTAATGCCACAGTTTCTAGGTAAAAATGTCACTTGTTTAATCTACTGAGATGTTCATAAGTTTTTAGGAAAAAAAAATGACTGAAATCAGATGCCTTACTTTTGGTGTTCTGCAGGTTATCTTATTCAAATCCCCTTCAATCACATTGCAGGTTTCATTTCCAACTAATACCTTTGAATTTTCATTAAAGCCAAATCCAGATACACTCAGAAGAGTACCACCTTCAAAGGGAAACAACAATAACAATAATAGATCGACAATAACAAAAGGAAACTTTGGCAAGAATCTAACTCATCATTCAAGAGTTAGGCTGGCAAAGAGATGGGCTGGCAAATAATCAAGGACCAGATCTGAGATGCATATAATCACCACCCCATCTGGGAACCAGAGCTCTGAAGTCTGGAACCATAAAGCAACTGGGCTAAGTGATTTCATGAAATAACAGATTTGGAACAACCCTTTGCTTTGGGGCATCACTAGCAGCAACTATTTTCCATATAGTCCTCTTCATCCTAAAGAGAAATTATGCTGTTTCTATATGCTCAACCATTCTGTGGGTGGGAATGAAAGTGAATGAAGACTCTTCCCAAATCTCAGATTTTACTATCTCTAAGTAAAAGGAACTAAGAAAAAAATCCCAACAAAACAAAAATAAAATAAAGTAAAATAAAAACACAAAACACACCGAAAAGATCAAGACCAAAGCAAAAATCCAAAACCGAGCACGGTCAAACCAAGGCAAAGGAAATGAAGCAGCACAGGAAAAATGTGTTATTTTCTCTCCATTTTCTGCATCAGCCTTCCTTTCTCCGATTTGTTCCTGGAACTTTTTCTGGGTCAAGTAGCTCCACTGAGACCATGGTTACAAATGGAGCAGCTTGTAAGCAGAATAATAACTAATAAATCTTATCTTGACATAATTGATGAGCTTGTTATAGAAACATGTAATAATTGATGATATTAATTCAATAACTTAAGATGTAAGTATAAGCAGTCGCCCTCACTTGTGCATCATAAGAAACAAAAGAATTAGTCAGCCACTTAATCACTGTGCCTTCCAAAAGGGGAGTCTCCTTTGTTCTCTCTGAGGGAGCTTGGGGTTCTTCTCCCTCCACCCTGTTCTAGAAACAGTACAATAACATGACAGAAATGGATGCAATTTTCTTTGTTTAGAACAATTAACTATTACCTGCCAGGCTGCCAGAAGCAGGCCAGATGTGTGAGATCCGATTCTGATACATGAAATGGAATGTCTGACCCTCTACATTCCGTGCTAGTCCAACATCAGCTATGGACACAGCAACTGGGAAATGGCCAGAACTTCCATTCAGAATCTGGCACTTGATCTCATTTTCTGGTGATTAAAAAAGAAAAGCATGATAAATTAAATATGTTTGTAAGATAAAATTACTGAAATTTTATATTTGTAAATATAAACATTGGCCTTCATTTTTATACCCCAAGAAATGTATCTAAGGAATACGTCCCTTAATGGGACGAAAGTCTTTACAACCTACCTGACGTTATGAATCAGACACTGTTAGAAAAAAGCTAGGTGAAAAAATAATAAAAGCAAAGTGAATGATTTGCTCCTGACTTCTACTGTGGCCAAAAACAAAAAAGGTTATTGTAATAATAATTTAAAAGTCCTAATCTGTAAAATCATTTATATCAATAATTCTAAAAATGTTGGTTCAATACATGATTTATGTCCAAAACTAAGTAAAATATCAGGTTTCATCAAGAAAGGTGATCAAAACCTAAATGAAAACCTATCCTTCACACTTTATTTAGAACAGTATATGTAGATTTATATTACAAGTGCATTATTGACTTAGATCTCAAGAATGCACAGATATCTAAATTAAAAACAACTTAACTATATGGAAGGTGAATTTGCTTATGTAATTAAAGTTAAAGAAAATACCTAGGATTATGAAAGATAATTTTTAGGGAAATAAATAATCATGGTTTTCACTTTTTCAAGAGTAGAAAATGTGAATAATCTTGAAATTCTGTGTTAATGGATAGAGATTTTGTTGGACTAGAAGTCAGGGAAGATGGCCATGTCCTTTTTCTGCATTACTAATGTGACATTGTCAAAGCATGGGCAGAAAGGACCATGGAATACCAGAGTAGCAGCTTATATATTTTTGTGTCCCAGAAACATACCAAAGAAGGAGAGCTTTTATATAATCACTTTATGAGGGGAAAGGAACAAAAATTAACTGTTATGGGATAAAGACACTGTACAATACTAAAAGAATTAGTTTGTGGTCATAAGCAAAGATTAAAAAGTGCATTTATCCAGAGAAGTTTGCCAATTTCATGCCCCCATAGCATACTCTATAGGAGAAGTATTATCCTAATACTGCTCTTTGAGTCTACTTTCTCTTAGAGAAAAACAATTAGCTGTAATAATAATAATTTTACAAAGAACCTACCAACCACAGAAAGAAGAGAGCAATCCATTGGTCCAACTGAGACTGATATAGTTGAATTGGGAGAAAATCCAGAGCCTGATATGGTTAGAATTGTGCTTTCTTCATAGGTCCCTGAAAATGATGATTTTAAACAACAATATTAATATGAAAAAAAACACAGAATCTGTTGTTATAAAATCAAATGCTTTGCAGAGAAAAATAAGCCTATCTTCTAAAGACTATAAACAATAAGCCTATAAGCAAGCAGGGAAAAAAGACACATATTTCCCAATGGTAATTTTTTTCCACTGAATTGCTCTACATTGTTTCATGTTTTAAATCTATGTTGATAGGGATTAGCAGAAGAATCATCTGACTGCAGTATAGAATGACATAAGGAAAGGAAAATTGCTGTTATGACAAACAAATTAAACAGTCACCTCTATATGGTAACTTTCACAATGACAGAATTGCTAGCACAAATTCATGAGAAAAGGATGAACTGCATGCACAATATGTGTTGTGGGCACTTTCCACTTGTGATAAAATAAGATTCCTCTATCTAGGGTGACACACATCCTAAAGTGCCAGAGATATTACCAGAGTACACCCAATGTCTCTGCACCTTATACTTAATGTTTTTCCATTCACTCTAGTGTCCAGATTTGATTGATAAATGATACGGTCACCCTACTTATATGACATCACACACAACATGGATTCCACATGGATTTAAATAGCTAAGAATGAAAAATGCGAAACGCTAGAATTTTAGAAGAGAACATAATCAAACATCTTAACTTTAATGTAGAGATGGGTTTCTTAAATAAGATTAAAAAGCCATGGTTAACCATAAAGGAAAAGATAAATAAATTGGACTAAATCAGTGATTGAAATGGTTCCATAAGCAAGATACTAAAAGTGCAGGTGACATACTGGGAGAAGACATGTGCAAAGGATTGGTAAACATAATATATAATACACAGCTATAAGGCAACAGAAAAAAGACAATCTGATAAATGAATAAAGGATGTTAACAAGCAATTTGCAGAAGAAATAACCCAAATGTCCGAGAAACATATGAGAAGATGCTCACATGCATTACTCCTCAGGGAACAGACAAATTAAGATGATGATGAGATAACCCCTTTCACCCATCAAATTGACCAAACTTAGGAAGCTGATGATACCAAGTATTGACAAGGATGTGGGGAATACGGCATTCTCATGCCTGCTGCAAGTACAGGAACTCTGGAGAGCAATTTGGTTATCTAATAAACTGAACACACAAAAGCTTGTTTATTATCCAGCAAGTCTGTCTCTGGGCATATCTAGCATGTATGCAATAGGAGATTTGTGCAACAAAGTTCAATACAGTTATGTGTAAAAGCAAAAAACTGTAAACAATCTAAACGTCCATCAATAGAGAAAAAAATAAATCGGTATATTCATGAAGTATTTTAAAATGATGAATTGGACATACATAAAACCATATAACTATTTCTCAAAATGAATGCTGGAATGACAAAAGTCAGATGCAAATGATATTTACAGTGTAATAGCTCTGATATTTACATTTCAACATCTCTTTCATAAGCTTAAAAAAACTGGCAAAATTACCATATCTGCATGTTAGATACAAAAGGTATTAAAAATGGCATAGAAGAATACACACAAAATTAATTATTGTGACTGCCTCTAGGGAGATTTGTAAGGACTAGAACCAGAGATTGTGCCTCGAGAGGACTTTAGCTATTCCTATAATATTTCCCTTCTTAAATTGATGATTGGAAGTAAATATGACAAAATGCTAACAGTGCTAATTTTCAATGAAGAGAATATAGGTGTTTTTTTACAGCATATTTATACTTTATTTTTAAATTTATCAAAATAGGGCAAAAGGCAATTCAGATAATTAATTATTTTGTTAAGAAACAATTTTTTTCAGGAAGTGCATATAAAAATGGAAATTCATTACAAAATACAAAGATAGATGTAAAAATATAAATACCCCAAAGGACCACAACCAAATGAGAGTTAATCAAATTCTTATCCTTGATGGTTTTGACCCCCTGTGACATGAATTGTCCCAAAGTAATATCATTACTGTAAAAAAAAGTCTGAAGAACATATTCTTTCAACACAAAGATGTGGTTTTTAAAATTTCCCTTTTTTCTCCTGATACATAATTAGCAGATGAATTTTCCTACTAGCCACCAAGATTAAATCTGAGATGGTAGCACCTGAGCTTATCTTTCTGACTGAAACAAAAGGCCACTCCGAACAATCCTTAGTCCTGCTGTTTACTTCAGTACTTGGGAGTTCAGACACAAAGTGTAATCACGTTTTTTTAAAGTAATAACATATTATGAAGATATGGTACAATGTTTCGCCCAAGACTGAGATCTTGGCAATATTTTTTCTCTCCAGTTCTCAGGTCTAGGACCTACTTATTTTCTTTTACTAAACAGCAGCTGTCTCATTACCAGCGTTGTAGTACTAAATCTCCTAGAAGTGGTCTCATATGATCAAAGATTCCTGTTAATACCCCAGCAAGCAGAATTTCATGAAAATGCCTCATCAGTGTGAAATTTTAGAGACTGATTCTAACGTGGTGAAACTGGAGAAGTAGAAGACTGGGGAGTCCAACTTCAAATACGATTTTTTTTTCAAATATAAGTAATAAATGCTCTTTTCACAGCTTTCTGATCTGATAGATTTTTTTTAACTATGTAGAAATGTTTGAGTTGGTGAAACTAGTATATTAAAAAATCATTATTAGTATACAGTTTTGTTAGTTGTCCTCCACCCTCTACTCCAAGTTAAAAAGCAGATTACCTTGAGACGGGTTTATGGCCCATACTAATGGAGTGGCCATGGGATCCCACGTAAACCCACAGTCACCCGAACATTTAGCTGGAATTCCATTGACATAGACTTCAACCTTCAAATAAAGAGAACAGGGGTAGCATGGCTAAGGAGAATATGCATAGGATTTAAACAAATGATGGAATTTTGTTTGTTTGCTTGTGTGTTTATAAAAATTAATCTACTCATTTGTATTTCTTCTGCTTGACCATTCATTCATTCAGCAAATGTGCCTACTACGCAAAGGCACAGTTATAAATGTTAAAATACAGTAATACAACATTAAACACAAACGATGACATCCCTGCTGTCACTCAATTTCTTCTCTGGTGGGGAAGAGACAGACAGTTGCACAAGACTATCAAAAATTTTTTTTTAAGATTTTATTTATTTATTTGAGAGAGAGAGCTCAAGAGAGAGAACATGAGCAGGGCAAAGGGAGAGGGAGAGGGACAAGCCAACTCCCCGCTGAGGAGGGAGCCCAATGCGAGGCTCAATCCCAGGACCCTGAGGTCATGACCTGAGCCAAAGTCAGATGCTCAACTGACTGAGCCACCCAGGCGCCCCAAGACTATAAATTTTTTTAAAAAGTAAATACATATTATGCCCTAGTGGTGAGTAGTGCTATGAAGGAAAATAAAGGTTGCTCTTGAGAAAGTCATTTAAACTCCTTATATATTAATTTTCTCATTATTAAAGTAGTAATAATTACTTCACAGAATGACTATAAAGATTAAATGAAAGAATATATTTTCAAATTCTAACAGGCTTAAAAATCCACTCTTTTATCATAAGGATGATAATTTCCCCAAAAGTCATAAAATAATATTATTGAGTTGATCAACTGTTGACCCAAATATTCACATGAAAATAAAGACATCATCCCTGCTGTTTAACTGGTCTTTAATGTATTACAAAGTAGTTACACATTTAAAATTATGTTAAATGTTATGAGGAAAGTTTCAAGAATACCTGTGGCTGTTGGCTGGGTGTACGAAGTAGGTCTCCAAGTATGCGTTGTCTGAATAAGCCACCTTCCTTTATCTTCGTAACTGTCATATTAGCCTTTTCTCCAATAATATTGGAGTCATTAATCTATTGTTATACAAAATTATTTTACTAGAAAGGCTATGATAAATATGACCACACTAGTTTTTCTTTTAAAATTAAGCAAGGTTGAAAGTGAATAAAAGCCAAGGATTTAAAAAAAAAGCATTTGAAAACACTTTAGTCACATTTTTTGAAAAAGGAGCCTCTTCACAAATGAGCATAATCTACCCCCAATAAAATGCTAAGATTATTGTCTTACCATAGATTGTATCAATTACAAGTTGAATTAAATGACTAAAATTAACCTGAATTTTTAGAGTAAAATATGTCTCAGGAAAATGAATTTAATAAATTTTATTTTCCCAGAACATTCTGTGCTTTTTCTGAATATGACTGCTTTGACAAATGACTGTTGAATAGTTGAACAATTTATTCCTCTTTCCACCCGAAAGTCAACTTTTTTCAATCAGCATTTTCACCCCTGATTATCCTGGTTTTTCACTCACTCGTGGAATTATATTTTTTGGCCAATAATAAAAATGAATCAAATCAAATCAGTGTGTACAACTTGGTCATTCCAAAAATCCCTCTGCCAAGATGGCAGGCTTCTGATATATACAGCGGCTAACAAAGAGATAGAAGTCTCCATGCTGGGCCTTGTGCATGCCGAAGTGGTGATGAGAAGCAGAAATGATGAGCAAGCAGAGGAGACAGATCAGAAGAGAGGAGGGGGGTAAGTGCACAGACACCAGCAGAGATACCAAGAAGAAGACCAGTCACTAGAGCTGCTCAGCTACAGAATCTTCTAATTCTCATTTTAGACCATGCATTTTCTTAAATAACCTCCATTTCTTTATGACTCACTATTTTCCACATCCAGAGCCTATGTGTGTACATTATATGCTACACTTACATACCTTTTTTTTTCTCTTTTTTTCCCCCACAATGTTTTCACAAGTAGACGGCTGTATTTTTTCCACCTTATGTCATGAACATCTTTCCAGGTGACTATCCAGGTCTCCCTGTGGCTGCACAGCAGTCACACTAAGGTTGTGGCGTTTTAGGAAGCATTCTTCTACTGATGAGGATAGGTTCCTAGGTTTTTACTATTACACATACTGCTTCAGTGACTACCTCTGTGCCTATATCATTTCATATTTGTGTTATTATTTCGGTAGTATAGAGTTAAACAGCTGAGATTGCTAAATCAGGAGGTATCTATATTCAGACTCTACTACATAATCCCCTAAAAAGGTCATACTGATTGACTTTCTCACCAATGGTGCATGAGAGAGACTCTCTCTCTCTGTCACTGGAAAGCATCATCTTTTTAATGTTTGATAATCTGAGCCCCCAGACACCTCTGGATGCCTCTCCTTCACATACTCTGGGCCTGACCCCTGTTCCCTGCCCCCTTCACACTCTAACTAAGCAAAGGTTATTAGATGGCAACTTAACATGTGACTCCCTTATGAACTTAAAGTTCATAACCAGAAAAGCATCCAAGTCCCCAGAATGCAGCTCTAGTGGATGGTGGTAGAATTATAGACAGCAAGGGTGATTATACTTGGTCCCCCCATTAGGTAGACCCAGATTTAGTTCTGAGACTGGCATTGCCTGGCCTCTTCCTGCCCCTGTCAAGGGTCTTCTAACACATATTCCTGGACTCTCTCCAGAGGGGACAGCAAATAAAGTACCAAGAACAATTCTCCACAAAAGAGAACATCTTGTCAACTTAATTGAGAACAATCTTATCCTCAATTTCCTTTTTTTCATGTTTAGTCTATAGTTCGCATTTTTAAAAGTATAGGCAGCCTCAAATTCTTATAAAAATGAGGCAGGGTGAAAAAAAAAATGAGGCAGGGTGCAAATAAGCAAGCAACACCCAGAAGAGAACAAAAACCAAGCCAGCTGAGGGAACCTGTAGAAGATTCTGCTTTCCACATGTGCTTCTCCACTTGATGTTCCATGAGTATCCAGCGCAGGTTCCTTCACGTGTCACTGAGACACGGCCCACTTCTTCCACGCTCTGGAGTGCAAATTGTAAATCCACAGCTGATACCATGGCAGGAAGGCCTGCACTCACACAAGGACAGGAAATAGGAAGAGTGAAAAATTCACAAATAAATTTCACCCTTAAAATACAGGAAATGTGTACTGTATATTACCACTTATAAGCCAACTGTCCTCCTTCAATATAGTGAAAATGAAATTTGTATCTCATTTATGCCAAGAATTTATGTATCTCTTGGAAGCAAAAATTACATGAGTAATATACCTCAGATTATAGCCTTGGCTCAAATATTTTTATTTTGAATACTGATTAACGTTATAGATAACCTTATAAGCCAAGGGATATAAAAGAAAAACAAACCTTTGGAAATATAACCTATTATATATGGAGAGGCGATGAAGAATAAGTGAAAATATAATTTGTTCTGGATAATTTAGTTTTACATTACTAACATTATCTCAACTATATAAATTATGTAGAGAAATTATATTAGAAAGAAATACACCAAAATATTCATTATGATTGCCTAGATCAGCACTGTATATATATATATATATGTATGTATGTATGCCAATGTTCTGAACTTTTGTCATATACCTTTGAGGATGTGTCCATAAGCTTGAATGTCAAAACTGCCACTTAGAGGTGGGGACGCGGCTTGAATTCTTTGAATACGAATCTTTGACTCCCCTGGCCAATTATTTCCTCTGTAAACAGACTCATTCTCTGTCTCGTTTGTGATTATCTAATTTCCAAAATAAATATTGATAAAATGATTAAACATAAGAACGGCTAACATGATTTCTATTTCCCTATTGTACAATCCTGTGACATGACATAAATGGGGCTCAGGTATTCAGGATCCTTCAGAACATTAAGGAGAGTCACATAAATCAACACGGGCCATATCTACATAGCTGCAATAATGAGGCCAAAGTCAACTCAGTCATCTGGGCAGCAATAAGCTGGAACCACAGTAATTCCTCATTAATTCAGAGTGTACCCTCCATCACTCAATGAACAAATATTTATTGAACAGGCATTCCATTCAAGGTACAGTGCTAATCACTGTGGGGAGGCAGGGAAACACAAGATGAAGCCTTAGCTATCAGAAAACTAAAGTTCTTTTTGGAGAAATAGCATATGGGGACTATAAAACTAACAATATACAATAGTATATAATCGGCACAGAGACTGATCCAGACTCAGGAAAACCTAAGGTTGAGTGCCAATCAACTGACAAAAGCAACACGTGCTCTAAAAATTCATAGATTGTAACTCTAATAGTGAAAATGATAGTCTCCTGCTTCTGATCCCTCACAGTTGTCTGTGTATCTTGTGGAATTTAAAACTGTAAGCCTCAGTTGCCCACTGAAGTGAATAAACATAACTGCCAAAAGACATATGCAAGAATGTTCATTGCAGCTTTATTCATAATAGTACCAAACTGGAAATAAGGCAAAAGCCCACTAATAGGATGGTTAAATTGTAGTATAGTCACACCATGGAATATGGTAAAGCAATGACCAAGAATGAACTGCCGCTTCATGCAACACATAAATCTCACAATAGCAAATAAAAGGAGCTAGATGCAAAAGAGCACATACTGTATTATTTACTGATATGAAGACTAAAAACAAGCAAAATTATTTATTGGTGGTAGAAGTCAAAACAGTGGTTATCCAGGGGTAAAGAGTGAGTAATCTAATGACTAAGGGAAGGCACAAGGAAGGCTCTTGGGGAGGTAATGATTTTCTTTATCTTGATCTGGGTAGTGGTTATGTGAGGGCATTTACTTTGTAAAAATTCATGGAATTCAGCAAGGCTGCAGGATATAAGATCAACACAAAAACCAATCACATAATTGCTATATACAAAAGCAAGTATGTAGAAACCCAAATTAGCAACACAGGCCATTTACAATTATTTCAAGGAAAAAAAAAAAAAAGAAATACATATAAATGTAACAAAACAGGTACAGGATCTGACCTGAAAATTGGAAAATGTTGGTGGAAGTAATCAAAGAAGACCTAAATATGCTGATGAAAGAGAGCAAAGAAGATCTAATAAATGGAGACATACCCTGTTCATGAATTGCAAGACCAATAAAAGGGTCAATTCTCTCCAAAACAATGTATAGGTTTAATGCAATTCTTATCAAAATGCCAGCAAGATTTTTGTAGACATTCACAAGTTTATTCCAAAATCTACAGCAAGATTTTTGTAGACATTCACAAGTTTATTCCAAAATCTACACGAAAAGACACAGCACCTAGAATAGCTCAAACAATTTTTCACAAGAATAAAGTAAGAGGAATCACTCTATCCAGGGCTGTCTTACTATATAGCTACAGTAAGGAGAATGGTGGGAGAATCAACACACAGAGCAAAGGAACAGAATAGAGAATACAGAAATATGCCTCCACAAATATGCCCAACTGATTTTTGACAAAGGTGCAAAAGTAATTCAACTGAGAAACAATAGCCTTTTCATTAAATGGTGCTGGATCATTTAGAGCCACAGGCAAACAAGGGAACATCGACCTAAAACTTCACATCTTCTACAAAAGTTAACTCAAAATGAATCATGGCCTTAAATATAAAATGGACAGCTATAAAACTTTCAGAGAAAAATAGAAAAACACTTAGGACTTCGGGCTAAGCAAAAATTTCTTAAACTTGAAACCAAAAAGCACCATTCATAGAAGAAAAAATTGATAAACTGGATCTTATCAAAACTAAAAACTTTCATTCTATGAAAGACCTTATAAAGAAGACGAAAAGGCCAGGTACACATTGAGAGAAAATATTTGCAAAACCACATATCTGAGAAAGGACTCATATCTGGAATATAAAAGAGCTTTAAAAAACAATAAGTAAATAACCCAAGTGGAAAATGTGCAAAAGACATGAAGAAACATTTCACAGAAGAGGTTATATGGGTGTTCAATATCATTAGCCATCAGGGAAGGCAAACTAACACCAAAATGAGCTACAGTACATACCCATCAGAATGGCTAACATTAAAAAAGTAGTGATCATGTCAATGCTGGCAAGTTTGTGCAGAGACTGATCATTCAAACATTGGTGGGATTGTAAAATGGTACAGCCACTTTGGAAAAGAATACGGTAGTTTCTTACAAAACTAAACATGTCCTTACCACATGACCTCATATTTGCACCATTGGGCAATTAATCTGGAAAAATGAAAATTTTATGTCACAGAAAACCTGTAGATAAAACATTCACAGCAGCTTTATTCATAATAGCAAAAACCTGGAAACAACTCAAATGTCCTTCAATGAGTAAGTGGTTAAACCAACTGTGGTACATCCATACCATTTGCTACTACTCAGTAATCAAAATGAACAAAGTATTAATTCCAAGCACAACAACTTGGAAGAATCTCAAAGGTAATATGCTGAATAAAAAACGTCAATCTCAAAAGGCTATATACTGGTATGATTATGTAAGATCTGATTCCATTTTACAGAACATTGTTGAAATGACGAGATGTAGTGTTTGCCAGATAAGGGGGAACAGGAGGGAGGAAGCTGGCTGTGGCTATAAAAGGGTAGCAGCACAAGGGATCCTTGGAATGGAACGGTTTTATGGTCGTCAGATATACAGAACTACACATATATTCACTATATACACATACACCCAAATGAAAACCTGTAAGACTGGTAAAATCTTATTAAGATCGGTAGATTGTGGGGCGCCTGGGTGGCTCAGATGGTTAAGCGTCTGCCTTCGGCTCAGGTCATGATCCCAGGGTCCTGGGATCGAGTCCCGCATCGGGCTCCCTGCTAGGCGGGGAGCCTGCTTCTCTCCCTCTGCCTCTGCCTCTCTCTCTCTCTCTGACTTTCATGAATAAATTAAAAAAAAAAAAAAAAAGATCGGTAGATTGTATCAGTATCAATTTCCTGGTTGTGCTATTATGCTATAGTTATACGAGATGTTATTGTTGGGGACAAATGGGTAAAAAGTAAAAGAAAAATGTAAAAAAGTAAGAAACTAAATCAAAGCTAATTTCCCATAAACTGAAAATAGTAACTTGTAAAATTCTAGGCTTACCTGCCCAAAGCTCACACTCATCATGGGTATATTATAACTGCAATTATATGAAGTCATGGTGATAGAATATTGGTTGGTCATACTTGATCCATTAATTTTGGTGTGATTCACTTGAAAGTGCTTTAAAAATATCCCTTTACTTGCTAATGCTGGAAGTCTTCTCTTTGGCATTTCTAAGGAACATAGAATAAATGGGAAATAAAATTGCATGGACTTTGCTGCTAAGAAGAAAAATCCTCAAATTATATCCATGTCATGGAATAAGCTGTGTAGAATCAAATTTTGGAAAGATCTTAAGGCAAGTAGATTTTGGAGCTTGGTAAACTTTTATTTCTAGAATATAAAGCTTTAAAGTCTGTCAACATATAAGCCTCATCAGATAAAAGAAAATATTTAAAAGTCACCAGACCCTGGGTTCCAGGTAGCCTTCTGTGCACCTGTTAGTTCTGCTCTGCTCTAGGTTCCTGAAAGTGGTGCTCACTAGGATGTGTGCTCCATGACGACAGCACCAGGAGGACAGTCTTGTTCACAGCAATTTCTTTAGTACCCAGCACAGTGCCTGCCACATGATAGGTGCTAAATGCATGTTATTTAGTGAACTACATTTACCTGGGCACAAGTGAGCTATCTTATATATGTGCTCCACCAATCATAATGTAGGTCTGGTGAGAGCAGATTCAAAAGAAGACACTCTAAAATAGTTAACATTTAATTTGTTACCAGTTGACTCATGACCTTGCACTTGAAAATATTTCCAAAGGAAAGGATTCTAAAATTCCACTGAAAAATGGTATTCGTCACTTTTCAAGGTGACCGTTTGGAATTAGGTTGATTTTTATCGCTTCTCGGCCTTTTGGCTAAGATCAAGTGGAATTAGGTTGATTTTTTTTAAAAGATCACAGTTTAATTTTAATTACTTTATTATCACAGCTCATATATTTGGGTCTACTGACATGACTAAAAAAACAATGCTTAGACTACCAGAATACTTCATTTAAGTATTATTAATTATCACCATGAAGTCCGTGGAAATAGCTGAATTTTTGTCAAAGTCAACAGTTGCCTTTTAGGAACAGATATCTTCATAGTTAGTTTCTCAAAAATCAAACAAAGCAAAATGAAAATGTTTGCCACCGTTTGTATATCTGTAAACAGAATCCAGGACCATTAAAACTAATTCTTGCTATAATGACAAAGTTTAAAGTAAGGGTACATTTATCCTTAGAATAAAAAATAATATGATTTAAATAATAATATTGAGATAAAAGAATGAGTCATAAATATTTAGAGACTAATGTTTCTATCTGAATTAGGGGATATAAATCATTTCCATGATAAGATTTTACTACAAGAGATTTAGAAGGCTTAACTAGATATGAAATGATACAACATACCATCCCATGCCGAGACTGTAGATGTCTGTCCAATGTATACTGCATCTACATAGAAGGACTGTGATTCTGACACTTTCTGTAAACCAATCCTCTGAAGAGAAAAATTTGTCCCAGTGTATTTGGTTTGTATGAGGTCCAGAAGGTCTATGCACGCATAGGTCCAGCTGAAATATGGTTGCTTAATTAGGTGCGTAGGTCAGTTGTTATGTTTAATGTAAACCAATCCACTATAAAAAGCATTAAAATCTCAAGAGTAAAAGTGTTTTTTCCCACAAGAAGACCATCAAGAATACTTCATTAGCACAGAAAAGCAGCCATAACAACAAACCGCAGACAGAAACTTAAATTGGTAGTAAAAGATTTAATGTTGCATGCAAGTACAGGTTTTCTTTTATTTGTAGACTTGGCAGTAGCCATAGGGACATAAAATATTCTGTTGCAATAGGTAAGTAAACTAAGGAGTATGCACCTTGGTGTAGAGCATGTAAATAAAAACAAGGCGCCAGAATGAAGTAAACTATTTCAGCAAAATATGTGAGGGATAGAGCGGTAAGTTCAGTTCAGTACTAAGAAGCAAAACTGGAACTTGTTATTACTCCCAAAAGAGCTCACTGGAGTTGCACTGTCTACTGTTCTAAGTGACAAAAAGTGCTACGTGATTTATAATATAATACCTCTTAAATGGGTAATTTAGATTCAGATTTTGCACTATATATTAACTGCATTGGAATTCCATAAATTACAATTAAGCAATTCAGCTATGAGAATTTGCAACAAAGAGATAAATATTGTCATGGAAATAACTAAATACAATTTAACAATAATCTTTACTCAGCTATTACTGTAGTTATTAACTGACTAGTTTGCTTGGGCACCTTCTATTCTAATTTCCTTCATGGTTTATAAACTCATCATGGGATCCACCTCAGTGCATCAAAGCTTAGCATAAACTGATGTATCATTTTTAGAAAATTATACACAAAACTACAGTAAGTTAAAGTGCTCTTTAAATAAATATGAAAAAAGTACTTAGGGCCTCAACAGAATTCTACTCTAATTATATAATTCTGAAGTTTAAAACTACTTAGAAAATTTGGTTTACTGAACGGAACCCTTTATCAGACAAAAGGAGACTACAAATGGTATAAAAATACATGGTATCAAAATACATCAAATGCATGTATTTGATACAATGGTATCAAAACTCAAGTGAATAGCACATGGCTTTTGTGGATAGATAATAATGTTTTCTAAAAGAAAATAAGATTTAACTTTTCAGATTTTGAAACTTGATTTACAGTTACAAACATCGCTGCTTTTGGAAGATTATAGAATGATTCTTGGGAGAAAATGGCACTTCTAACACTAAGACTGTCCTGAAAATAATCTAATGCTAACACATCTATTTGATCTAGGTGATCTGTCTGACTTAAATAAAAGCAGATCTAGAAATACCCAATAGGAGCAGGAGACTTTATTTTGCCTTGACTGGCAATAGTTTTAACCAGTGAACCCTATTCCTTTAAAAATAATGCTATTATTGCTTACAGATCTCGTAGCATTTAGGGTAAAGGAAGCCCATCAGTTCTATCAAATGTAGTGCATCTTCAAATTACCTCACAGCAGATACATTACAAGTTAAAAGGAAAAACCTATTTAGCAATATGGTAAAGTGATGGTTTAACTAACATGGAAGAACCGAGGTCTGGAAAACGTTCCCAAATCTTGTTACAGTGGAGGAGTGAAATGCACGCAGGTGGTGCTCTTCAAAACTCAAATTGTGATTCTACTGTTCAATTCAGGTATGCAGGGAATGGTTATAGCAATATGTACCTGGGCAATACTTTTTAAAATAAAAAAGTGTATTATGTGTGTGAATGTGTCTTCATTATTACTTTTATAGTATGTGAAATTTGTGTGTGTATTGTATGTGGAAATGCAAAAGTGGATTGACATAAATTTCAGAAGATACAACAATTAATAAAAATTAAAACATAATTATGCAGAACTAAATTGTGCTTGAGGCTATGGCAATTATAATCGTTAAGTAGCTTTCTCTAGGATTATTTAGTTTCTCCCCTTATAGTTTGTACTTGCATTTCTATGTGTCTGACTTTTGGCAAACCAAGCATTAAAAAGTGTCTTTTCTCCCTTAATTTTGGAATATTCGTTGAAATATTGTATCTCCTCCACTCTCACTTAGAAAGCACCTTCTTTGCAGGGATCAAAGTCTAATGACAATACTGTGATAAGGCAGTCTCTTTCTACCTTCCTTCAGTAAGTAGGAACATTATTAGATTTAATAATACATGATTTAAATTATAAAATTTACCATTCTTTTATCTTTTAAATGGTTATGGGTGATAACACTAGACCAACTTTTATTTTCACAATCTATAGATTTATTTTTGGCACACTTTTTCTGTTAGGATGCTTCTGTAGAAGACAGGAAAACTTCAGTTAGATCTATGGTACACGTGATTTTTCAAAAACTAACAAAAAAGTGAAAAAAAAAACAAACAAAAAGTGGGTTTGTTTTACATTCAGTTTATATACTATAGTGTAAGTTAAGTTTTAAATTCATAGCATAACTTACTTGTTTCCATTAGTAAAATTATATGTAAATTGTATATCATTGCTTCTAGTAAACTTGCTTCTGTCTTGGTATTGGAATTTCAGAGCAATATAATTTGCCAGGAATCCTTTGTATGCCAAACATAACTACACAGGAAATTAAAAAAGAAATCAATAATAATATCTTACCTTTAAGTTGTTTTATAGCAATTCAAATCAATTCAACCTAATCCAATAAATAAATATTGAGAATTTTCTGTACAAAATGTTTCAGAACACAGAGAAAGAATAATTAATTTCAGCCAATTAGGTACAGAAGAATCGGGGAAGATTTTCTAGAAGAGGAAGTGGAGTTGAAGTGACCTTACAATTAATGATTAATTCTTTAATGTTTTCTTAGATATGGTTTCCTTAAAAATGGAAATAATCCACTGCCTATAGTCATGGAGCAATGTAAAATCTAAATCCAGCTCTAACTGAACTCTATCTCCAGTGAATTTAAAAGCTCATCACCCACAGAGAGAAGATAAACCCTCAAGTAGATTAATTGGGATGTGAATGGTAGCTGAGCATTTAGAGGTGGAGATGTCACTGTAAAATAGTAATTAAATACCAATTTTAACGGTCTATAACATCTTAAGCATACCAAATATACTCAGAACTTAGAACTTGAGCTTTAAATATCTTTTCCAAATAAAATTTTTGCAATGTGAAAACAAAACAAAAGAACTTAGAACTTGAGAACATGCATCACAATTTGAGAATTTTAAAACAAGAAAAAGGGTAAGCAAGACTATGATTTCCAGTCTTAAATACCTATCCTAAAGCTACCATCTCTGCTCAGGCTTTTCCTTCACGTTTCCTTGATTGGATACCCAAGATCACTCTATGATGGCTATCCATTTTTGTTTCTTCTTAATAAATGAAGGAATATTGAAGAGAGAATATATTTATAATGATCTTAGTATTCAAATTTATGTGCAAATAGTTTTCTCTGAAATTATAAGATAAAGCAGAATACATGTGCATGATACTACATATTTTTTAAATTTCTTTTTTTGAGAACAAACAGAAGAGGAAATCACAAGTACTAGAATGTGAACCACAGTACCTGTCCAATGTGACACGATTTCACAGGACACTTTTCCCTGTCTTAAAATTTCATGAAATTTTATTACCAAGGTATTTTACAGATTAAATTAGCAAATCATCCTTACCTGATTATAAGGAAATAATAAAATGTCTCCATATGGTAGTCTGTTTGGTTTAACATCTGCTGAGTCAAAAAGAACAGCTGGGCTTTTCAGGGAATACCGACCACAGTAAGCATCAGTTTCAGCTGTCTTCTTCCCTCTGTTAACATGTTCCTACAGAAACAATAATATTTCAAATGAAAACATGCTTTACGGTCCTGCTTTATTCCCCCACATCTCCACCTAAGTCGTTCAAGTTCCAACTTGGATCCATTGCTTCCCACGGTACTTTAACTTGAAACATTCTCTCTCTTTGAAACTCTAGAGCTCCCATTCTGTTATCACTCCTTTGGCTCCATAATCATATAATCCCTTGTACCTGTATTTGACTATTTCCTAAATCTCATCTTTCTCCTTATATCATGAACTCTTAAGGATATTTATTCATTCCTTCCACAAATATTTACTCAGTGGTCACTGTGTGCCAGGTTTTTGTTTGTTTGTCTGTTTGTTGAATCTTCACGTTTCAAGGGAAGCAATTTATTATATAATGCCTTACTACAAATTGCATTCTCTGAAGCCAATGAGAAAACAGGATATACTCCGCATCCAAGTAAAGAAAACAAATAAAATACCCTATAGATCTTACATTTGTGCATCTTGTCTACTTTCCCTTGATCAAGAAAATTCATATGTGGTGGAAGTGCTGCTTTCACAAATGAATCACATTATGACGCAGGGAGATGCTAAAACAGACCTTATCAATAAACGTATAACAAAATTATTTTTGCAATTTGACAATAGGAATTAGTGCTAGTACAAAGAAAATCACAAAATTACAAGCATTTATGTGAATTCTTATTGAGCCAGTTTCAGTTCATTTAACATTCCATACCAGGTTAAAATCAGTTTCATAATCTCTAAAGTATTTCACAACAAATCCTTCTTCAAAATTTGCAATTTGTGGTGGACACTTGGCGGTAACCATTTCTTCCACGGCTGCCTGAAACTAAATTAACAATATGAGCTTTAGTAACTTCTTTTTCATGAATAGTTAGAACATTCATAATTCTACCACTAATTTCACTCATTAGTTATAATAAAACATTTGCATAATATAATTCCCATACTTTAGCCATCATTATGAGATCATTTCCTAAATATTTTTAAGCTCATTTGTAATAATTTTAGTGTCCAATGACTTTTTCAAGAGTTTTATTTTAGAATGACAATAGTTACATCCAATTGGGTAATATTAACTTACACAGTTGTTACATAAGGCAGACATATTTGTTTAGCAGTTTTTTAAAAGAAGGCAATGAGGTGAACCTAAATGAATTAGCACCCAATTAAACAGGCTCCAAATGAATAGTTTTCTTAATTAACTCAAAATTAACTGGAAAGAACTATACACTCTAATGCATTCTGTTTTTCAAAAGAAGAAATTCAGATACTATGGTAGTCTCTTTGGTTTATGCTTTTGTTTACACTATGTATTTATGCTTATTTAAAAATAATAAATCATTTTGGATTATTCAGGAATTGGTACACATTCACAAGTTCTCCTGTAATTTCCACATCTACTTCTCTGGCAAAGCACAGATATAATGTTTAGAATTAAGGAGATAATATAAGATCTTTAATCATCAAACAAATATTAACTTAAACTCATTGTGCAGGTAGTTGTCAAAATCCAGTAACTCCCAAGCAAACATTCTTTCTCCAGGAACAGCTGCCCCCTACAAAGATATACTGGATCCTGTTGACACAGTTCTAAGAACTCCCTTCCAAACCCTCTATTTCCTCCCTTCTCTGCTCTTTATGGGTTGGCTCCAACCCACCATGCCAAGTGAAAGAGCATATTACCACTCCTTAAAGTATGGGAGTTTTGGGGGTTTTTTTAATAGAAAGGTGATGTTTAAATAGCTTTCTACTTAAGAAATTGTTAACAAAGAGCATACTTCAGCTTCTGATGACCATGCGGTCAGAGGCTTAGAAGTGATCCCATCCCAGTTCAGTGTGAATGTGTCCAAACTGGGTTTTCCTTTGATTTGTTCTGTAATATTCAGTGTGATGTTGTCCCCTTCAAACACTTCATAACCAAGCAGATCAAAGTCTCCTGCAATGAAGTACCAAACAGAATTTCAAGATGGTAATTAATAAAGTACCAACTTATCCATAATAGACACTTAAAGTAAATAAAATGAGTTTTATTTAGTTGTATTATCACCAAAAAAAAGGATGAATGGGGAAGATGTGGATCTTTGAATTTGAGCAGATTTAACTGTAACAGAAATAGCAAAACAGCAAATAAAGTGCTATTCATTTAAGGTTCAGTTTCCATGGCTTAAAAGAAAGGATTATGAGATAAACAGAAGGAGGTATTGGGACCATGAGGTAAAGATCAATGGGCAAGCAGTGGGATATTCCAAAAATTCTTTTAGTTTTGTTCCAGTACCATTATCGTAGTCTAAAGGGCTAGGCTGAGATATTGCTATTTTCTTTAAACATGAATACAGCACAAAGCTGAATTCCAGAAAGTAGTCCCAGGCCTATGTGGCCTGTTTATACAATCTCACTTTGAAAACAATAAGGGCTTGTCCTCAGATGTATCTCTGCTTTGGGAAGATGCTTTAACAGTGGAATCCCACTGACCTTCTCTGTTGGATAATGTCCTAGAATTTGCCCAGTTATGATTTTGGTACCATATTTCTTTTTTTTTTTTATTTGACAGAGAGAGACACAGTGAGAGAGGGAACACAAGCAGGGGGAGTGGGAGAGGGAGAAGCAGGCTTCCCGCAGAGCTGGGAGCCCAATGCGGGGCTCAATCCCAGGACCCTGGGATCATGACCTGAGCCGAAGGCAGATGCTTAACGACTGAGCCACCCAGGCACCCCAGTACCATATTTCTTAAGGTTGCTGCTGAAGCCTTAAAATTTCTCTCTAAACTGTAGATATGTTTCTGGGAGAACACGGATAATCATATCTTCATTTATGCAGCATTCTGAAAATCTAACCTTTGGGAAATTTTTAGAACTTCAATTCATGTTAAATAAAATTCTTTGCCCTCCACTCAACAATCAAATTAACAATTGTATAAAATGAGACATAAACAATGAAGTAATATTTTACTTACATGAATTGGAAAATATTGATTGCCCAAAGTAAAACAAAACAAAACAAAACATATTGAGGGACCTATTTTTGAGCTAGATAGGCCAAATACTAAACTTGGTTGTGACACTTGGCTTTTAAGACCTAAAAATGTAAAACATTTTCAGGAAGTTAATAGCTATCACTTGAAAAGGAGAGTGGTCAAATAATTTTGGAAAATGCTGTATTAAACACAGGTGAAATGTTTTCTGTCAGTTTTTGTTTTTGTATGTTTGTTTTCTCACTGTAGGACTCCTCGGGGATTTTTTAAAAAATTTTATTATGTTATGTTAATCACCATACATTACATCATTAGTTTTTGATGTAGTGTTCCATGATTCATTGTTGGCGTATAACACCCAGTGCTCCATTCAATATGTGCATGCCCTCTTTAATACCCATCACCAGGCTAAGCCATCCCCCCCATCTCTAGAATCCTCAATTTGTTTTTCAGAGTCCATGGATACTAATATTAAGGAGCTCTGTCAATCTTCAAGAAGAAGAAGAAGCTGGAGTATGCAGCTTCCCATGTAGATGTGACCACAGAATCCTTTCATCAGGCAAGATCTGGCCAGACTAGTGTCTCCTGAGAAATACTGAGTACTTAAACTTTAGTTCCAGAATTCACACCTTCACTAATTTTTGCTAAATTAAAGTAGGCTATTATCCAGATAGGGCATCTGTAGTATACATAGTATATTTCCCATGCACTGAAGTTGTATAATACTTAAAATACAATTCAAGTTTTAATTACAATAGAAAAAATTAACCGTTCGATTTTTATTTCTCCTAAAATTAATCCAGGCTATGAATCCACTTCTTTTCCCCTGTCATTTTTATGGAGTTTTTACCTTTTTCAGTGGAGTTGTACAGGACACAAGTTTGTTTCTTAAAAAATCCTAACAGAAGTACAAAATGATATACATGCTTACCTCGAGTTGATATAAAAATTACCATGTAAACATAGCTTTGGGGGTTTTGTGTTCTTACTACTTGAACTGTATCTGGTTTTATAGACCAGAGGTCATTTAAAGCTGATTGCAGTATGAAGTCAGAAGCATCTCCAGGTAGCAAGACTTTTGGATAAAAAAAAAAAAAAGTCAAATGATTAGAGACTTTAATTAAAAAAAAAAAGAGTTAAAAAATCTTTTTGCACTACCATAGCCAGCACTGATGTTTTATATTTGAATTTTTTAAGGCACCTATAGTCTGTATCATATGTTATCACTTAATGAAACTGTTTTGAAACTAATTCAAGTTCAATAATAATGACTACTTAATTGGATTTTGATCTCTTGAAGAGCAAGATTACATTTTATTTTTTTTATTCCCATAGTAATAAGTACTGTGTTTGGAAAACAGTAAGTACCTATCAATATTTACTTATTGAAACAATTAATGGAAATAGCAAAAATTATATTTTCAGTTTATTATAAAATATAGAGATGCAATGTCTTTGTTAACAGATAAATTAGCGTCTCATAGCTTTATCACTTAATTTGAAGAAGAAATTGGAAGAAATGTTTACTTCTCTGTAATGGTGAATTTAATTCTTACTATCTTAACTTACACCTGTGAGTCACAGATATATAAATTCCTTATGTGCACTTAAATATACATTTATCATGATCCTTATACAAGAAAATGATATCATATACCAGGAAGTTGTTTTTACTGATGCCATTTTTTATCCCTAGAAGTCTAAAGGTTTTTCTTCACAATATATTTTTAGCTTTTTTGTCTAGCATACTATTAAAATGATATTTTCCAGACAGTAGAATTTGACTAGAGCTTACATGAAAGTGACTCATTTCATTTATAAATGAAGAGAAATAAAATCTCCTTTGTTATTTCAACTTACCAGTTTTTTCCATGTTATAGATTAATCTATATTGGTAGCGTGAACACGAATTAGCTTCCACGCACGGGCTGGTTACCGTGATCCTCTGAACTTCATTAGTTGCACTAGATGTTTCCCAGTTTTCCAATGTTATAACCTGTTTCCCAATTAAAAAAAACAAAACATAGCTTTACTGTATAGAAAAATACATTTTAAAAGCATGATAGTTAACCACTCAATGCCTCTTGATTGCTCTATTTTACTGTAAATGACAAAATATTTTAAAGTTTCACTCTTATCAAATAACAGCCTCTTGAGTTTTAATACGGTTTCTCCAAGCCACAAAGTCAATAATCTTCCATGACTGCCTTGCCCCTAAACGGTATCTTCCCGAGTAAAATTAATAACCAAATAGAGCTCCTATCTTTGAACATATACTTTCTACGAAGCAGATCTATCATCATAGCAAACCTGCACTTCCTGGACAATTGTCGACTGGGATCTGATAACTTGTTCTTCATTCACTGCATCTTCTGTCTGCTGTTCTGTATAAACATTTCTATACTGGTACAGACCAACATCAACGAAGGCACTCAGCCTATACTCCTGCAGCAAGATTTCAAGGTAATATCTGGAAAATACGAATTTTTTCCCAATGAATAAAATTTCAACACTATATAAAACACTGGCCTATACAATGATTTATATTATAGTATCCCTGATTTTATTTTATTTTATTTATTTTTATAGCATCCCTGATTTTAAATATTAAAGTTTCATAGTGGTTTGTTAAAATAAAATGAATTATGTAGGCTATCTATACTAGAGAGATACAGAGTTGTCCCCATTCATGACTGATTCATTCAGTTTTGTCAGTAAGTATTTATTGAAAGAGAGACTACCCCTTATCCTCATGGAGTTTAAAACAAAATTACATTTACATTGTAATGCAAACTCCCTGGCATAAAACACAGAGGGCATATGGAGTTTAAATACTTTAATATGTAGGGCGCCTGGGTGGCTCAGTTGGTTAAGCGACTGCCTTCGGCTCAGGTCATGATCCTGGAGTCCCAGGATCGAGTCCCGCATCGGGCTCCCTGCTCGGCAGGGAGTCTGCTTCTCCCTCTGACCCTCCTCCCTCTCATGCTCTCTGTCTCTCATTCTCTCTGTCTCAAATAAATAAATAAAATCTTTAAAAAATAAAAAAAATAAATAAATACTTTAATATGTATAAGAAAACGACAGGCAGACTTGGATGTATCACATATTTTGTGTTGGAGTGGTTAAATGTATCAGGGATGGAAGTTTCTCTCTAGTTCGTTAAAGAATGGTTCCACTTATAACTTGGGAAATAAAACATGGTTTCAGGAAACTGTTACTGATTAGATTGATTATGGCCCTCCAACAAGCTGGATCATCCAACTGCTTATCCAGGATAAAGCATTCACTGACCAGCCAATACAGGTGATGAAAAGCTACTGAAAAGCCTTACCCACCTAAATCTCTATCAATGTCGCCACTGCTCCCATCTTTGGAGAAGTCAGCTGGGAGTTCCTCTAAATTGCCTCACATCATTCAACAGATACCCTCTTGTATGTGAAGAGTATGTATTCACAATTCATGAAAGCCTCTGAATGAGGGACATGTATCACCTCTCATCTTTCTAGGATGACGGGGCTCTGGGTCATCCCCCTCATAGAACTGATACTGGAGGATTACATCAGGCTCCTGGCTGCCCTGAGAACCTGTTTGCCAGCCCCGCCAAATCAATGTAGGCAACACTAAGAAGCAGACCTCAAAGAAGCATTAAATTCTGTATCCTTGATAGCAGCTTAAAAACATTCATTAGGTACTTTCTATGTACGAGACACTAAACTGAACACTTTGCAGATGTAATTATATTTAATCTTCACAAAATCCTATAAAACCTATATTATTATTCTCTTTGTTCATATGAATGAACTAAGAGAGTTTTAAAGATTGAAAGGTTATTTAAAAATTAGTAACTGAGTGGTTAAGCGACTACCTTCGGCTCGGGTCATGATCCTGGAGTCCCGGGATCGAGTCCCGCATCGGGCTCCCTGCTCGGCAGGGAGTCTGCTTCTCCCTCTGACCCTCCCCCCTCTCATGTGCTCGCTCTCTCTAGCTCATTCTCTCTCTCAAATAAATAAAAATCTTTTAAAAATAAATAAATAAATAAATAAATAAAAAATAAAAATTAGTAACTGAGGTATGATTCAAAGTAAAACAGAGTGACCAAAAAGATATGCACTCAAAGATGGGGCTATATTATCTGAGTAGGATGAATTTGGCAAATGAGCTACCTGTGGAAAGGTCCCAGGGACCACTGTGTAATAAGGCAGCTAGAGTGGCCTCAATTTCAGAATCCACAGCCACCATTATAAGTGTCAGTGTACAAATTCCAAGCTACCTTGCAGGAGGACAGATATCAGACAGCAGATGTATTACGAGTCACTTTCATGTAAGCTCTGTGCTTCTGCCAAGGAGGTAAACTGAACGCATTTTCCAAGGCCAAGGCAAAGCCTGAAGGTGTATTAACACTTAATAGCACTAGGGATTAATTAGGAACCCCACTTACCCTAGATTGGCCCGGTGATCCTGGTTAAAAAAGCAAATGTTTAAGTATATAAAGAAGTGATAGGAGGAGGCGGAGGAGAAAGAGAATGGGATGCTTTCCCCATGTCATTAGTACTAAGACTTCAGTGAGAACGTGGAGTATGATTGCTCTCAGGGACCTTTGATCCCAACCCTCTCTGTCTAGCTCCATCAGATCTTCGTGGTGCTATCTGTGTGCATAATCTCGATGTCTGGAAGGATGGCGTGGTAGAACGAAAAACAAAACAAAAACCTCCTACCATCTAGAAGTGAAGTCTATTTCTTCACCCCTTGAATCTAGATTTGGCCATTTGCTTTGGCCAAAAGGATATTAGCAAAGTGACACAAGCAGGGTCTTAAAAAGCATAAGTGCCATAGCAATTGCTCTCTTTACTGCTGGAACCCCATTCACCAATGTGACCAACCTGGGCTAGCCCCCTGGGAGGTGAGACCATGTGGAGTGGGACATCCCAAATATCTAAGATCCAATCATACAAACTGAAGTTCCCGACATATGAGTAAGGTCATCCTAGGCCATCAATCACCAACTAAATTAGCCAGGACCAAAAGAACTGCCCAGCCAATCACAAAATTGGGTTGCTTTAAGCTACTAAATTTTGGGGAGTAGTTTCTTATGCAGCAAAACCTAACAGATACAAATGATAAATGGAGATGATCTCGCTGAATCTATTGACCTCCGTGAAACTTAGCTACTTTGAATATACCATGTCTTTAACCTCCCTGCTTTCTAGCAATCCTGAATGACTTTTTGAATGGAATTATCTGCTATTTGAATGTTAGTCTCATTTTCTCCCTGGTTTTGTCCTTTCAGCACAAAGTGATGTACTCCTTAAGGGCAGGTAGTATATTTTAATATTTTTTGTACTAAATTTCCTGGCTCAAGGTCTAAAATAAATCAATGAATATTAAATATATATTAGCTGTGGTACCAATGCATGTGGTTTTGTGATTTTTCTCTAGAAATATTCAAGAGCTCAGGTGCTTGAGCAGGGAAATTAGATGGCTAGATTGACGGAAAGGTCCTACTAGGACACTAAGAACAGGATTAAGTAAATTTCACAAATTTATAATTTCTGCAACAGGGGTAATTTAGATATCAAATTTCCCAGGCTGGCTGAATGCCAGGATTCTTGAAAATATAGACATCATATTTAACAAAGTTATAAAGAATGATGAATTATAAATTAAGCCAATAAACTAATGTCACTTCTACCAATAAAGCAAATTAAAAATATTTTTAGATATAAACTTACAGTTTTTAAATACCACACAATAGTTTAATGAAAATAAAAAACAAAACCTTACTCTTTTCCTTTCTGAAGATGAATGTCATCTGATCTTTGTGTTGGACTGGAAAAATAACCATTGGCATTGGAAGAATGATATGCAATCCTCACCTTATCCCAAAAAGAAAGACAGGGAGAGAGAAAGAGAGAGAGAGGAGAACTTATTAATAGATCTTTTCAACCTTTATCTATTTTTCATTTATTATTTGTCAATCCTAGAACTTTTATAAATAGAAAAATATGAAACTACCATATTTTTCTCCTATGATCTATTATCCATGGTGAAATGAAGTTTTTAAAAATTATCAAAGCTCACTTCATACTTTCCATCCTTATCTAACATCAGCACCACTATACCATGAATACACACAAACTAGCTTTTCCACAATTAGAACTGTATTTAGAACTGCAATGGACAGGGCGCCTGGGTGGCTCAGTCGGTTAAGCATCTGCCTTCAGCTCAGGTCATGATCTCAGGGTCCTGGGATTGAGCCCCACATCGGGCTCCCTGCTCCGTGGGGAGTCTGCTTCTCCCTCTCCCTCTGCCTGCCACTCTGCCTACTTGTGCTCTCTCTCTGTCAAATAAATAAATAAAATCTTTAAAGAAAAAAAAACTGCAGTGAAAAATAGAAAGATACATACCAGGAGGAAGGTTGTGATTGTTAAATAAAATATCCTTTTGCTCTGTGGAGAGCTTTTAGGGATTTAATCCAAATGAGGTCACTAAAAGTAGGTCTGAAAGATGCTACAGATCACTAAATGGGTCTGCATGCTAGAATGAGAAAGCTCTGGGCTCCCTATCAGGAATGACTATATCATCCTTGGAGGAAACATGCCAAAAAGCTACAGTAAAATTAGAATTCATATATTACAGGCAGCAATTTAAACACTATTCAGTCATCAAAAACTGTGCTGTGAAAATTATTTAATAAAACGTGGAAATACTAATATGTGACCAAAATGACTATGAAATTGGATGTATGATCTTATTTATATAAAAGCAAAAAAGACACAAAAAGAAATGACAGAGTTCAATCACATAGCCACATAATAGTGAAATAGATCTAGTAGAATAGTGAACTATTTTTACTCTTTCCCAAATTTCCTATGTATGGTTATAGTTCTTCCATAATTAAAATAATCTTTAAAGGAAATATATATTTTTTCCTTCCTAGAGAAAATGTAGATACAGGAAAGCATTTTTTTTTAGGCCACGGGTTTTCTACGGTGACTTTATAGTTCCCATTACACATGTTAAAAAAGACCAAGAACCCAACCATGTGAAAATATATCTCATAAATGAGATACATATCAAAGTTGTCATATTGCTTTTATAATATTAAATAATATTCCGTAGCTTCCTTACCTTATCTTTTGGATGTCCAGTTTGGCTGAAATAAATAGCATAACGGTCATCACCTTTGATGTAGAATCTATAAACGTCAGAGTCTGGAGCCACCAAAAATCCACTAAAGCGTGCAGCAAACGTGTCTTGCTCCATGGGCCAAATATAGGAAGTTGAATCTACCCAACTGGCCCCCATGTACCCTGGCGTTTTTTCATTGTATTCAAGTATCTCTTCAAGGTGCACTGGCCGACTATTATTCCATACCTCAAGCTTTAGGCCTCTCCCACCTGAATGTAACAAAATAAAAAAATATTCTCATCAGAATTTTGATGCGTTGTCTCAATGGCCCTCTATTTGGGTGGTGGTTATAGATATTCTATTGCTATTCACGTTTTTAGAGCATGCTTGTAAACAAAACAATTACACACACCCATACATGTACCTGTACCTATAGGATAGAGTGCTGTTAAGAGAGCCTACAACTTATTTATTATTAATGCATATATTTGTACCTCAGATTCTACGTATGTAAAATGGGAGTAATATTATTATTTGCATGGTTGCAATGGGGATTGGATATTACTAAGTGCTTTACTTTAGATAATATGATAACTATTACCCCTGATATGACTGATGCTGCTTTATATAGTTAAATCTCAAAACTTCATGATTCAGGCCATTTGATTTCAAAACCTTTGCCTGACTACTCTCTCTAACAAAAGTTACCCAATTGATGGTTTGCAGCTAATCAAAGAATGGACAGTGTTGGCTTTAAGATTTTTGTCAGTATTTGTTGTTCTTCTTCTTTGTAACATTACTTCTGCTCTATGATTTCATCTCTTTCTTGGACAGAATCAGAGAGACTATTCTCATTAACGTGAACCTACACTTGCCAACATAAATTCTGATTAAGTTTTTTCCTGATCTTCAGGGAGCCATCTCACTTTTTTTTTTTTTCTTCCCTAAACTACAGCCATCAGACTGGTGTCTTCTTCCAGCAGCCTTAAGCTAGTCTGGAATGGTTGGATCTAGGAAATGATGGCTCCTCCTCTTCAGCTGAGTTTGTCTGGAGAAAAGCTTGAACACCTCAAACTTCAGCAGCAGCGGTGTTCTCTGATGAATACAACTTTCATTAAAGTTACCAACTGTGATTATCAATATACTCTCCTAAACTGGGCATTTTTTTTCTAATGTCATTCAAAACAAGGAAACTTAAGAGGTTGAGAAACATAATTTACTTGGCTTCAAATACCAACCAGTCATACAACCATGAACCAATTTCAGGGTGTGCACAAGATATGCAATACACACCCTCAAAACCATGCAGCGCCTCTCAGTGAGTGGTCTCACTGCAGATGTCAAGCTCTTACTGTGGGCTCCAGGCCAAAGTCTGGAAAGAATTCTGAGTTCTATTTCTCTCATCCCCTGTTATCACTCTTAAAACTAACCTCTGCCATTTATTTTTTAACCACAAAAAGGCATTTATAAAATGTCCATGTAGCCTGCACCAACATTCAGTAATCTCATTTAATCTGAAATAAAGTCCCCATCAAACTCATTCAATAGAGATGTGCTGTTTTCAGTAGGGTGTTCCAAGAATTCAGGCTGAATTTATTTCCATGCTGCAGTTTTGAGGCAGTTAACACAAACATTCCCTGATCCAGAAAGTGTAAGGAGAAAAACTAGGATGAAATTTATTATAATTCTCATTACAAATTCTAAAAAGTTCAGGGACGCCTGGGTGGCTCAGTTGGTTGGGCGACTGCCTTCGGCTCAGGTCATGATCCTGGAGTCCCGGGATCGAGTCCCGCGTCAGGCTCCCTGCTCAGCGGGGAGTCTGCTCCTCCCTCTCCCGCTCCCCCCTCTTGTGCTCTCTCACTCTCTCTCTCTCAAATAAATAAATAAATAAAATCTTTAAAAAAAAAAATAAAAAAATAAAAAGGACTCAACCTGGGGTTCCTGGGTGGCTCAGTCGTTAAGCGTCTGCCTTCGGCTCAGGTCATGATCCTGGAGTCCCGGGATCGAGTCCCTCATCGGGCTCCCTGCTCGGCAGGGAGTCTGCTTCTCCCTCTGACCCTACCCCCTCTCATGCTCTATCTCATTCTCTCTCTCAAATAAATAAATAAAAAGAAAAAAAAATCTTTAAAAAAAAAATTCTAAAAAGTTCAAATATTTTTTGTTACTAATTGTTATGGGCTGAATGTTCGTATCCCCTCCAAAACTCAGATGTTGAAACCTAACGCCCAATGTGACATTATTAGCAGGTGGGGCCCTTGGGAGGTGCTTAGGTCATGAGAGGTCACGAGAGCCCTCATTCATGAGGGCTTATAAAAGAGGCTCCACCAAGCTCTCTAGCCCCAAAAAGGTGCCGATCTATGAGAGAGAAAGTTCTCACCAAACACCCAATCTGCTGGTATCGTGATCTGGGACTTCCCGGGCTCCAGAACTGTAAGATATACGTGTTTGTTGTTTATAAGATACCCAGTCTGTGGTGTTCTGTTTCAGCAGCCTGAATGAACTAAAAAACTAATGGGATATGTCTTCTTATGTAAATGTAGAAATGGCAATTCTCTCTTCTGGCAACTTACCTGGATAGACAGTTCTGAGAACTTCAGGCTTAGGGGGTGTCTTGCAGCATATGCTGTTTTCTGTGACATTCAAAATATCGCAGGCTTGACCTAGAGAGAAGCAAGGTGCAGAGCTATTACTACAGAGCTCCAGAATGCAGATCACAATTAGCTTATCTGGAAGTACTTTCTGATGAAAACCAAGTTGCACAAGCAAGAAGCAAAGCCAGGGCTCTTCATTTCCTTTATATGTTCTCCACAAAGATTATCACTCCTTAATTGCCATACTTTTACATGGCAACGTTTTCCTGGCAACACATCACAAGTCTGAGTTAGGAAATTTTGTGATTTCTGAGAAACAAAATAAAAAACTTGACAAAACTATGTCACTGTAAAAGATTTCACTTCTGAGTCCAGAGTGAAGCCATATATTCTGTTCCCCACAGAAAAGTTGCTGAATAAATCCATGATGTTCAGAATTTGCAAAAGCAGATGATCACAGCCCTCTTAAAATAAAATAAATAAATACATAAGATGGTGGTTTAGTCCAAGGTACAAGTTCATTTAGTACAAGTTCATTGTAGTCAAATGAAAACAACAGAGATAATATGCATAAATGGTATTTTCAGAGGCAGACTGAACCAAAACAGACAATTAAAAAATGGGCAAATGAGTAGACATTTTTCCAAAGAAGACAGATGGCCAACAGACACGTGAAAAGATGTTAAACATCACTGATCATCAATAAATACAAATCAAAACTACAATGAGATACCACCTCAGACCTGTCAGAATGGCTAAAATCAACAACACAAGAAACAACAGGTATTGGTAGGGACGTGCAGAAAGGGGAACCTTCTTACACTGTTGGTAGGAATGCAAACTGGTACATCCACTGTGGAAGACAGTATGGAGGTTCCTCAAAAAGTTGAAAATAGAATTATCCTATTATCCAGCAACTACACTATTAGGTATTTACCCAAAGAAAACAAAAATACTAATTCAAAGGGATACATGCACCCCAATGTTTATCCCCACAGCATTATTAACAATAGCCAAATTGTGTGAAGAGCCCAAGTGTCCGTCAAGTGATGAATGGATAAAGAAGATCTAGTATATATAAAGCCACAAAAAAGAATGAAATCTTGCCATTTGTGATGACATGGATGGAGCTAGAGAGTATTATGCTATGCAAAGTAAGTCAGTCAGAGAAAGAAAAATACCATATGATTTCACTCATATGTGGAATTTAAGAAACAAATGAGCAGGGTGCCTGGGTGGCTCAGTTGGTTAAGCAACTGCCTTCGGCTCAGGTCATGATCCTGGAGTCCCGGGATCGAGTCCCGCATCGGGCTCCCTGCTCAGCAGGGAGTCTGCTTCTCCCTCTGACCCTCCACCCTCTCATGCTCTCTCTCTATCATTCTCTCTCTCTCAATAAATAAATAAAAATCTTTTAAAAAGAAACAAATGAGCAAAGGGGGGAGAAAAAGAGAGAGGCAAACCTAGAAACAAACTCTTACCTATAGAAAACAAACTGATGGTTACCAGAGGGGAGGTGGGGGGACATGTTAAATAAGTGATGGGATAAGGAGTGCACTTGTTGTGATGAGCACTGGGTGTTGCACGGAAGTGCTGAATCGTTACACTGTATACCTGTAGCTAATATGACACTGTATACACTGTGTATTAACTAACTGGAGTTTAAATAAAAACTTGGAAGAAAAAATAAAATACACCCAGTTTACTATATGTAATTATACTCCAATAAATTAGTTAGAATTTAAAATTTTAAAAAAACCTTAAAAAAGTCATGTAATTTTAAAAAAGAAATTACTGAGGATTCAAAATCTCAAACCTTGTCACATTGATGGCAATGAAAAATAAAAAATTAACATGTCATATTTGCATATCAACTGTATCACAATATCATAAAACACAGTATATAAATTAAAGATATTTTGTGCCCGATTTTAATACTTGAAAACATTTATATTTAAAATTTCAGAAAACATATATGATATTTAAAAATCTTTTTGCCTAGGTTTTAATATTTATGCAGGTGACCAGCAAGGATTCACAGGGGTAAGAAAGATATTGTATAAATGTTAGATGAGGCTACTTTATATTAATTTCTTCTCTTGAAATCACATTTTGGCAGGCTCATGGGCAGATTCCTTAAAAGTAGAAAGCACCTAAGCAGAGGGATGTATCAGAAAAAGTATGTGTCCAGTTGCATGGCCAGACACGTAGTCGTTTGCTCAAGGTAGGGAAGGCCATTATGACTGAGTGGGAAGATCTCCACTATCATATTCATCCTCCATCTCCTTTTTGAGCTGCACAGCTCCCTACCTTGAACAGACCTAAACTAGATACATAAAAACGATGCATAACCAGAGAATCAAGCTCTATTCACATTTGTAAAAATATAACACATCAATTAATGTTCTTTCCAAGGCCAATATCATCAGTAATTCCTGATGATGTCCAGATAAGTCACAATAAATGAAAAGGGGATGAGAAGAGTATCCCCAAATACTTTTAATTTTCTCATAATTAATGAACCCATTGAGAATTAACAACAGTTCAAGAAGGGCATTCAAAAGTTTGTTAAATAAAGGGTATGTGTATCTCAAAGTGTGGTGAGAATTTGTGGAAGGTAGCCATGTTGCTACCATAAAATGCCTTTTGATGATGACCTAAGAGCCCAAGTCGTGGTCATGTAAGGCCCTCCCTGGAAGGTCCCAGTGGGAAAAGTATCACACCCTGGAACCAAATGCCCATGTGAAAATACGCAGCTTTAAATTTAAGACATTAATTGAAAAAGAACTATTATTCTTCTTACAAATTATTAAATAAAAGCCAGGACTTGTTCTTATAATGTAATATATTAAAAGTCATAAACAATACCTCCAACAAGAACCCTGACAGGGGAATCTGTCTGATCAAAGAACTGTCCACTTATCGTTAGCACGGTGCCACCTTGAATGCTTCCTTGTGAAGGGGAAATCATAGTGACCTCTGGAGAGAGGGAGGAGAAGCACATTAAAGAAAATGTTCTGAATATTACACATCAACACAAAAGCTTGATTTTTATAAATTTTCCATATTACCTCGCTTTAACACATAGCACAGCATAGGTAGTAGACTGACCAAATGAATGAATTGGGTGTTTCAATTTTGTCCTGCAAAGAGGACAGTTAGCATGGCTTTCACAGAGCCCTACATCTCATGGGGACCAGGTTTCAGTGGTGACTGCTACTAAAGAGACACTGGTAATGGAGGATGCAGGAATTAAGGAAAATCTGGGCTGAGGATAGATGTTTGATTCCAAAAGAAAACACAGGAAGGCAGGAGAACAGCCTCTTCTCCCCTATGCTCTTAAAGAATAAATCTTTCTTCTATTTCTAAGTCAACATCTTATACTTTTCTCATATAGTAATACATTAACTATGACTGTAAGTCTTCCGGTTTCATATATAAAAGTTCCAGGTACATTAGTAAAATAGCCCAGTGCATGATATATGGTAGATTCTTATTCAGATTTTTTCTTATAAGTTCTATCTATCAAAGTTCTATGTATTTTTACATACGAGTTTCACATTAAATAGAAAAAGCATATTTGATTGATTCCAAGACACTTTTTTTCACATTTGAACATCTTTGAAATTTGAATGTGCCACTCCATCACTCCTGACCTAGAATGAAGTGTAATTCTTCCAGGAGGATTTGTGTTTGCTTCCCACACTCTCCTAAGAGTCTACCAACCTTAGATCTCTGTAAGTTAAAATAAATAATAATCTGCTTGAGTATTCTTTTGGACCACACTGAGACCATAAATCTGAGAGAGTCCTGCCTGGCTTATAGTTTAAATTGACAGTGGAGATTTTTTTTTCCCCCTCCCTTGACCAACAGCCCAAGTGGAGACATGCAAGTTACCCTTCTGTCTCTTTTAGAGTGATGAGCTGGTTTCTCAATCAACCTTATATTAAAAATATAGTTTTCTGGGTCCTAGCTTAATGTCAGAGCTTCCTATTAGACTCCCCATCTTGGATGTTTTTCCTTTCCTAGCAGTACATAAAATAATGTAGTATGCCTTAAGTCCTTATTGTCATTGATTTGATGAAATGAAGTACACACATCTGTCTCTCTCATTCTTTCTCTCTGTCACACACACACACACACACACACACACACACACACAGAGTGCACATACCTGCATATGTTTGAAACATTGAAATTTTATTTAGAGAAGAAACAAAATATGCCATTTTTTGTGGGAAACTCCTGTGTAAAAAAAAAAAAGGTAAAAATCCTTACTTTAAAACTGAACTTTATTTTAGGAAAAATGTTATTTTTTTAGTGATATAAATCATGTCATAATTTGCAAAGGAGCTGGACAGAACATTTTGGGGAGATAAAAATGTTCTACATCTTGATACAGTTACTGATTACACAAATATACAAGTACACAAATACTCAAACATTCCTTGGTCAGACCTTACTGAACTGCACACTTAAATTATACACATTTTGTTTTATGCAAATTATACCTCAATAAAGAATTCATATTAACAGAAAAAAACATGAAGTCTTCATGAAGGCTTTTGTGTTAACCACCCTCCTCTCTCCTGTCTTATAACCCATTTAGCATCAGAATAACTAACATGACTGAACACCTATCAGATATCGTGCTAAAGTTTTTAAGCTTTTAACCTAAGATTTTTTTAAGCTTTTAATTTATTATGCCATTTTATCCTACATTAACCCCATGAGGTAGGTTCAGCTCAGAGAATCTATTTATCTTACTCAAGATCACAAAGGGAGTAAGTAGCAGAAACAGAATTTGAAGCCTGGCAGTTTGAGTCCTGAGCCCTGGCTCCTCACCTGTGTCCTATACAGTTTTCTCCTGTCACTAATCCTTGTAAGAGCACAATGAATGAAAGCAGGTCAACAATAATCCAATAATCCAGAGTTAAATCACCCTTAATAAACACAGAACCTATTCATATATTTTGGTGGATACAGACTTGCACTTCATAGCCTGGAGAGCAAGGAAGGGAAAGAATCTGATCCTAGAAATTAAATACTGTTTCCTCAATTACCTCAATGAAATTCATAATAGAGAAATTAAGAAATTGAAATGTTAAGACTCAGAACCCATTCATTATATTTATAACACACTGAACTCGAATCTAAAAGGATAATGCAAATCTTGTGGTTGAGACCAACAGTAAACTCGTATAAATCTAACCCAAGCATTATAATGGGCATTTGCAAGACTAAAGAGTCTCTGGAAATTCTGTATGCTATATTAGTTACTTAAGAAGTTCATACTGGATTTATATTTGTATGCTATAAGCCTTTCCGTTGAATTCTCAAAGATCTGAAATGATGCCCGCTCCAACAATATTGTCTGTGGTCAGATTCTGGATCTGAAAAATTAACCCTGCTTCTTAAGTTGGTGGGAAAATTGCCTCCTGAAATAAAATTTGAATGTAATTTATTTGGTATGACCCTGAGGTGATTTTCACTAATTCATTGATAATGACTAGGCATTTCTCAATTAAGGCAGACTCATCTGAACCTTATCAGTTTGGAACAGCTGTTGTTTGAACTTGGGGTAATAGAGGAGAGAAGGTTAGCTATTCAAAGAAATATAGAATGGGAGTCACAATGGTCTTTAATTGGTTCATTTGATATTCAGGAATGCTCCTGAAATTTGTAAAATATGGATTTTTTAATTTAAAGGATGATTTAACATTTTTTTAAATGCCATGTGATCATGAAACTGCTTTTAAGTAGTAAATGCCATATTTTTAACAGTTATCTTAAAATTCCTAAGATTGTTTTATATAGAAACAGAGTTTCCTCAATTTTGAGACATTAATACAAAAGAACAGCCACTGGCTTTAAAACAAGAATTATTAGTTAAGATCACAGAATCAACTATTTTAAGCCATATTTTTGCCTATATTATGTGCAAATTTTCTGGCTTTTTAAAATGGAAAGTTTCAGGGCATGTTAATGCAACACATTGATTTATATATACTTATCAATCACATTCAAGCTTGATCACTCAAACCTATTTTTGGGTAATTATTTCTTTGAGAAATATATGATGGATTTGGTAATTAATACCTTTCATACAGACTCAGAATTAAGAATTCATCTTTTTCACCTGAAGAAGAATGACAATGAGAACATTTAAAAAAAAAGTATATGTAGTTCAGGAAATCATTTAAAACTCAATAATTATTGCTTCTAACCTGATTTTCTAGTATTTTCAATAAAATCCTATTGCCCTATCCGTATCAAGTTATATGTATGCAGGTCATGTCCTTGCAGAAAATAACTGGTAAATCATGGGACTCTAAGTCATTTGCCCCATGTAAATCACAAAGGTGAATCTTAGTACCATTTACATACCATCCACAATGGTTTGCCCTTGAATTATAATATTCTTCATGGTTTTGGTCCAGTCTATATTGGTCTATGAGAAAGTGTGCAACCCAGTCATCATTTTGTTATAAACCTATTGCCTCTAGGTGTCTGGAACCAGAAGATCTTTAAATACAATGATAATGGATTGGGGCTCACCACCTCAATTGCAGCTTCATGCATGCAGGGACCAAATATCACCCTTCTCTTGGCGTCTGTGAGCATTAACCAGGAATAACATCTACTTTGACTGTAATATTGCCTTTCTTTTCAATCTTTTTAATCTTTTTCAATCTTTTCTAATCATCTCTCTTCAGAAACAACAAAAAAATATCAACAGACATATCCTATTATTGATCTACTACAGCTATATTAGTATTGGATGGCTAAATACTGTGATTTATTTGAATTTCTATTAACCAGCTCATTTTCTCATTGGGAGACACTATGACATTTTGGGGAGAATAATTCATTTAGGTTTGGAGCATCTCAGTCCTGCCCACAAAAGGCCATTAGCATGCCCCAGTTACTATGATAGCCAACAAATGCCCCCCACACATTTGCAAATGCACAGAGAAGTGGGGTAATCCTGCCATGGTTAAAGAATCCTGTGTCAGGATGTTAAGTAGTGAGGAGATGTGGTTCTATGGCTGAAAGCCTCCACCACTCTTGGCAGAGCCCTGAAATGAAAAGCTCAGGGTCTGGAGCTGGGCTGTGTGTGTTCACACACCAACGCTGCTTCCAACTAGGTGAATATCCATGGGCAAATTATTCAACTTTCCTGAATCTCATTTTTCCCAGTGTGCAACACAGAGGGGATGATAACACTCAGTTTTATAGGTTCTTTGGGAGTCTTCAACCAGACAATATATGTAAAGTGCTTAGTACCATGCCTGCCACTAAATGTTCTGTATTATGATTATCTATGATATGAGGGTTGCAACATGTGTTGAGATTTGCATATTCTGATATTTCTATAAATATATGGTAATCTTTCTTAGTGAAATTAGGATGTAGGATATCTGGAACTGATTTCTAGCTTTATTAAAAATCGTGAATAAAAGTTATTAACATATGGTGCTAAGACGGACATTTGTAAGCTGTAACTACTATCTTTCATCACTCTGTATGTCTTGATACTTTAAATGAACACCTTTATCAGGTAATATTTACCATGGGATTTTATTTTTTCTTACATTAGTTCAAATCAAAACTGAACTATTCAGTTATCAAAAAAATTACAATTAAGTCAGAAGAGCTGTAAGACATAAAAGAACACTTTCAATATTACAATCAAAGATTTGTTTGTTGTTTTAGGTAATGCTAAATTTCCCAACAGTTGGAAGACTGTGTCTGAGGCACAAAGTAGAGCAAGGGAATGATAGACCCCTTAAATGTTAATTTGGGAAAAAAAGTGATTAGTTTTTTAATCTCTGGATCTATAGCATAAAGTAAATATATACTTTTATTTTATTTACCCAGTTGAATCAATTATGAAAACTATTATTTACAAAATGACCTACCTTCCATAATCACTATCCAAGATGAAGCTGACATTGTGATGACCTGGAATTAATTAAAATACACAATTAAATTTCCAATCACAGGAGAACAAGAACTATATATTATAAATCTGATTTAAAAGCAAAGAAATTTAAAATTAAAACTGTAATTATGCAACCATTTATTAATCCTCAAAGACATGACAATGAACTATCTGAAAGGAGTATCTAGTATTTTAAAATATACATACTAAGGTCTCTCGAGGTTATAACTAGAAAAACTTGACAAAATATAATAATGAATGAAGAATGATAAAAACAACATATACATAATCATCTGCCCTCAAATTTCTTTCATTCGTTCAACAGCTACTTAATTGGATGAGACACTCTGCTAGGGGGTTGGCCATGCAGGGTGAGCACTCAGTTTGCTCTTCTCCTAACAGAGCATATTGTGCAGGGAGGGATTCAGTCAGTCAAGAGCAGAACTAAAAACTGCGATAAAGCTATCAAAGAAAAGGAGAATGAACTTGGAGAGTGGAAGGCAGGGCATCAGGGAAGAGTTTTTTGATGACACGACATTGTATCTGAAATTCTCATGATGGGAGGCTTGCAGAGGCTCTGAGACAGAATAAAGTGAAGCCCATTCTAGAACTAAAAGATTATGATGGGTGCTAGCTGAACTACTGTGGTAATCATTTCACAATATATGTAAATCAAGCCATCATGTTATATGACTTAAACTCATACAGTGATGTATGTCAGTATAAAACTGGAAAAAAAAAAAGAACTATAAGATCTATGTGCCTGGAGTACATAGAGCAAGGGGGAAGAAAACGACATAAAATTAAAGCTACAGGGAAAACAGCTAAATTAATAATGGAATTTTCTGGAGGACAGAAGAATAAAAAAAGAGAGAAAGAAATTTGAAGAAGCGTACCTTAGGAAATATAAACCTTAGGAAATATAAACCTTAAATATAAACCTTAGGAAAAAGGTAATTCATACATGCTCACATGAAACTGAAGAGGAGCCAAGGTAAAGAGGAAATGTTAATTTTAAAAAAAGGGATGAAGCTGCAGGGGAGATCTAAGAGAATGCAAAAAAAGGAAATAGAGTCAGGCATTTCCGAGAATTATGAAGAATGGTGATAAACATTTACCAATGTAAGTTCCAGTCGTCTTACAAATCATAGAACCCATGTCTCCATTTGGATGATCTAATTTTAGACCATACCTAATAAAATATATATGTTAATTTCAAAGTTTATATTGACACTCAAGTTCTAAAATAATATGTTTCCCCTTCTTAAGTATCTGTATAATAAAGATGCATTTATTGTCAGATAAATAAATAAATAAAATACTGTGTTTCCCTTAAAAGTACTTTATGTACTTTGAATATGTATCAGGCTAGAAACTATCTCTTTAACAAAAATTTCTGTGAAATGAAAATATTTCCCAGCCTGGGTTGAAGATACTTGCCGAAAGCTTCCTTTTACAATTAAATATTTTGTAGTTAATTTGGCTATCCCCATTGATATTCCTCTTAAATATTTTTAAATATTACCAACTGAAACAACTATTTGATAAAAATGTTTCTCAAAACATCTTAAAACATAATAATCTAAACAATAGTTCATTTTGTTCATATCAATAGTTCATATCATCTCGACTGGAGACAATAGGGGTTATCAGGTTACATCTAACTATATAAATGATTGTTAATTTACTATATAAAACATTATAATTTATACTGTATTTTAAGGGATTCAGCTATACAGTATTGCTAGATATTATTACTTAAACTGGTATGTTTATATCTACTGTTTACTTTCCAAAGAAAATTATTTGAATAACTTACAAATTATCAGATTGTGGTATGAGAAGCTCACAGGGCATTCCTCCAATATAAACTCTGTATAAATATTTTATTGGAAAAGATCAAGTTATATTTAGTAAATCATTTCAAAATGCTCTCCTCCCACCAAGCTCACTAACACCTTATATTTTTCTCTCAATCACTTATTATTATCCATCACACATTCGTTCAACAAACATCTGTTTTATTACCTATTATGTTGCAGAGTCTCTGCTGTAGACACTGGCACACATCAGGGAACAAAACAAAAATCCTGCCCTTGTGGGACTGACATTCTAACTGGGGGAGACCTGATAATAGACATGATAATTATAGGATACTTGGTGTGTTAAAAAGTGATAACACTACAGGAATAGAAAATGTGGAAACAGATAATGGGGACCCTTCCACCTGCAGTTCAATTAATTCAAATACAAAACAGAATTTTATGTTTTGTAACATACAGTAAGTTTCAAACTATAGGTAGGAATTAAAGGAGGGCCACAGCCAAAGCCCCACAAGTAATCAGGATGAAGAGAACAACTAACATCCTCAGTGCCATTGAAATGGAAATCCCAAACTGAGAAGAGGCAGGGTCGGGCTGAAGGGAAACCTTGGTCTGCATTTTCCCAGCTGACCAGGTTGACTACTGCTTTAAGGATGTTAGAACCTGATGCTATTGGAGGCTTGCAGGCGGGACCCACAGGTATTGTATTCTTGGCCACACTCAGAATAAACCACCCAGCTTCTGTGCCAACAAATCCCAGATTCAAAGTAACTGCAGATACAAACCTGAACTCTTAAAGTAAGGACTTCCATTTGCAGAGAACTTTAAACTTTTTAATAAACGTGTACACACAAATCCTTTCATTTATCATTACATTAGGTTTGTAATACAAGTACAATACTGTACCCATTGTAGAGATTTATGGATACATATTCTCCTTCTAAACTCCCGCTTTCTTGTGTCTAAATAATTTTAGCAGCTAACAATGGCACTTACCATGTTTAATCCTCACAACCATCTTACCCTTCCATTTTATAGATGAAAAACCTGAGTCAGGAAGGTTAAATAGCTTGCTCAAGCCTACAGCCAGTAAGGAATAGAGCAGGAATTCAAACCCAGGCAGTTGGGCTCCAGCAGGTGCTATTACCCACGCTCCATAATCCCCACAGTGGTCTGGGTTTGCCTATCAATGGCAATACTACACTATTTGGCCATATGTATATTTTTTTTTTCTAAGTTTTTCTCATCTTATCTTTTAGACCAAAATCTCCTTAGCGGGCACCAAGCCCTTTTTGCATGTCCTTTATAATTTGTACCTAGTCTGAATTTGGAGATTAGGCTGAATTGAAAGATTTGTGAGAAACAGAAGCAGCTTGAACACTCTGGGGTCCTACTTCCTGCCCAGTACATGGCCCATTGCTCCCTGCTAACGGGATTCAGGCACAGTGAAATGTAGAAATGGGATAGACACAATTCTAAGGCCTTCGCCTCTCACATTAATAGGTGTGTGAAAGTTTTTCTGTGTTTATATACAGTATCTCAGGGTTTCAGAGTACATGGGCTTGGTAGCCTGATCTCTGAGGTCCCTGCTGACTGCAATTCTGTGATTCCATGAAATAGTTTCTATCCATTCCTTTGTATTGAACAGAAGTAAATTTCAGTTACAGTGGGGGGTGGGGAAGGAACCTCCTTAAAGATTAAGCTTTCTATTTCTTAGAATTATTATAGCAAAGGATGATTTAGAAAACCCCATCTAAGAATTGGAATATAAACCATTCATAACATTCAACTATATAGAAGCAAACAAAATATTTATGCTAACATTTGTTTCTCTATTTAGTACTTACTACATGTAGGGAACCAGTATGAACATTTCCAGAATATTATAGATGCATACAAATGTGATTTGAGTTCTACCTCATAGAATGCCACCTAAATTACCTTTATTTCATTTAGTAAAACCTTTCAAATTACTTGTTTTATAAAACTATATACACGTATGTGTGTATATATACATATCACCTTTTTAATATTTAAAAAAATTCTCTAATTGCTGTATGAATTGTTATCTAATTTATCTATTTATCCATTTTACACCGGTATTTAATAAGCATGGAGCCTTTTGAAAGCTGATTCTGAACTTCCTTCTGTGGGGAATGAACAGGGCTGTCAGTAAAGGCAGCACTAAGAAAACCACACCCATGCTACAGAAAGATTAGTGACAAAGCTAGCTTCCAATGCAAAATGTGGACAATTATTTTTTGATATTAGGTAACTAGCCAATGTTACCATCTGGTCCATAGCTGGTAAATGGAGGAACCAGCATTCAAACCCGAGGCTGTTAATAAGTTATTGACCATTTTTTTAGTTTCAGCCCTCTCCCATACACCACTACAGTAGAAGAAAAAAGGCCAAACTGCATGTCAGGAGACTCCAGTTCTTGGATCTTGACTAAGCTATGGACCTCCAGGCTACACAGTTACATATATATGCAAAATGAGGCATATATATATTATTACTGAATAATATAAAGTTCTATGACTAACTCATTTACTATTGGGCTTGCTTCCATGTGCCTTCTATTAATCAAATCTATCACAAAGGGTGCCTGGGTGGCTCAGTCATTAAGTGTCTGCCTTCGGGGTGCCTGGGTGGCTCAGTTGGTTAAGCGACTGCCTTCGGCTCAGGTCATGATCTGGAGTCCCAGGATCGAGTCCCGCACCGGGCTCCCTGCTCAGCAGGGAGTCTGCTTCTCCCTCTGACCCTCTCCCCTCTCATGCTCTCTATCTCATTCTCTCTCTCAAATAAATAAATAAAATCTTTAAAAAAAAAAAAAAAGTGTCTGCCTTCGGTTCAGGTCATGATCCCAGGGTCCTGGGATCGAGACCCATATCGGCCTCCCTGCACAGTGGGGAGTCTTCTTCTCCCACTCCCCCTGCTTGTGTTCCCTCTCTTGCTGTGTCTCTCTCTGTCAAATAAATAAATAAAATCTTAAAAAATAATAATAATAAAATAAAATCTATCACAGAAAATGAAAGAATTATGTCAGACCAAAAAAGAAAGACATATTGGCCACTGCTTCCATGTCAATGAATCATCCAACAGTCTCCTTTTCTTCCTATAATATGGCTGAAAATATGCTGGTTAATCCCCTCACACTGTAGTGCTTTTTAATATCATTGAGCCCATTATTTTTGGAATACCATATCCCACCTGAGTGATAAGAATACGTTTCCAGATCGAAAATTTACCTCAAAATCCTAACATTTTTCCCATTTGAGCTTAATGCAGTGTTACTTCCATAGACATCAGTGAAGATTCTGCCTTGGATAGTTATTAGTGTGCCTACAACAAACAAACAAAAAATTCTGTGTAAGATTACCTACCCACACACCCATACACTTAATACCAAAACATTAGAGGTATTCCTAATGAAACCAGGACCTGGACATTTATATCCCATGTTCATGACTATTGTTTAACACTGTTCTGAAAGTTCTAACAAATACAATAAAACATGAGTGAGTATGTATAGTATTAAATCAATATTTATAAGTATTTGTAAATTAAAGAAGTTTTTTATGGAAAACAATGAATTATTCAATAAATATTGCCTGGGTCATGAATGATCTATTTGAAAAAATAAATAAGCTCCGACTTGACTTTATGCCAAAAAAGTAAATAAATCCTAGGAGAAATAAAAATTAAATATAAAAATAAAACCATAAAAACTCTTGAAAATAAGTATAAATTTATATAATACTTATATAATTGGGGTGGTATGGCCTTCTACAGCATAAAAATGAAGGAAGAAATAACAATAATTAAAATCTATAGATCGAATTTAAAAAATTAAAAATGTCCAAATGACAGGAAAAACCATTAATAAAATTTAAAAGCAAATGGTAAATTAAAAAATATTTCCCATGTATATGATATATAAATAGTTAATATCCTTAAAATATAAAGAATTCTTATAACTTAATATGGAAAAAAATTGACTAGCATTAAATTAAACCAGGAGATGAATAAGTAATTTATAAAAGAAGAAATACAAAGGGCCAATAAATATACATAAATAAGTAAATTTAATTGCATAAATCAAGAATTGGAAAAATTAGAAATAAGCTACTATATTTTTCATATAAATACTTGAAAAAATTAGTTCCTAAAATTGTCAAGATTATAGAAAAGGGCATTCTCACATATTCCTTTTGGGATTATAAACTGGTATAATTATAACTGTAATGAAGTGGAAGCCAGTTGAATGTCCAATAGGGGGATAGTAAAATACTTTATAGCAGATTCAGATATAATCACTGAAAATCATTTTTTGAAATAATATTGGGAGTTATTGTATAATCAGAAATATATTACTTATAAATTATCAGATATAATAATTTTATATACTAAAAATTAAATTAATGACCAGAAACCAAAAAAGATATTATATCAGCTGTCATATAACAGACCTGGAGTCCCAGATAAAGGTGTGATGCTCTTTATCGTTGGGGTTCTGAAACTTTTTGCCTGTAAAATAATACTGTCAATAAGCTAGTATCTCTGCTTCTTACATGATTTACATTTAAATAATCCTACAATATGACTGTCAAAATACCTCTTTTTACATATAAAAAATAAAGTTTAGAATATTATTATTCTGCTTATTCAAGATCTTTTCCTTACCCACTAAAAATTCTCTTTCATTTCAATGTTTTTAGTTTGGAATTTTAATATTTAATCTTCCTTTGTTATCAGGGTAAGTCAAACCCTAGTAATAAGGCTCTCTCGTAACAACTTTTAGGAATTTGGGGGAATAAAATTACAGAAAGTCTTCTTTTATTTAAACCTATGGAGAAGAAATAACAAAGCACATTGCAAAACAGAAGCAAAACCTGGAAAAAGTCCATCAGAGTAAGCTTTAGTAATGAAGCTAATGATAATTTTCTAGAGCAATGCAAGTATAATTCTTAAGAATTGTGACATCAAATAGGAATGGGGAGAGAGGAGAATCCCAGGGAGCCCACAAGGGTGATGGAAACTCTAATACTTTTGATAGACAGACATAATTTTAAAAAATACATGGGATGGTCCTTAGAAGAAATGTATTATTGTAAATATCTACATATAGGGTAACTAAATTTTGAATGACTTCTATGCTATGTGCAATCATATTTTATCTCATTGCATTAGAAATTATAAAAAAAAGAAAAATAGTTATGATCTTATTGAAAATGAAGAAAAGGAAAATCAAACTCAGAGTAGAAATGGAGAAAGAGAAAAAATAGTGTGAACAAGAAAAAAATTTAATGTATAAAATTTAATTCATTAATAAAATTAATTTAAAGAGGGAAACAAGAAATGATAAAAGGGATTCCACTACCATAGAAAATAATTAAAACTGAATGAAGTTATCCTTCGCTACATGCTAGTGTATTTTTAGTGTGGAAATAGATAACAATCTATAAAATTAAAAAATAAAAGCCCAATTCAGCAAGAAAGCAAGCACAAGATTGATCATCCAAAAGTAAAAGAGGAGATTCCCATATACATTGAAGGTGCATTCCCAGCTGTTGATGCGACCTCTGCAGGTATTACTTTCTGTAATAGGAACCCCATCCACACTGACTCTAACAGTGTAGGAATCTTCTGGCATTGCTCTGCAAAGCAAATGGAGAACATGTAAGGAATGCAATGACCCTTTTATTTAATGTATATTATTAAGGAAAAATACTGCCCCAGACTACAAGTCACTTTTGAAAAAAAAAAGTGTCTAAAATTCTAATTGATGTACAGCTAAATTCCATTCTATATTATTAGAATTCTAAATTATTAGAATTCCATTCTAGATTATGGAGGATCTCCCTCTTGAACTCTGTACTGCAGATTCTAACATCATGGACCTCAGGCAAATGCTTATTCTAAGTGCACTGGTGCTTACTGAAAAGGACAACAAATGCAATAACAAACGTAGGAATAACCATTTAAAACAATAATACATCACCTTGGTACAGTTATGTTATGCTTTTTTTTTTTTTTTTTAAAGTTCTGATCAAATTTCTCTCTAAGAAAGCTTTTGCTGCTGAAAAACAGCCAACAAGCTTGATAAAGATGAAATCCTCTGGAAAATGCGCCACCTGTTTTATTATTAAAAGTTGCCATTTTGGGGCACCTGGGTGGCTCAGTCAGTTAAGCGACTGCCTTCGGCTCAGGTCATGATCCTGGACTCCAGGATCGAGTCCCATATCAGGCTCCCTGCTCTGCGGGGAGTCTGCTTCTCCCTCTGACACTCCCCCCTCTCATGCTCTCTCTCTCTCTCGTTCTCTCTAATAAATAAAATAAAATATTTTTAAAAAAAAGGCCTCCAAGGGCTCAAAGATATAATTTCTTAAAAAATAAATAAATAAATAAAATAAAAGTTGCCATTTAAAATGATTAATTTTTCCTGTAAGTTGTTAATAACAAACATCATTTTGGACTGATGGTAAAGAACTTGAAATGTCACTATACAAAATGATCATCTTTAATCTTAATGACTATGTCAAGATTTTGAATGAAATTAATCAAACTGGACAGGAAAGCATAATTTTGATATTTTGAGGAGCATCATTACAATTTAATAGTAGCCATTTATCTTCTGAAATAGATCAATAATGATAAGATAATAGCTCCAATAACCTGGGGGAGGATATAGAGTTTATTTTATTGTGCCAATATGTGGAAAGAACATTACAACTGAATATAATAAAGCTATAAAATAGTCTAAACATCATGAAATAAAAAACAGCTGATCTTCAGAAAATATTATAATGGCCAGAGTATATAAAAAACTATATAATACTAATATGTGTATGATAAAAATGCTCTTAATAAACATACTATAAAACATACCTAGTATAGCACGTAATTTGAGTTGAATGACTTGAATCTTTTTCTACATCACAAGAAATTGATCGGAAAGAAGAAACTAATTGCACACTGTTTCCCAACTCAGCATTATCAACTCCATAGTTAAACTGGTTTGCTTGAGCAAAACCTGGAAAAGTAAAAACACTGAATTATTACTGGAATTGTTTTCAAAGATCTCACAATTGTCATTCAGTATTGAATCATCAATAAATAATAAGAAATAGTACTGACATAAGCAGTTAACCTATTTTATATTTATCCTTATGATTGTAATCCTTTTTGGAAGCTTAAAAACTCACTTTCAACTCATTTCTTCACAAAAGTAATGCTTGAGCACCTATTACTTGCCAGGCGCAGAACTGAATAGCTTATATTCCAGTGGTAGGGTGTGGAGGCTGGAGAAAATAGACTCTCCCCGTCCTCCCCGTCAGATGCTATGTCTGCTGAGGATAACTACTATGTAAAAAAGGAGGCCCAATGGGATAGAAAGAGTAGATGAGGGGAACAGTATTTTATAAGGGATGGGATCTTTACCTTCAGTTCCTATAAAGGAAAATCTGAGGTGAGGACTTGTAAGCATATGATTTATTTGAGTAGTGACCCCTTTGGGAGAAAAGAGAATAAGACCTGAGGAAAGAAAACCTGGGCTGTGAGCACAGATGGAGCACAATCTTGCTGGAAACTCCCAAGGAAAATATGGGCTTCCTCTAGGAATCAAAGAATCAAACATCTCTTCATCAAATCCTGTCCCCATTAGTTGGGGGTTCTCCAGGTGAAATAGCTTCTCCTGCACTTTCAGGCTGCACATATGCCCATATGCCATAGGGGTTCCAATGTCCCATGTCACTGCATAGGTGAAGCCCTGTCTACTGGGACAGTAGACAGACGTGCTATGGGAACAGAAGGCAAGAGCTGCAAGCATAGACTGAGTCACAGTCTATGGGGGACTATCTGCCATGGCTGTGGCTAGAATTAGAGGTGAGAACAAGAGACTGTGAAGCTGAATATAAAAGGCATCTCTTACAGTTGACTCCTCACACCATATGGACATGCGCATGCCCCACATTTTAAATATAATCCAGTATCAAGTCTCCAAGGTGGTAACCAGCCAAAAGCTCTGCTAAAGATTTAATACAAGAGGGTTAGTGGGACAAGATACAACTGGTCCTGAGGCTATAATGAATATTCACCATACCCCCTCTTTACCACCCATTGTAGATTTCCTTACCCTTAACCAGCACTTAAGCTGATGGAGCAACACCAGCCTTCAACCTGAGGGTCTGAGCCCTTAGCTGCTTTACCCTTGTTAGGTTATGGTTGTTATAATTACCTATTCACAGTCATCTGGACATGGAAGCCAAGAGATACCCCCAGGAATAGCCTGAATTCCAGACATATTCTTCCCTATCTCCATTAGGTAAAGCAACCCTACCTCTTCATGATCATCAGAACTGATTATCTCTGGTAGGCTACTAATTATGTTTGATGAATTCAAACTGATCAGTTAGTGATGGTAGTTTCAGTTCAGTGGGAGCCCATATAGGGATCCCTGGCAAAAGCATTCTCTCACTGGAAACTCAGACCCAAATCCAGCAGAATCTAAAACTGCAAGGACAGAAAGCACAGATGCCATTTCCAGATCACTGGGAGTGATAATGACCGAGAGTAACCGTTCACTTCCAGCTCCATGTGTTCTGTCTATCAGGAAAGAATAGCATGTATCTGCCATGGGGTCAAGGCATATGGCATATGATGGAGGCCGGCATCCTATCCCGCAAGATGTTCCCAAGCTGGTATCTTAGGCTTGCCTTTTATAGACCATTCCCTCATTCTACTAGCCCACATGTTTCAGAGTGACACAGGTTTTGCGGTCATGTGCCCATAATCACAACTTTTTCACTATAAAATGTGTTCTTTGTTCTGAGGCACTATTTTATGGAGGCTCCCTGTGGCACCTCTGCTCCTGGGCCTGCTGTACAAGATTTGAGGGAGCCAAAGAGAGAAGCTCCTGGACGAGTCATTCAATCAACCTGGTTTTTCTGTTTCCTCTGTGGGGGATCCTCTCTTGTAGGAATTAACTTGAGACATAGATCTGCATGTTTTGTGCTCATACCACCTTCACGTGCCTCTTTCCAGGACTTTCTTGCTTCTCATCTCCGAACCCTATTCCTGGAATATAGGAGGCATGTGACATAAATGGTCAAGGAAACCTTCTGGAAGGAGTAAGCCAGGAGAATACCTATGGTGAGTGCATTTTAGATAGAGGAAACATGCTGTTCACAGGGCCCTGTGGTGGGAGCATGTTTCTGGATTCAAGAATTAGCAAGCATGGTTGAAGAAGTATGTGTGAGGAGAGTGGTAGGAGATGAGACCAGAAATTGAGGCATTCAGATTATTTTTCTGAGTGAGGAAGCGCTGGAGGCTTCACAACGGAGGCATGGCATGATATGACTTACACTTTCCAAGATTCCCTAGCTGCTGTTCTGAGAGTATAGACAAGGGGCAGCAGAGAAGATGCTGTTTCAGTGATTGGCATGGGGTCAAGAGAAGATTGAAGGATAATCAGTGAGGAGAACAAATACTGGTACCTTCTGGGGGAGTTTTATTATCAAGGGAAGCAGAGACATGGGTGGTAGTTAGAAGGGGGTGTGGAGCAAGAGGAAGCCTGATGATTTTGCTCTCGCCTTTTTTCAGGTTGGTGAAATAGCCTTATGTTTGCATGCTAATGGGTGTGTGCGATTCAACAGAACCAGAGAAATGGATGATGTGAAACAGAGGGAAAAAAATTATTTTTCAATTGATGAAGATTATTTTAATCTTACTATGAATACATGAAAATTCAAAACTAGATTTGGAAGTAGTTAAATATCCATTAAGTAATTTTATGCCACATAAAAGCATTTTATATTGCTGGAACAACATTCAACTTCAAAATAAACCCTAGAAATAAAACCTATGGTTAAGATTAATTGGATACTGGGGTGCCTGGGTGGCTCAGGTCATGATCCCAGCGTCCTGGGATCGAGCCCCGCATTGGGCTCCCTGCTCCGCGGGAAGCCTGCTTCTCCCTCTCTCACTCCCCCTGCTTATGTTCCCTCTCTTGCTATGTCTCTCTCTCTCTGTGTCAAATGAATAAAATCTTAAAAAAAAAAAAAAAGATTAATTGGATACTGTTCCATTGAGTAAATCCTATAATTAAATATTCTCCTAATAAAAATGTTTAAAAGATAATAATATTCTAATATGCAGAGTAAATCTATGAAGTTGTCAATGTTATAATATTTTCTGGACTAAAGTTAAGTTAGTAAATAAACAAATTTTGCCTTGATCACTTCAAAATCTAAAATTCCTAAATTCTGAGTTGTAAAAGTATGTGTGTTTTTAAATGTTACTTTTCTCTAAATATCGCAAGTGCTTACCATTAAAACACCACTATTGCCAAATTGATGACTAACAATATTTTGAAATTACAAAAACTTTTTCCTTTGCATCCATGTCATTAATGTAAATTTATAAGCTATTTGAATTTCAGAACTTAATTATCTACAGTGCATATTGTTCCACAGTACAATAATAAACTTAAAATTAGTAAGCCAGGAAAGATGTAGCTTTAACTCTAAATTCTATGTATATATATTACTTATGTTAGAAAAAATAAATAAATATTAGGTATTGACTTTCAATTGTCAAGAAGTTTTGCAGTATGTTTCAGAAAAAAATCACTACTACCTTATGTGCTCACATTAAATAACCTTTAATAGTTAAAGTGGCTGAATTGTTGTGTGATTGCTTTTTAATTATTGAACATTTTCAGCATTCTAAAAAGGTCCATTAAAAACATAAATATTGCCTAGTTTAAGGACTTCACTGTGCCAGATGTTCATCAAATGCCAAAGCCCCTAAAACTCTAGCTCTAGTAAAGCTGCTTGTTTGGGATGGTGCTCTTTAAAGGAACCCTAATGTCCTGGATTCGAATCCCACTCTGGCATGTCCTTATTGTATGACTTTGGGCCTTCAAATTTTAGATATGAACTCTCTCATTCTTAGTCCTCTCATCAGAGAAATGACTAGGGGCACCTGGGTGGCTCAGTCGGTTGAGCGTCTGCCTTCAGCTCAGGTCATCCCAGGGTCCTGGGATAGAGTCCTTGCTCAGCAGGGAGTCTGCTTCTCTCTCTGGCACTCCCCCTGCTTGTGCTCTCTCTCACTCTCTCTCTCTCAAATAAATAAATAAAATATTTAAAAAAAAAGAAAATGACCATAATCACCTACTTATTGGATTGTTAGGAAGACAAAATGAGGATTATTATATTGCATAACATGGTGCTTGGCTCATATGTTAAGAGCTCGGTTGATATTTGCTCTTATTATCGGTCATAAAAATCCTGAAATTTAAGTTCAGTGTTAACATCCCTTTTGATAAATAACACAGAAATAAATGGGTGGCTAGGACTCGAATCCAGGTTGTAGATGTCAACCTGGCACCTATGATAATTCGGAGAAAAACAATATTTAAAAACATACATTATAAAGCTATTAGCCATTACCATATGTAACTCCCTCCAGGCCCTATGTTCTTAGCTCTTCTCCTATCCTTTTTAGGTAGAAAAAGTAAGCAGAAACTCAACAAAAGGTAGGGATTTTAATAAACACCACTTCTTCCTCTAAGCTCAAACCATAACCAAACAGAACTCATCCAATATAGGCTAAAGTACAAATATAAGCATCAATTTAACATGTGAAAGATATTTGCATTGAATCTGAAGTTTTGATTCTAGGACAGCAGTTACTGCTAAAATGGAATTTTGAAAAGATACAGGAAAACACAGAGAAGCAAGTTACTTGTAAACCTGCTCTTTCCTTTTGCCAACTTCTGCTTATCTTTGGTGTTCATGTTGAGTTTGAAATACACAGAAGGGCTGTTGGCAACTAACTAAAGTATGGAAAGTTTTACTTGTGGGATGGCTCAGGATGTGATACATGTATTTATTTCCCTCTTAGGCACATGTCACAAAATTGGTACAGCAACACAGATCTGTTCTTCAGCATTCCTGAGACAAATACAATTGTAAAAAACAAAACCAACAGAAGATGATACTGTTTTTTGCTTAGGAGTTGTTTTAATGTCATATATATATTTAAATGTCACATACATATATTTAATGTCATATATGTTTTTTACATCATATTTATGTCATATATATAGACCTATCTCCCAGAAGTAAAAACATGAGCCAAATCATTAAGATTTGTAAATATTCTCATTACAATATTGCTTAAAAAAACTATAGAAATATTTCTAATTTTTTAGCTAATTCCAAAGAGTTAAAAAGCAATACAAAGGAATCATCTCTAAAAAGAAGTCCAATAAAAAAGTATAATTCTAAATTAAAAATTGGGTATAAAGAAGATACCTCTGGAAGTACTCCAAAGCACAAAGATTACAGGAAGGGTTGGGTGTACCCTGGATACAGAAAAGGTTGAGGCTTCAGATGGAAATTCCTGGCATGTTGATGTATTTTTTCTTTTGCAGAAACACTGGAGACAAGACTTGCCAGACACACAAACCTGGTTCTTCTGATAGCAGCCTGAGCTGGTATCATGGAAAATGCTGTGTCATTGAAGCCAGCAGTTGCCACGTACCATGCAGGCTGTTTGGATTTCTCTAGTTAAAAAAATGCAGGGGTGAGAGAGTATAAACCTACTCAAAAAGCTGTAACATTAAAAACAATGAGAAAGAAAAGAACAGCGTGATGAAGGACGATTCCTAAAGAATGAAACCAAACCTATAACATAAATACAAAAAAATGATAAAAAATAAAACAAAATGATAAAAATAAAGTAGCTCTAATTTATGGAACAGATAATATCTATGGGTACCTTAGATACATCATCCTTTTCAATAGTCACAATAGCCCCAACAGGTAGGAATTAATATCCCTCTTTACTGATGAGGAAGCCGAGGCTTAGGGGAGTCACCTGCCCCAGTCACAGAGTTGGAAGGGCAAGGATGGAACTAAAAACCAGTCAGACTGGACCAAAGTCCCTGTGTTTTCCATAACATTATAAAAAATATATCATTCAACACTTCAGTTAGATAAAAACATGCAATAGTGAAATATCTAGAAAAAAAAAACTAAAAGTAAAATACTACTCCTTCCATCTTACTGATTTTTTTTTAAGTAAAGGGAACTATTAGAAAGACAGTTGAGAAATACAGGTATAAAGTTAGAAACACTCCAGAACTAATAATCAAAATGATAACACTCCTCATTAAATCAGTCCTCTTAGATGGAGACACAATCATTTCCATGATCGTGGAAATAAAGTGCTCAAAACACTTTAACTTGGGGATCATAATTGTAAAATTATGGCTTTGGCTCCTGAAGCACAGCCTTTAAAACAAAGTGATGCAGTAGCAAATTTTTGCCTGTAAAAGTGAATATGATATGTTGGAAATGGCCAAAAGTCACGTGGATACACCAAAATACTAACAGATCTTTCCAGAGGGTGGAATCTCAGAGAACTCACTTTCTAAGTCAAACATTTCTAGAACATTTAATTTTTACATCATGACTTTTACAAAAATAAAACATTTTTTATAGTCATATGGGACCACTATTTAAGTAATCATCTGGTAGTTACAATTCCATTTAGAAAATTTTCTTGAGTGATTAATAAATTAGCTCTGCATGCAATTCTAAACATGAAGTGTGGGTCCGAGACAGCACTGATGTATTATGTGAATGTAGTTCCTCCAAATAAATTTTGTTCAAGTAGCACATTCATGTAGCTTTGGAGGTCTGGTGTGTTTTGTAAATTAATTACATTGCTCTATACACATTCTGTAAATATCATGGGCCCTGAAAACCTATATAAAATAGTATTTAGACTCAGCCTCTGAAAAAGACATATGCTAACACATTCTTAGTCACCTACAATGTGTGGTTAAGGCAAGAAGAGGGAAGACAAATCAGGCTGGGGATATGCACATATCTGCCATTCCAATAGGATTTAACTGTTGTATGATTCTCTGTCAAGAGCATTCAGAAATTGAGACAGATAGGAACACTAGAAATTCACCACGACACCAGTGACAAGGATATATTGTGACTCAGAAAGTCCATGAAAGAGCAAAGGTTAGAGCTAAATTCATAAAGATGTTCTTCCAAAATGCCTTGAGAATAGAATGCTTTGTTTTGTATTTATAACTAAGGGCCATCTGGGTCTATGTACTTAAACTCCATGGGTCCTGGATCAGAAAGAGTTTAGGTCTCCAGGCAGAAATAAACAGCTGAGTGGTTGTATTGTTTTGTTTTCTTTTAATCTGGGCCTTTTTCTCAAGGCTTTTAAATCTCTGTTAAAAACCTAATAGCTTTCAAGCACACTATCTTAACAGCAATTCACAATATAAGGAAACTATGGATAAAGACACTTTTAAAATAGTCTTTAACAAATACATTGCCTTTGGGTGTTTAGACAATGACAAAGACAACCAAACTTCAATCCAAAATATATTCTTCACAATTTAGAGGCATAAACCATTTTAAGTGTATCACTGTGAGATTGCATTCAGCAGAAATGTTATTTGGAAGTATTGAAAGACATTTCAATATATCTGACAGAATACTTAAATATCTTGCTCTGTCGATTCTAACTCCAAAAACCTCATTTCTCTTTTGATTTTATAGACTAAATAATAGCTTTTTGTATTTAAATATTTTTCTTTCCTATCCTTCAAAAATTCATAAGCTGAATACTATTATTTAGATTGTGAAGACCTTAGGGCTAAAAGAACCACATATTTCTATTTAATCTTAGGAAGAGTTGCTCATTAAATAAATTCACTGCTTGCCTGCTATGTTTCCTCCCAAGACCAGGCAAGGAGAAAGAGTCATACATAACCCATGCTTTGATGAAGCATTTGATAAGGACTGTGTGGCAGGAGAAGGGATCCAAAGTTTTGTTTTCAATTGCCTTTCTGCCTTCATTAACATTCTATTTCTCCATCATTCCCTCTTTTTAAACATTCTACCTCCAAGGCCCCCCAAATGTTATATTTCATATAAAGATAAATTAAATGTTATTAGACCCATGAAGAACAAAGCAAATTATTGCAAATTTGGGTTAAAGACATTTCTTTCAATTCAGTCATTATAATCCAGATCTTGGGAGTTAAATTAAGCAAGTAATTATAATAAGAATTCAGATGGTAGAGACTCTTGGGGATTTTGTTAGCTGTCAAAGGGGTAGAGTTTTACTACTCTGGGCAAATGGAGAAATAACTCTTCTGGATTTTTTTTTAAACCATAAATGTCTAAATGTGAAATAGTCTTTAAGATACCTCAACGTTGACTCCCCCCCCCCAAAAAGGCAACTGTACCTTCTCCTTTGATAGTCAGCCTTGTCGCTCCATTTATGCTGCCATATTTAGGTATTATTTCTGTGACTTTGGGAATTATTTTAGAGCCATCTAAAAGATATTAAAACACAGTAAAGGTAAAAGCGTCAAGTACTTCAATTCAAGCAGCAAATTCGGTACCACATCTTAACCATGTTGTAAGAAAAACATCATGAAGGTTATAGGACTGAAAGTAAATACATCGTATTTTATTTGTGGTTCTACTACTAACCAGTGACTTGACAGGGAAATAAATCATAGCAAAGCACTACCTTAGGTGCCACAAAGGGCAGGAATAATCCATGATCATTTTCATCATTCTTACCTGTCATATTATAAAACATTTATTAAACCCTTAGTTTCATGTATTGCTCAACTAACTGCAGGTCTATAACTACAGTTAGCAGCCCACACAGCAGCAGACAATGCTGGAGAAATAAGTCATTCATTTTATAAGCACATAAGAAATGCAAAGAATAAATGAAAAGGAAGAGAATAGTCCAGGTACAAAAGCTAATGGTGTGTTTTAAGAAGAAATTGTTTTCTGTGACAGAGTAAGACTTCAGGAAAGATAATTTCTGGGATCTTTTTAGCCTCCTGATGATAGTAAGTTCTTACTCTAATGGTCACTAATTCATTCAACGAACGGTATATGGGTCCTGGGGATATAAAAATGTGTTAACACTCTCAACTTTCCAAAAGCTTAGCTTAGACTGTATGGAGTGACAAGAGAGCACAGAGGTCATGGGTGACCAAGAAAGGGCATTTCATCCACACTGCTTGGGTCCTACTAGCTTCTTCAAAGAAGGGGTGTCCCTGCTGCATCTTGGAGGGCAAATATGAATAGCTGGATTGGACCAACTATGGGAGAGAGAAAGAGTTCCAGAAAGAGGGAGGAGCCTATGCAAAACACAAGAGTGAGCAAGCTGCTTCTCTGACAACTCAAAGATACACAGTGGCTAAAAGGGTTTGTTTTCTGCTTCAGCTGTACAAATTTGGTAATTATTAGATTCAGTAACAATTCTCAAAGTAGGTGGAAAAATTGAAGTGGACACAAAAAGAAGCGCTATAGAAATGACTGTTTGAAATAGATGTATGAGAAAAGATTAAAAAATTATAATCATATAGTTCATTCCTGCCCGCAAAAAGCTTAGCATGGACTTCAAATATCTCTGTACTACGGGTCTGACTTTGCCAAGAGTTCCAAGGCTGATCCTGCTTCAGGGACATTTATAACTTCGAGCAGCCAAGAGCAGGAAACTCCAGCGAGGACTCTGGATCCTATCTCCAAGACCGTGCTGCTCTCCACCTATCTCAGGTTCATCCTCCCTTATCTCAACGGACAACTCCAATTTCTATCTTATCAGTCTCTTCTAACCCTCTCCTGGGTATTACTTTGAAGGCAGAGGGCAGCTGCCCCTTAAAGGGACTGACACCAGCCACAGACACCATTCCTGTCCTACTGGGGGACACTGTCCTCCCTTCGATGGGGTAAAGGCACCCAAGAAGAGAAGAGAGCGGACTCAGATTGTGTCCCCTACCTCCACCCCCAGCCAAGTTTGTGTCTTTTTCAATTGAGCCACTTGTGGGTGGGGGCAGTGAGGTTCCATAATTCAAGCAGTAACTCTTAACGACTTAAGAGCAATCCCTCTTCGCTTCTGTCTGTCTGTTAGGCCTGCCTTGCAGGTCCCGGGTCCCAGAGAGGTCCCCAGGATCGCCATGCAGCCGCACCCGCAGCCTTGGCGCAGGGCTGGTGCCAGGCAGTCAGTCCCTCCTCTCCCGCGGCCCCGGGAGCAGGGGTTGCGTCTGCACAGACTTCTGCTCGCCTCCCTGGCGCCCCGGATAAGTTACCTGCGCGGGGGTCTGCGGCGCACAGGAGCAGCCCCCAGAGGCCCCAGGTTCCCAAGAGCCACAGGTGTCCCATCGCCGCGTCAGTCGCGCAGAGTGTGCGCGCGCCGCTCGCTCGCAGCCTCCGCCAGCGCCGGGCTCTGCTCGCCGACCGCGACTGGCACGCGCGCCTGACTCTTCCAACGCGCGCGGGCGAACTCCGCCGCCCGCCGCCCGCCCCGCCCCGCCCCGCCCCGGGCGGTCCCGCGGCACCTCCGGGATTTGCACGCAGATACACTCCCCAGCGCTGGAGAACCGAACCGGCCCCGACCGGTCTGTGGTCATCAGATGGGCATGAGACCTCCACGCTCAAACCTGGGTCCTGACATCTCAAGGCTGTCCCCATAAGTGTAATGACTCCACTCCTTTTGGTAAGAGGGATCAGTGGGCAAGTTGTCCGTGAATCCCGTCCCCTCCCTTTTTTAAAAATTCTAGGCCGACATACTTTCATTTGCCTGCATGCTTTGGCTATTAACTGTCCCCAGGTGGACCTGCAAGTCCATCCAATACACAAACCCCACACATTTCCCCCCTTCACATTCATATAAATTAGGGCTGTTCCCTTAATTGACAATCATACTTATAGGTATTGATTTCTCTGCCTGTCCCAAACACCACGCCCAATGCTTTAGAGACTTCAACTCACAATAATCCTCAAAGGACTGTTACTATTACTACTAATTACGATTACTATTATTATCCCGTTGTTCCAAGCTGTAGCCCGAGGCACGGAACGTTTGAGTAACTTACCCACGGCCATATAACTAAGTGCAGAGTGAGGACTCAAGCAGTGACTCCAGAGACAGTGCTCTTACCCCTTCCATTGTCCCCAATTTAGCATACTTCTAGTGAGGGTTTGCAATGCTTAGGACATCCTTATACTAAAAATTATTCGCTATTTAAAATTCACATTTAACTCAGCATCTTGTATTTACCAAATCGGACTACTCTAGTTGGGAGGGAAGAGAGTATAAATAGAAGAGAGAACTCTACAATAATAAAATTAGGTCCTTGCTCTTCTAGAGTTGATATCTATTTCATTGGAGGTTAATTAGATTTGGTTAATTTCATTCATCTCATAATTTTCTGCAGATTGACTGCCCATGTCACCACCCTACCGAAAATAGTGCCTGCGAAGTACCACTGAACTTCTTACTCTTGGAACTCTGCAGCATGCGACACTGTTAACATCCTTCTTGAAATTCCATTCCTCTGAAGAGGCTTGGGTTTCTTCCTACCTCTCCAATCACTTCTATTTCATATTTTTCTCTTACATCTTCTTCCTGAAAATTGGTATTCCTGCAGGTTCTACTCACCCTTCCCTCCTCTATCTGGAAGTAGGTCAATTAGCAGAAAATCAGCTAGCTGAATGCCAATTTGCTGATTAACTATTTGCCAAATTTACTAAATTTAAAGACTGCAATGTTGTAGTGCAATAATTAGCAACTTTATCAAGAATTATTTAGCAGCATTAACAAAAATATTCACTCCAAGTTATTAGCTGTGAAATGTGTAGAAGTATGTATTTCAGTATCAAAAACCAAAATAAAATGTAATGTGGGAATAAAAATTGGAATTATTTGGTTAATTTTTATTTCTTTCTGATGCTTTCAAATTAGGATTAAATTAAGTTGCCCTAAATTAAATTTTGGATGATTTCATTAAAAAGTAATTTAAGGGCAATTTAATTCAAAATTCTGATTTTTTCAGATGCTTTTGAATTTATAAATTAAAACAGTATGAAGAATAGGTGAGATAATACTAAAATATTTTAAATGTTTTTAGTATTAAAAAGGTAGGAAATGTCATTCAAAGGTACTATGAAATAAATCAGAAGTAGGTGAAAAACTTTGTCCCATGTCATATACTGGAGTGGTTTCTAATCAGGAACCATTGAAATAGGCAGACTTTGCTGTCGAAGGAATCCATGTTATTTATAACAAAGAGGAAAACTGTTCTACATTTTGGATATATTAATAAGTGATTAGGAACCTTTTTATGTTGATTACTGTTTTGTCAAACCTTTAATATTTTTAAGATTCTTTTACCAAATCCTCAGAGTATATCAACCAGAAAATGTCATACAATATTTAGTATATAATATGGTTATTCCCACTCTGTCCTATTTCATCTTTCTACTTAATTCATACTAATGACATGGTCCCTTCCAGATTATAGTAGTCCCTTTCAGATATCTTTACTTACTTTATAGCTAGTCTTCTTATAACCAGTTAACTATATATGTAACTTATATATGTTTCATATAATATGCATATATAACTAGTTAACTCTATATGTATGAATAAATATATATATGTAAGTATGAAACAAGTATATATATATAAAATATACACATATCCATATATAATTCATAATCCAATTGTGACAGTCAGTATTAAAAATGTGTGTATAATTTTTCCATATATTTCACCAACTCATTCAAGCTGTTATGTTAAATTACATTCATTTAATTTGACAAATTTGTCAAATTGGTCATTCAGCAAATTGATCATTTGGCTAATTGGCTTTAGAAAAGTTGATATTTCAGCAAAAAGCCTGCTTTCCTGTCATATAATGCCTAAATTTCTTAAAAAGCCAAGCACTATAATTTGCATATATAGATTTTTACTCAACTCTTGAATGAATGAGCATCTTTAACATTTCTCCCTTTAAAAGTGCTTATTTATATGATAAGTCAATGTCTAGCAAAAGATCCCACCAGTGGTATTTTTTACCTTAAATTATTAACATAAGTGGATGGGATAATGTGACAATAAATAATTATAACTAGATAGAAATTTGTATAACCAAAAAGTCAACTTGGAACCAGAAAAAGTGATTATGTAGTTTATATAACTAATGATTTAAATTATATTAGTCTTTAGAATATTTAAACCTTTATAATACAGATTCATCATGGACCATGGACATGAAAAGGCAACTCCTGATCACTAAACTCCATGCTTTTCTAAGTTAAAAAAAAAAAAAAAAAGTCCAGCTTTAACAAAACCCCACTATTAGGGCCAGCATCATGGGCACATGACATGTGTAGTCTCATAGACCCCATGCTTTGTTTAATGCTCTGCTGGCACCATTGTGAAATCCTTAATAATTTTTGAATGAGGGAATCCCCATTTTTATTTTGCCTGGTCCTGCTTGCCTTGATGATGAAAAAAAAGAGAGATTATAAATTTGTCAATCCTTCAATTTAAAAGCAATTAGAAGGGCACCTGGGTGGCTCAGTTGGTTAAGCTTCTGCCTTTGGCTCAGGTCATGATCCCAGAGTCCTGGGATCTAGCCCCATGTCAGGCTCCCTGCTTGGTGGGGAGTCTGCCTCTGCCCACCCCCTGGTGGGCACATATTCTCCTTCTCTCCCTCTCTCTCAAATAAAAAAATAAAATCTTAAAAAAGGAATCGATTTATTAAAAAAAATAAATAAAAGCAATTAGAAAGTGATAAAGAGTAAGAACTCTCGCAGAGCTAGAAGGCATAAAGGGTTCACTTGTGAATTCACTTAACTTGGAAAATGAGCTGTGCATGGGAGACTGATTTTGAATCTAGACCTAATTGTGAGAGATGATGAACAAATTGAGGTACCTGTAGGAATAGGTTTGTTCTCTTAGTATGCCTTCAACAAGTATTCAATATGGTAGGCAGTAGAAATTGGGCAGTAATTTTTTTTTAATCTGTTTCCTCACAGAACATACATTCTTACTGGAGATACTCAATAAATAAGATAGGTGAATGAAATATATAGTATGTTAGAAAGTGATACATGCTGGAGAGAAACAAATAAGCAAGGAAGAATATCATATATGTGTGGGGGTGGGGGGTGGGGCTGAGTGTGACGCAGTTTTAAATAGGAAGACCAGGAAGTTGTCACAGAGAAGGTGAATTTTGAGTAAAGATCTAAAGGTCTAAAGGGAATTACTTAGCCACGTGGACATCTGGGCGAAGAGCATTCCAGGCATTTTAGAACAAATGTCAATGCCATGAGGAGGGAGTGTATTTGATGTGTAAGGAGCAGGGAAGCCAGAGTGGTATAAGACACAAAGTCAGAGAAGTAATGGGAGGAGGGGCCAATCATGCAGGATCATGAATTTGACTCTGAGTGAGATGGGAATCCACTGTAGAATATTAAGCTAAAATTTATGTTTTCTTTTTTTTTTTTTTTTAATTTTAAAGATTTTATTTATTTATTTGACAGAGAGAGATACAGCGAGAGAAGGAACACAAGCACGGGGAGTGGGAGAGGGAGAAGCAGGCTTCCCGCCGAGCAGGAAGCCCGATGTGGGGCTCGATCCCAGGACCCTGGGATCATGACCTGAGCCGAAGGCAGACGCTTAACGACTGAGCCACCCAGGCACCCTAAAATTTATGTTTTCAAAGAAACACCCAGATGCTATTTTGTTGAACTAGGGCAAGAGCAGATGCAGGGAGATCAATTCAGAGATAAATGCAAATAATCCAGGCAAGAATAATGGCATCTTGGACCTGGATGGTAACAGTGTTGATAGTGCAAAGAGGTCAGGTTGTGTGTATATTTGAGAACTAAGTTGATAGGATTTGCTGACAAGGAGTATGTAGGGTAAGAGGAAAAAGGAGGGGGTAAAATATAACTGCAAGAGTTTGGTCCTCAACATCTAGAAATGTGGAGGCCATTAAGTGCTCGTGAAGAATCTTGGAAAGAGTAGATTTGGAAGAGTGCATCAAGAGTGCACTCTTGGTAAGGGATTATATTGGGGACAAGAATGGACACAAGACTGATTAGGATGCTATTGTGGCAGTCTCGACCAGAGGTGATGAGGATGGAATTAGAAAGGAAGTATTGGAATTGTTAAGAAATGGGCAGATGCCTGGATATAGGTTAGTGGTGGGGTAAGGGAAATCTAGGATATCTTAGGTTTGGGATGTTAATGCCTAGGTGGATGGTGCATCATTTACTATGATATGCAAAGCCTGGAGGAGGTACAGTTTAAGGTAGGTGATCCAGATGCCTGATTTGTCCAACTTGAGTCTGAGGTGCTGATTAGAAGGGTTGCTTACAGGCTAAGAGCACGAGCTTTGGAGGCAGACTTCCAGGGCTCCATGCTTCACTCTGCCACTTAGTAACA